ATATCATCTCGGTCTGTATCTGTTGCCTTTCTTTTTTTATTTCTTTCTTTCTTTCTTTCTTTCTTTCTTTCTTTCTTTCTTTCTTTCTTTCTTTCTTTCTATTACCCCTTCACTCTTGATCCAAGGACCCTACATACATAGTACATACATACAGTTGATCAGATCTCTCCTCCCCTCGCCCGCAATCTGATCAAGACAAACTCCGTCGTCCTTTGTTCCCCGTCCCCACATTCAAGCAACCTGGCAAAAAAAAAACACGATGCAATCCGTACAAAGACATTTCGGTAAATTGATGAAAAGATCCGCCGACGACAGTCAGGTTTCCATTCTATTGAAAGATTTCGACGAAGCAAATAAATTGTTAGGCAGAGTAAGCTTGACCTGTTGACTACCCCACCAATTGCAACCCAATCGCATGGTATTTATTATACCGCCGCTTACCACCCAATTGACAGATCGTTGATTCTACTAAAGCCTGGCGAGATGCTTGGTCTTCTCTACTCACTTACCAGGCGCGCATACTCAGCGAATTCGAAGGATTATACGCGCCCATCATCGCCTCCTCTGACTCCTCCACAGCCGACAAGGCCGTCCAAACGCCCCGGGAAACATTGGCCCGAACCGCTAACCTAGCTCAAGAGTATGAAGAGCTACAGAGCGAACTCCTTCAGGAGCTTGAGGCCATCAACGATCGTATGATTAAGCCCGCCACGCAGGCTATGGATTACATGAAGCCGTTGGAAAAGACAATCAAGAAGCGGGATGATCGAAAGGTAGGCGCTTATCTCGTCCACTCAAACGTAGCTTCAACTAACCTTCCCATAGTTAGATTACGAGCGTTACCAAGGTCGCGTCGACAGCTACTCGAAAAAGACGAAGCGATCGGACCGAGACAACACAGCGCTGACTAAAGCCGAAAGCGATCTCGCAATAGCAACAGAGGTACATACATACGATGACCAACATACCTCCCAAGTAATCACACATCACATACTAATCCGAAACCCAGGAATACCAAGCCTCAGACGAACACCTCCGAAAATGCCTACCACCAGTCATAACTGCCGCATTCTCACTGCTCCCTAGACTGTTAGCCACGCAAGTCGAGATCCAAAACACCATGCTAGCACACTACTACACCGTGGTCCAGAACTTCTGCGAACAGGAGCACTTCCCCTCACCCTCCCCACCAATGGAACAAATAATCCAAGACTGGGAGCATGCCCACCTCCCCACACAACAAGAAGTCGAATCCCTAGGCTGTATTGCCAACGGAAAAGCAGTGCGTCTATCCCCAGGATCACCCGACGACCAACGCAACGGACACAGCAGCCGTCTCCCAAACGGCCTCAACTTCCGTCGACCCTCAAGCAGCAATGCCTCGACCGTCGGCCCTACATCTACATCTACTTCTACTTCTACACCAAGTCTCCAGCCCCCAATCTCGCCAGGCCGCAGACTCTCCGCCCCATCCGTGCATGACACAAAACCAACCCCAGTAATGGCAACCAAACCCCGTCTCAACAGTCTCGCCTCATCCCCATCCTCAACTCTCACCGTCCCAACAACCCATCTCTCCCCGCAAACCCCCGCTTCAGCCTCAGCTTCCTCCCCAGCCGAATCCTACGTCTCTACCCGAACAGACTATTTCAGCCGAAATCAGCATCCCTCTGACAGCGCAGCCACATCCCCGGGATATAGTGTGCTCGCAGCTGCGAAGAAGAAGCCCCCGCCGCCGCCTCCGAAACGGATCGGCTCGAATCAGGGGTTGTTTGTCACGGCTTTGTATGACTTCGGTGGGCAGAGTGCGGGGGATCTTGCCTTTCGGGAGGGGGATCGGATTCGGGTTCTGAAGAAGACGGATAGTACGGATGATTGGTGGGAGGGAGAGCTTCGGGGGGTTAAGGGGAGTTTCCCGGCTAATTATGTGGAGTGAAAATCTATTCCTTTAATTTAATATATCCGGAATTTATAAGTTAAAAGATAATGGAATTGGTATTATACGACTTGGACTGGGATTTGAGGCAATTGTCCTTGGTTTGTAATTATCTTCGGCTGGCTGTGTGGTTGTGAAGAGACATTTACTTGAAGCATATTAGGTATCTAGTTCAATAATGAGACATGAGGCGCATGATTATATGACAGCCAAAGAGGGCATAGCCTTCTTCACCAATTGACCTGCACCTTGAACGGGCAGGCCTTCCATTGGAAATATAAGCTAACTACTAACCGTGGATGTACCCCGCGATATGCTAATAAATACAAGAATAACGTCTTCATGCTAGGTGCATTTCTTGGAACAGCTCAAGGGTTAGCAAGTCATATGGGTAAGCTACGACGGTCAAAATCTTCCGTCCTTTAAGGATCCCTAACTAGAGAAATGCTTCGCCCGGAACACTGTCGTCTGACATCTCCATGCCCATCTGTCGACGCCGGCTGTTAAGAAACATTTCCACCATGCGTTTGCTCGACATGGGCGAGTAGGTGCCTTGGGACGATGGGTATCGTTCAATGCCGTCGACATGTCGGTTATCAGCCCGTATGTTCTCATTGGTAAATCTGGTGCTATCACGATGACGGCTAAGTCGAAAAGGCACGGGCCCTGTATCTTGGGCTTGGGACCATTTGGCGGAAGATCCACCATACTTGCCGTTTTGGGTCAATCGCTGTGACAGTTCTCTAGCTTCTCTCTTAGGCGTGGGAGATTCTGGCATCCGGGGCCTGTTGATCGGCCTTGACTGCATGGGCAACGATGCATGCTGGTCAAGCCGTGCGCGGATCCGACCAACGGTAAAAGATGACCCACCAATGTTAGTGGAGACTGATGTAGGAATCGAAAACGGGGGAGCAGTAGCCAGTCCATGCTCTTTTGAAGCTGTCACCATTGTGCGTACACTTGGAGACCGACTGAACGGCCTAGAGAAATTATTCCCGGTCCCGATCTTACAAGCTGTCATTGGCTCTTTACTCGAAAAAAAGCGATCATGATCTGAATCCTCCTGTTGAGGCACCAAAGTGTCGTTGTCACCCCTCTGCTCTCGGGATAGAAGCCGCCGCGGCAGTTTAGGCGCATCGTCGTAGATTTGCGCATTTTCTTTATAATGCTCTTTTGTCGGCGTGAGATTCTCGATCCTTGCCATTTGCGACTGCATCCATTGCTGCCAGTCGGCACTTGGCCGCTGTTGAATTTGGGATTCCGGGAGATCAGGGGTTCGCTTAGGGGATCTGTATGCTGATCTCTGGCTTTCAAAGATTGTAGCTACCCCTAGCTCATCACTATGGTTTTCAGTGATCGGGGAATTGCCACTGGTGGTTCTTGAGTAGATGCTAGGAGAATCAGGCGTATCCAATGTCGGAGACCCAGCATCATATATACTTTGAGCATCGTTATCTAGGGCACTTTGACTACCGAGCATAGTCGAGCACTTCTGGGGGGTTACCGTGCCATCAGGGGCTGTTGCATATGACCTTGGAGTTGTAAACAATTCGTTACTGGGAGCCCGAGGATGCAGAGACGATGCCCGTGTTGGAATAGCACGATGTTCTCGGACTTGTCCAAGGACAATTTCTTCTTCCGTATCCTGTGCATAGTTCTGCCCGATCTGCCTCATCAGAGCAGCATACAGGCGTTGGCTATCAATGGAATGCTCTGGCATGGCTGGTTCTGAAGAGGATGGAAACACCTGTCTAGGGGAGTTGCTTGGGGTGAGTAATAAAGGATTCGGGCCCAAATCGCCTTGTTCGTTGATGATAGACAGATGGCTCTGTTCGCCTGTTTTGCGCGTTACGATAGTATTGGCTACGGTTGAATCAGCCCAGCTTGTAACACGCGAGCGGCTGGTTGCAAGACTCTCTGAACTACGGATACTTGGGACCGTCTGAGAACGATCAGTACTAGCAGGCCTATCGGCATAAACCGAATTCCGATCATTCCTAGAGGGATAATCGTCATCCTTAGATGTTGTCGATAGCACCTGGCTCTGTGCCTGGCCAACGGGTGAGATTTGTACTTGGCTATTCTCTGCAACAGGTTTCGATAGCCCGAGGACTTTCTTGATACCCCTCCTGATAGATGAGGATAATGAGCGCGCTTTTCCCTGGGACATGGCATGTCTAGAGGAGTCCACCAAAGATTGGGCACTAGCTGCATCCATGCCGGAAGCGCTATCACCACTATTACTTCGAAAGCTTCTTCTGAACGGCTTATGCCCTTGTTTGGGTCTGCGGATCGAGGACTCTCTGCACTGGTCGGTGCTATCTGCTGAGCTTTGAAAGAACTGGTTACGGGCTAGCTGGATTGCTGCATCATGACTCTTCATATGGTGGATTGCATTGCCAGATTGATGGCTACCCCGGAGGAAGGAAAGTGAGCGTTTCAAGGCCCCGCCGGAGTTCTGCACCTCCGACCCTTGTGCTTTGTCAAGAGCTACATAGTCATACAACCGAGAAGGTGCTCCATAAGACATACGAGAATAATGTTGTCCGCCTGCAAACATTGACCGTGACTTGCGCAGCCGGCGGTATGAAGAGGGTAGAGAAGAATTGCGGCCATCTAGACCACCGAATTCACGAATTGGCGGCAGCGCTGCGGGCGAAAGCTGAGGATTGTTATTTTCTTCTGAATCACTCACAGTTAAAGGCCGGAGCTGTGTTTGAGTAGCAGTCAAAGCAGTGTCCGAATTTTCAGTGTCACCGCTTGGTCTATTTCTTCTCTGCGGTACCGCCATGCTACCAGGACCACCCAAGCGATCATAAGAGCGTTGAGAGTCCGTAGAAGATCGCTCTGTAGAGCGCCGCATGGCCAAAGATGCCGCGACGGTTGCGTGTTGTTTGGCGATTTCTGGATCAAATGGCTCACTAGATACCGACATTTGGTGGCTCCTTCGGATGGAGCGAGTTGATCTAGATCTCCTCAGATGATCACCTGCACTGAGAGACATTGCGGGGCACATGGCAGCAAAACCACGTAAGTACAGATACAGAGCGATGAAAGTGGTACTTTGAGAATAGATACTGCACAGATGGATAAAGTGCGGTCTAGTAAAGTCTCTCGTGATGGACGAGAGTTTTCATGATGAAGAACCCATGGCTGCTAGGGCCCGAGGAAAGAGCGATGAGAGGCAGCCTGTCGTCTTGCAAGGTCGCATTCATCATGGCGGCTTCCTCATCTGAAGCTAGAGTAGGAGTTGCTTTGAGAGATAAATTTGGTCAGGTCCTATCCAACCTGGGATTGCCTGTTTTGGTTATATTGGTTAATAATCTAGTTCGGGGTTCTGGTCCGAGATGATCAACGGCTAAGACTGTGGCTGTGAGTCATGGCTCTAGTCCGCTCGTACAAGCCATGTCACATTGACACATTCCAATACGAAGAGTCAGTAGCACTAATCCCACATAATGGAGGCCATAGACACGCGCTTCTTGATATTAAATATAGCGCTTGACGCTCCAATACTAGTACCCGTACGCAGCAGGGCATTTGCTTTTTATTCAACGTTGCACAGCAGGAAACCAGTCAGGATTGAGGCCACACCAATATGGATCAGTCGGATGGCATAAATCCTAGAACGCAAACCATCCATCTGGATGGAAGGACTCTCGAAGGAGGGGGCCAACTTGTACGAATTGCCGTCACCCTCTCGGCTTTGACTGGTCGGCCCGTCATTATTGACCATATCCGAGGCAACCGATCAGGGAAGCAGGGGCTCAAAGGCTCACATCTTGCCGCGATCACATACCTCGCGCGTGTGAGCGGAAGCTCTGTCGTGGGTGCAGAGCTAGGATCGACTTCGTTGAGTTTCTATCCACGAGCAGTTCAGATGCCAAGAGATCGAGACCATGAGCGAGGAGCGATCGAATCACATATCGACATTGCACTCAGAACAGCAGGCTCGGTGTTTCTAGTGTTCCAAGCACTATATCCTTATATGCTGCACGCGGGAACCAATTCTTCCGTCCCCGAGCGCCAGATTACTCTATCCATTGTCGGTGGGACCAATGTGTCGTTCTCGCCGTCATACGATTACGTGGCGCAGGTTTTAGTGCCTAATTTCGCCAGAGTGGGATTGCCTCACCTTTCTGTGCAGCTAATCAAACGGGGATGGGGAACGGGCCCTTTTAGCTTGGGAAAGGTGACTCTTATTGCGGATCCGCTCACGTTGTGCGAAGATGGCAATAGAGCCGGGTCAAGCCCTCAGTTTCCGCCCATAGACCTTTCTCAATATCAGCGTGGGACAATCAGTCAGGTTGAAATTACCATTTTAGCCCCCGACGATTCGTTCCCCAAGAGCACAGGAAGAGGCATCCACGGCAAAGGAAGAAACCAAAGACCTGGTGGGACGCAATTTCGGAGACATATGTCAAGGGCTAAAGGAGACAACGATGATTCACCGAACGCCACTCGAACTATTCGCCAATTTGTCGAAAACGAAATCCTCCGGAGCCTCCGCAAGGGTTTGAGGAAATTACCGTCGTGTGTTTTCACTTCCGAGCCATTGTCCTCCAGTGCCGCTGTCCGGCATCCTCACACAGAGAGCGACGGCAACGATATTCCTGTCAACATTCGTACGACTGAGGCCACACACCATTACTCGCACGTATACATACTTATTGTAGCGCATACATCGACAGGGTTCAGGGTGGGACATGATGCGCTCTTTGGCGTCAACGGCGATCCCGGTGCGCGACAAGCGCGGCATAAGCAACGGAACGGTCCAGAGGAGGCGGTAATGGTGGTGAAAGATTTGGTGGAGCGATGTGTAGACGGATTCTTAGAGGAGTTGTATGATCCTCGCCTGCAGCAAGGTTCTACCCCCATGAATAGGGAGGAGCATTCCCCTTGTGTGGATAAGTACTTAAGAGATCAATTGGTAGTGTTTGAGGCACTGGGGAGATCAAGATTCCAACCGAACGATGACAGCCGCCGTGGGAAGGAAGATGAACGATATTGGAGTCTTCACATGCAAACGGCGCGTTGGGTCTGTGAAGAGATGCTGAGTAAACAGGCACATGACATGAAGCATTTACATTAAGCCCCTAAGGTCAAGAATATGAAGAAAATGACAACGCGAAACATCCAGTCATATAATGAGAAAAAAAAATTAATAGTAAATGTATGATTGTCAGTAAATCGTACAGTCGAAAGGGTATGAAAATCGACCAATATTAAAACAATGAGTACACATCACAAGACAGACGAAAGCGAAATATCTGAACAGAAAGTAAAGCAGATATTAAAGGAGAGAAGAAGAAAGGTATCCATCTGCGCCACCACCCGCCAGCCAGCAGCAGATTCATGGCTGTGCGCTCTATTCCCACGAGGTATGACTTTTATGGAAACTTCCAAATCGCCATTCCCAGCAGCGGATTAGGGAAATCACTCATGCCGTACCCAGATTGTCTCGCATATACACACAAAAGAAAGATAAGAGAGATGAGTAAAAAATAATCGCAGTGCTGAACCACCGGTTCAGTTAAAATCGAGAAAGCCGCCCTTGTATATGGTATAAGAATCCGATGATCGATTAACTCCCAACAATGCATCAAGTCAGAGCATAATTGAATAGGGTAAGGAAAGACAGTGCCGTGATTGAGACAGGCGTGAAAGGTCCCTGGGACTCGGTCCCAACCTGCAGGACCCTGGAAATCCGGTCGAAGTCCTGGAGGTCTTTCGTGCCGTCTCGAATTAGAAGCAGTATCGCAGGTTTACAGCAGTTCCCGAGCGATCGCCCTGTAAGGGGAGTCATTTAAGATCTCCGAGGGCAATGCTCTTCGGTAATCTCGTGGCTGGGCAAAGGGGGACGTAGATGATGGTCGACGGAGTTTCAGTTGCTAGATGAAGCCAGGAGTTAGCGTCATTTCGGAGGTTTGCATGGTATTAATCAATCTCAGATGCTGATCGGGGAGTCTAAAGTAGAAGATCTGGAAGCGAATGACATACCACACAATCGGCGCATTTTCCTCCTTGAATATTAACGCGGCCACGGCAACCGCGAGGATAATTGGCACACGAATACATGATGATGTAGTTGGCTGTAGAGCGAGTTGGATCACCGAAAAGAAGGAAATTGCTGATAGCTGGCTGATAACCACAATTTGGGTCGTCGAAGAAGAATAAATCCCCTATCCCGTCAAGGGAGGTTTTCTAGGGCTGGTTGTAATTTTCTCTTTTCTTTTCTTTTTTTCCTTTTTTTTTCTGGGGTTCACTCCCAAAAAAGAAAAATGTCAAGGAAAAAAAAAAAAAAAAAAATTAGGCTGCAGCCAGTGTGATAAAAAAAGACAATAAAATCGAACTAGTCCGAAATCCAAAGCCACACGGCTATTACGTCAAGATCTTGAAACCGTTGTCTTGCAGCAAGACAAGCAGGGAAAAAGGATCGCGAGCTAAGGCACCGCTAGGGTCCGTTTGGGTGCTTTAGCGTTGAAAGTTGGGCTGCGCCACCAAAAACCGTCTCAAAGAGGGCAATTCCGAGGAAAAGCAAAGACGGTCAAGGGAGGAGGTAAAATCCAATCAAGGAGTGGAGGACGAAGGAAGGAGGTTAGAATAGAATTCGGACGATCAACGGTCACGAAGAAGCAATGCAGCAAGTGACAAGGTCACCAAAGTAAATCGAATCAATACCAGGGGTAGGTAAAGATTCGAGAAGTCCCATGGGATTTATAGGCGATGGAGATCGGAGCGAAATGCCCATCGGGTTGAAGATCAGGAGAAGACGGATGTACAATAAATAATAAAATAAATCAATCAGCCTATGAAAAATCACAACCTTCACAGGATATCCTGGGATATTAATTTTCTTTTTAATTTTCTTTTTTTTTTCTCGTTTTCCTTCGGTGCCATCTAGGTACGGGCGGGATTGGGGGACCAGATGGAGCCGTCGTATATTATTCTGATGCAGTCATTGAAGAAAAATAATCATTTATTGCTGTAATTCCTAGTTGTGGGCTAATTAGCTCGATTTATTATTATTTTTACTGATATTATTATCTTGCGTAATAAAAATTCGAACCAGTGAAAACTCACGAGGGGATTCTCATTGGATTGAAACCACAGGGCACCGATCAGTTTTGGATGGATCCTGGGCATCACCGACAGGAGCTGACTTCCTTGGCGGGTGAACTTATGTTTCCTGCGATGGTCATTGGCTTTAAAACGGTTACTGGCGTTCCAACGGTGGGCTCCGCGTTTCCCGGCTGGCTGCTTCGAGGCTGAACCACTAAAGGAGGGGAAAAAAAATAGTCTTCTGCCATTCGATCTGTGAGCCGAGGGAGAAAAAAGAGTCCGCAAGTCTCCGGGTTTAGTTGATCATCAAGCAAGGGGACAAAGGAAATAAAAAAAAATTAGTTAGTATCATTTCCCTTGTTGAGAGTCACTCAATTCCCGAACAATCTCCCCATGTAACATCTTGATCTCTCCAATGACTCGCATTGTTGACAAGCACGGGAAGAAAGACGACTTGATTGCAGGGGTTCGTGGGCCCGTGTCAGAAGCGATCACCCTTTGCACAAAAAAGCCACGACAGTAAGAATACGAATCTTGTCGGATTATTGGGTACCAGCTGTGGGCATAAACAGCAGGTCGCTCGAAACGCAACCGATTGATCCACTGACGCCAGTAGCCGAAGTCACGGAAGTTTCGCATTAATGGAGCGGTGCCATTAAAATCTGGATCTTGGGCCGAACCGTCGCACCAAGAAAGTTTCCACTCTTTCTGGAACGTCGACGGCGAAGCGCTAATTCGGATTTTTTTTTTTCTTCTTTCAATTTTTTTTTCTTCAGTTTTCTTATCCCTGTCATCCTTTATCTGGCGTCTCTTGAACGGGCATCTCTTGGCGGAAATTGCGGGAGTTGTGTATATCAGCCAATTGGAGATAGTAACAATTCAATGAAATGAACGAGAGGAACCCTAGAACCTGCTCTTTGTTCTGTCTCAACGATAGTGAGTCAAAAAGTCCTGTGAGAGGTTAAGAAAAAAGAAAAGGGGAAACAAAAAAGAAAATCACACAATACTAGAGAGATCCGCATTGGCTCTTCTCTCCCCTGTGTAAGAACACCACCACTGTAGATCATCTTGTTTGAATCTACTATTTGCCTTCGGTGCTTCCTCCTAAACGCAATTTATCAATAACAACCACGATGGACGACCGTGCTTACAATCTAGTAAGCTGAAAGGTCCCGACATCCGCATCATTGGGTACGCGAAGTGGAGAGTAACATGAGAAGCCATCATGATCCTTCCTTCCGTCCAGCCACCGAGGACTTCGCCTTGTGGACAGCTAACATAGCCTCCTCCTACCTGGCTCGGAATCTAATTTTTGAACAAAGATCAGGCTTCACGTCAGACGGATGAATGTTAAGTACCCCTCGGTAAGGACAAAAGAGAAATCCCGAGGGGCTCGCAGATGAATGCATTGATTTGATTCCTCGCGAACAAGATCAAGTTTGTCTGTCGTCATCGTGCATTATTGTTCGAATTCCTTGCTGAAGCGGTGGCACTGAATGGATGAGAGAAGGGTGATCATGGATGGTCACCCCTCTTACTATTTACTACTAGTGAGGGGCTTTGAAGGACGTTGAGGGGAACACAAATATCGTAGTCACTTGACATGATCATGTGCCACCTTGTCCCCTATACTATACTAGTTGCGCTGCCTACCACAATATCAGATTGTGATTCTATCGGTCTGTTGGCAGAGACTCAGACTAAGATGAGGATTCTAGACCGCTAGTCTATCTTACTATCTCAACAAACAAGGGAAATTAATTAAAATCGAATAATAAAATAGACCCGGGTCACCAGATTTGCCTCCTTATAGTAGCGTTCGGTAACATCGGATAGATTCCCAATCAGAGTATACGGTGGGAAAGGTCATGGATCACCCTGTCTGTAGTATAGTATCTGAAATTATCGTCGCATGTTAAAATCCTTTGATGACCCTTCGCATGTGAACCGAAATGTGCACGAAACTCCAGTACCCTTTGAAGGTCGTAGTAGTATCTACAGAAAAATATTCATCTCAATCTAGCTAAAGGAGTTTCACTAAGCGAAAAAAGCGGAGCCCCTAGTGGGAGTGGAAAAGGGATTTTAGAGAAATGCAAAAGAAAAAGGGAAAGAAAAAAAGAAGAAAAAAAAAAAAGGGCCCGAGGGAAAGGAGAAGCAAGCTCGAGGATGGAGTGTTAATTAAGGGTTTAAAGTTCTACAGTATATTTTTTATTCATTTATTAGTAATTATTATTTTCTTCCTTTTTGTTTTACTGTTTCCCGTTTTTGGGTAAACTGCCTGCTATACTTATCATGCATATGTTGGAAAAAATCACACTACCATTACTATCTCCTACCAGAGGGTCCAATACAAATCACAAGATAAACTAACCTAAAAGAAAAAAAAATTCCCCTTTAGTCCCCACCACCATTATTTAGATCACGAACAGGCCAACAACCGGACAGATGTCAAAGAGTTCGGTTCCGTAACAGCCCTGCCCGCTTGGTTCTCATTTTAGTAGGGATCCATCGGCCTTTCTGACAGTGCTCAAGGAGAGAAAGAGAATTGGGACGTGAGCATTCGGCTAGTGGGCGTGGAACGGACCAACACTGCAAATGGATTCAAATGCAAGTGCTTATATCTAAGTTCTGCTGAAACGGACCATATTTTGGCTGGTTCAGTGGAGAATCCTCCTTTGTGGTTGAGCCGCTTCACCTCGATCGACAAGCCTCCTTCTAGTGACCTTGGGCATTGTTTCCAGACCGGTCTAGATCAGCTTTGGGCTCGTTTGACCCATCAAGCACTGACGTCCGATACAGAACGCTTGTCTTCAGACCATGAAACAGATGATGCACCGCCGCTCTGACACAATGACAGTCAGTCGCACTGCCGCTGTCCTCTGGGTCAAGTATCAGATGACGTGCAGGCTGCAGAGTGTTGATTCAATCCAAGCAGGGCACGGCAGATAGCAGTCCCGATGTTTGAGTGTGAAACGGGTTGCCCCATTTTTCATAGTTCATGGCTTTTCTTGGGCAAGAGATCAAGAATGATCGGCATGGGGCAGAGCGTTTGGGGCCAAGATCTTAATGCAACTGTCAGTACACCTCCAAGTAGCGTAGAGTTCAGGCATTAAACAGCGATCGAAGCACAAGCCATGCCCCTAGTACTCCAATTACCGAGGCCACCAACAGACCATTCCCTTCCCAGGTCAAGCCCAAATATGCTAGGCAGCCTACTACGAGCTCTTTTCTCCGCGCGGCATCTCGTTTACTCGACCATTCTGGGTCAATCCGAAACGGGATTGCTGACTGCGTTGCATCTGCTGGACGCCTTGACGGCACAGGAACGGAAGCCGACAGCGCGACAGCGCGATGATCTGACGTCGGAAACAGCGGAAGAGAGTTATACTTTAAGGGCCTAACCCGCGCTTCCTCGCCCAAACCAGGCAACGTTTCCAGGTACAACACACGATCACACCAACTAGGCCAGCGTGTACTGGTCCACAGCCACTCCTGTGAGCCGCTGCCACGAGCTGCAGCCTGACGCGCAGCATTTGTGTATTTGTACGTCGGAGGGAAGTTTATCGGGGCTTCTGACAGGCCATGGAAGCTTCGAGACTGTCGCATCTCCTGGATGAGTTGATCCTCTTTCAACAAGTGGGAGAAATGACGGGGATCGGCTGGATCCACCTCCGCTTGCGGAAACCGGGCCCAATCCTCGTTTCGTGGCGATGCATTAGAAGTGCGATAATTGAGGTCGCCTGCCAGGAAGAGATAACTCGTAGGAATAAAGATACCCCGGTAATCATCGCCGGAGCTCCGTGTAGAACCGTTTAGCAAGGCTGTGCTCTCGGAGTCGTCCCCTGTTTCAGCATTCTCCCTGGCTTTAGCAGCCACACGATCAAACACTAATCGCTCTACCATACTACGCCAATCTTCGTTCCTTTGCCGTACGGCATACTCCATGGGCGCAAGGTGGGCGGCAATGAAGGTCAGATCCACTGTGTCATCAGGGGTTTTCTGCGTCGCATAGGACAGCCGTGCCCCAACCGCGCCCTTGTTGCCCATTTGCTGGAATCCAAACCCGACTCGGGCAGTATCAATCGAAGAGATACGTTCCGCCACATCGGATCGAGCATACACCATCAATCCCGTCATCCCACTATTATCTGTGACCATATTGACGTAATGTGTCTCCCAGCGCCTAGACACAGCGCGCTCCACTACCTGACTCAGGGAAGCAAAATATGGTGCCAGAAAAGAGCCACCGAGAAATGCATACGCGATGGGTGCGATTTCTTGAAGTGATAGTACGATGAAATCCGGCGGCGCGGAAGCGCTTGAACTGTCGGTGAGGGGCAGTGCATCGAAGAAATGGTGAGCGAAACGGTCGACGTCAACGAGGTTCCGGGCGCAATTGAAAGTGAGCATGTAGAGGGTAAGGCTTTCCATGGTAGGCACAACTTCAGTCCGATCAATTAATTAAATAGTATGTATATAGAGGGATCAGTGGTGATAGGAATGAAGCCTGGAGAGTTTGGGGTTAACAGCGATCCGGATGGTTGTCAATTCGACCAGTTCCATGGATTGATGGTTTGGGGCATCCATGTGACGATCAGTGGATCCTTATCGATAACGATCGGGAATTTTGTATGTTTTGCACATAGTTCCAAAAGAGCAGCTCTTGTTCAGCTGATATCAATAATCATCCCACTTTGAAAAGCAAGAAACCTGTGTCATTCAGAAATATGTCCGTGATCCATGATCTTATCCATTATCTACAACTTTCCTCGGATATCTTCCTCTAGTTCCACCAACAACATACCCTCTGCCACGTCTTCTTCCTCTTCATCCATCTGATATACCCACTGAACTCGGCCACCTCGTGGGCTTCGCACCTCAAGCTCCATCTTCATCTGCTTAACAAATGCCAGCACTTGATTCTCCACCACCTGATCCCCAGTCACCACTAAAACCTCGATCAACTTCCCAGAGAGGGGAAGCACGATATGGCGGGGATTGTGCACATCGCCACGGCGATGGGAAGATGAGACTAGAGCAGATGCAGTTGTAGATGTGCTGTTTAGCTGCAGTCGATAGGCTGTGGATGAAGAGGGCGTGGTATATCTGATCTCTGCGGCCATGGAAGAAGGAAAATCATTTTGCAAGACTCGAGTGAGCTGGAGATGATGCTGCTGCTGCACGGTCTCTAGGGGCTCTAGGGTGATTGACCATGCATCTCCAGGGCGAAACAGAAGATTGGTTGAGGAGATACTCGGCATCATGGGTGAATGAAACGATTGTGCAGATGCTTCATGGCGGACAGATTCAGCAATTGCCTCTCCTGATCGGATCACATTTCCAAGATGTCTTTCCAGCCATTGTGTGTCGATCTGGCCTGTCAAAAGGTCATCATGGGAAAGTATTCCTCGTAACAGGTTCAAATTGGTCTGCACCCCAGATATTTTGACATCTGTTAGCACACGCCGAGCTTTCGACACGGTTGCCTCCCAGCTGGATGCAGTGACGATAATTTTTGCCAACATGTTATCAAAATTTGCTCCAACCGTAACAGGGCTCGACCCAGACGCATCAACGTGGGTGTCAATACGAACGCCGTGGCCACTCGGCACGACGAACTCAGTGATCTTGCCTATACTCAAGTGGAAACTCCTACCTGGGTCTTCGGCGCACAATCGCAGTTGAATAGAGTGACCCTGCGCCCGTACTGGGCGGTCTTTCAGTAAGCCAACTTGGGCGATCGATAATCCCATAGCAATTTGTAGCTGTGTCTGGACCAAATCCACACTGGTAATGTTCTCAGTAATGGTATGCTCCACCTGCAGGCGAGGATTGATCTCGAGAAAATAGAACTCCTTTCGTTGATCGTGAACTAGAAATTCGACTGTTCCAAGAGACCGGTATCGAATTGCCTTTGCCATGCGAATGGCGGCGTTCACTACTTGTTCCACCACATCCTGGTTTTGCATAAGCGATGGAGCAAATTCAACGACCTTCTGGAAACGACGCTGCAAGCTACAGTCACGCTCCCAGAGGTGACACACGTCAATACCGTCACCCACGACTTGGACCTCAAGGTGGTGAAATCCATCCACAGCGGCCTTTTCTACAAAAACCGTCTGCGATGGTGATTCGTTAGTTGCTGCCCGCACAGCATGCTCCAGTTCGTCTTCCTGGCGCACCAAGCGGATACCACGGCCCCCTCCGCCATCAACCGCCTTGACCATAATGGGGTACCCGATCTGCTGCGCAAACGTGCGTATCTCTACTAAGTTGGAGGTGGGACTTGACATGGCCGGCAAGACGGGAACTTTACATTGCGTTGCCAGCTGTTTGGCTTTGAGTTTGTCTCCTGTGCAGGCAAGGATCTCGGGCCCAGGACCAATGACAGTAACACCAACATCATGCATACGACTGGCGAATTCTGCACTCTCGCTAAGGAAGCCATATCCGGGATGCACAGAGTCAATGCTGTATTCGCGGCTCAGGTTAACGAGCAACGGGATGTCCAAGTAGGCCGCAGCAGATGGCACCCGCACTGCGTGGTGAGGACGTCCAATATCACAGTGAGAACGGTCATCGTCTGTATAAAGAGCAACTGTTTCAATTGATGGAGAAAGTTCACGTGCAGCTTGAAGAATACGGACAGCGATTTCGCCTCTGCTTCATTAGAAAAAATCCTCGCGTACAGCATGGATCTTTGGGAAATACCTGTTTGCGATTAGGAGCCGCTGAATAGACTGAGCACACATTTTTGCAATTCGAGTTACATTGAACAAAATATGTGGCTACCAACGACCAAGTACAGCGCTAATCACTGTTTCTGATGGGTGGAGCTCAGCCCTCGGACCTCGGAGAGAATGAGCTCATGATTCATGACCCCTCATGAGGGGTTAGGGTATAGGTGGGAGAGAGAAATGCATACAACAAATACTACCAATCACTATACAGCGATAATCAAATAACTTGAAAGTAATTACAATGTCAGAAGACAAGTCATCGGCAGCGACCAGAAGACTCGACCAAGTCTCGGCGCATCTCTCGCAGCAAAAACTCCCTCCCGACTATGCGGATGTGCGCTCCCAAATCAGTACACTCCGCAAAATCGCCGCTACCCCCGACATCACTCGACGCGGCTACATTCGACAGAAGCAAGCAGGAAAGCTCTGGGTGCGAGAACGCATCGAAGAACTCCTCGACCGCGATAGTTTCCAAGAGATTGGCTCGTTATCCGGCACAGTAACATGGGAGAAGACTGGACCCATGCGGGAGAAGCCCGTTTCATTCGTGCCGGGTAATAATATTCAAGGGATGGGAAAATTGCGTGGTCGCCGAGTTCTACTCACTGCGGATGACTTCTCCCTCAGAAGTGGACATGCAGATGGCGCCACTGCAGGAAAGACAACCTACTTCGAGAAACTAGCTTTAGCACTCAAGTTGCCCGTCGTAAAGCTTGTTGATGGTAGTTCAGGTGGAGGCAGTGTCACAACCATCCGCACGGCAGGTTGGAGTTACCTGCCCTACGTGTCGATGTACAAATATGTGGTCGATCAGTTGAATCAAGGCATTCCAAATCTAGGAGCAGTAGTTGGGCCAGCTGTATGTATTCCGGTCTACCCATTCTTTTCCTAGGCTGGACGGGGCTCACCAATAACAGATTGGTCTTGGAGCCGCTCGAGTCGTCTCCTGCCATTTCTCTGTCATGGCTGCAGATGTAGGCTCACTCTTTAATGCAGGCCCAGAGGTAGTCAAAGGGGCAACCTTTGAAGAGGGGCTGGACTTCCAGTCATTGGGCGGGCCCCTGATACACTGCACAAATGGGACAATAGATAACCTCGCTCCTAATGAAGCTGAATGCTACGAGCAGATCCGTACTGTTTTAGGCTTTCTGCCTAATTGTGGTCGAGAGGCGCCACCTGTGGTCGCCAGCGATGACCCCGAAGACCGTGAGGATGAGGCGCTACGGCGGATTATTCCTCGCCGACAGACAAGAATGTACAATCCACGAACCATCATCACTAGCGTGGTTGATCACGACTCGTGGTTCGAGATTGGCGCACTCTGGGGTCGTACTGCGATCGGTGGTCTAGCAAGACTAGGAGGGCGGCCTATTGGAGTGATCTCCTTGAATTGCGAAGTAAACGGCGGGGCACTAGATGCGGCTGGAAGCCAGAAATTGACGAGGTTGTTGAAGCTTTGCGATGTGATGAATCTGCCTGTGCTGCAATTCATTGACGTTCGTAAGTCCTCTCGTCTATTATCTTTTCTACGGTATTTTACTTTGTGACATTTTCACTAACATTATCGTAGCCGGCTATGCCATCGGTACCGCTGCCGAACGCACTGCGACAATGCGCTGGGGTGTTGAGCTAGCGAAGACCTACTACTCAACTACAGTGCCAATATTCAATGTGATCACTCGACGAGCGTACGGCGTGGCTGGTGGCATCATGCTAGGTGCCCGTGACCCAGTTATGCAAGTAGCCTGGCCATCGGGGCAGTGGGGATCTCTACCACTCGAAGGGGGCATCGAAGTTGCCCATCGACATGAGCTACGCGAAGCTGAAAAGGAAGGCCGGAAGGCCGAGCTGTACCAGGAACTGGAGGAAGAATACCGGCGATTGATGAATCCGGTGCGCACAGCGAATGCGTTCGGAGTAGAGGAGATCATTGATCCTAAAGACACGAGAAAGGTGTGCTGTGCATGGGCTCGACATGTGTATAAGGCTTTGATACCAGAGAGATTGGCAGATCGGGCTGCTGGGAAAATTCAGCCGGTGTTCTCTTAACCCCGGACCATTGTTTAGTCGCATAATCTGATTGCTCTGTGGGGGTCAACAAGAACTACGAAACATCAATATTATGATACAATTAAGTGAGACACTTTAGCATGTCCCTGCTTTCGCGGACTGTCAACTTTAGGTGATACTGATTAGTACTAGAAGGTGGCGGGATTCATCCAACAGAGAACGTCAATATATATACATCTCAATGATAGTTAGGAGATTAGCCCCAATACGCTGAGCATCTAAGAATCCATACGGATAAATCCCTTGATTCATGTATCAGTAACCAGCTAGCCTATTCTGGTAGATCCCTGCTATTCTAATCGATGTTTTCAACATATCGCTCAACTAATTCATATAATTTCGAGAGGTGGAGAAATTAGGGATCGGATATTCGGAAATTACAACTTGGCAACTCTCACAAGCGTTAATATAAAGACTTGGACACAACCACGGTCTGGAGGTAGGTACCTGGCAGCATTTTTTTTCTCCTAGGCCTAGGAGCTTGACGAAAGCCGAGACAATATTCCAAATAGGACAGAGAGCAAAAAGAAGCTAGCGAAGCAATAAAAGCAAGGGGTGAAGTAAAAACAAATCCAGGTGAGATGTCCGAACAACCGTCCCAAAAAGGAAATAGCTGGTCCCGGAGAGGCTCGAACTCTCGACTTCTGAGTTATTAGCTCAGCACTCTAACCGACTGAGTTACGGGACCGCTTGTTGTTGAAAGAACACCTGCTAATATGCATCATCAAAGAAAATTAAAAATATAATGGCCTTCACCATAATCAACGGGCAGGTGTTTACCCCGGGGCTTGCGATTATCGACTCCCCTCAGCCCTATACCCCACTCGGAGGAGGTAAGTACACATGTACGCCCTTTGCAGCCATGTGTGCTGATATGCATCTATGATAGACAACCTCCAAGTAGCCATTGACGTCTCTGGCAACGGGCGGTTGACCTCCAGCCCGTCCGACGCCACTCAATTCCATGACATTACGCTCTTCCTGACCTCGAATGAGCTCTCGAAGAACTTCACTATCTCCAATGGCACAGAGCCCAAGGACAAGGCCTATGTCGGCCCTGTCCTGGAGATTAACCCGTCTACCAACGTCCAACAAGTCAACTGGAACTGGCCTGCGTGCTTAGTGGGTGGCGGGGACGGCGGTTCTGGCTCTGCACGAGGATCGTACAATATCTCAATCCATCAGTCTTTCAAGTGGGATGGAAAGGACTACTATACGATTTCTGACTTGCCTGTCAACATCACCAATGCTATTAGCAAGTCGGACGATAGAGTCGATTGTAAGTTGTTGGAGAACGACTTGCTCAAGCCCGCTGAGATTGCCGCGAGCAATGATACTTTGCCGGGGCAGCCTTGGGTGGATGAAGGTGCTGGAGGTGATGGTGGTAGTAAAAGTAGTAACAGCAGCAACGGTGGTGGAGAGACTAATAGTGGTGGCCATGTTCGAGGTACTATGAAGCAATGGGGTCTGTTTGCCATGGTGGTTGGGGGTATGCTGCTGATTTGAGGTGCAGGACATGGGGCCCTAGTGGATTGGATTTTCTGGATTTTAATTTTTGTCATACACATATATTGTAATTATATTTATATACAATTCTCTTGCCCGTCCTGAGGCGATTACCTATTGATAGGAGTGATTATCATTTGAATTAGTTCCTAGAGGTAGCCTTAGGCATAAGCAGTTAATGACCGCCACGGGTGACAGAGCTCATAAAGGTAGGGAAGGTAGCTTTCATATCCAATCTCGAAAACAGACAAAAAGCGAAAGGTATTAATTAAATGGGACAAACCATTCCGAACGTAACATCGTTACTGACCCAGCACTCCTATTGAGACTTCCTCTGCACACTCCAAGAGTGGAAATGGTCTGTTAATGTCTCCTTCAAAGGTCGGTAAACGATCTTTAACTCCTCCACACTGGCGTGATTGTTGATATTGAATTTGACGCCCAGATTCAATTTAAGCCATTTTTGGCTTAAGCCGAGTAACGGTCCGCACAAACGTACCAGCGAATTTGGAAGCTTATGTTCCGGAATTCGGCTGGAGTGAGCAAGCGAGCGTAGGATACGAGCAAACTCCACAAAGCTATGCATCTCTTTGTCGGCCAAGATATAGCGACCGTGTGAATCCGGGTTCTGGGCTACGCGAAGGTGAGCTGTAGCAACTTCTCGGACGTCGACAGTGGCAAACCACAGGTCTGGAACCCCCAAAAACAATTCACCGCGGAGCAGCTGGTTAAGTAAAGACAGACTGCCAGATTCTGAAGTGGGTGAGAGCGACGGACCCAAAACAAGCCCAGGGTTGATTGTCACTAATCTCCAGCGCCGTGGGTTCGGTTGTGCCTCGTAGTATTTCCACGCCTCTCTTTCCGCAATCGCCTTGGAATACGAATAGGCATTGTGTGTAACAGTGCTGGTGGTATTGAAATACTCGCTGGAGAGAGTGTTCTCCTTCATATTCTGCACATCTGCGTTGTCCCCAAAGATGGCCGCTACAGATGATGTGACGACGACAAGTTTGATCGTTTCGCATTTCTGGACCGCATCGAGAACATGTTGTGTTCCTTTAAGAGCCGGCTCAACCACCTCCTTCTGGCCGTCACGGATCCGACTCTCGATAAAAAAGGGCGAGGCAATGTGATATACCACCGAACAGCCCTTGGCTGCGGCGTCGAAAGACCCTGCCTTTAGGAGATCCGCCTCAAACAAAGTCAATTTCCCGGGCCATTTGGCCTGCATGTCGAGCAGGTGTTTGACCTTTTTCTCGTTCTTTATACTGCGAACCGTCGCATGAACCTGGTAGCCACTCTCAAGTAATTGTTGGACAACATGACTGGCAACGAAACCACTGGCACCTGTCACGAGGCATATATCTTCTGTCATTTCCAGGTATGACTTGAGCCGTATCACAGTGAGAATGGAAGTCCCTGTTGTACCGAATTGAGTGTGGTACCTTTTACTTTCTCGATTTCCCTATGATTTCTGGCCTTCTGAATACGTGGGGGGCCCGGAATTTATATCCGAGTGCTAAGTGAACCACTTCAGAAAGCTTGTTCGATCATGTCTTTTATTCAACATCAAGCTATCCAATTTTGGTGACATCTTAGTTGCCTCTCGCCGCGGTAAACTGCAAAAAACCTAGTGAAATCATACGCATGGGCCGTTTGAAACCACAATACTTAGATCATCATCTACTAGTAACTAGTATTTACATACCTCAAGGCAATAGTCTCGGGATCGGGCTGTTAGTTCCCCCGGTCTGCTAGGAGCATACGTCATAAAGAATCCAGCAAAATACGAACGGTTCAAGTAAAGTTTCGCTTATGGAGCCAGGGTAACTTAGCATATGAATTCAGGACCTATAGAGTGGCAATACTGAGGTTTGAGCGACCCCCTGGCAGTATGGAAAGTCGTGTATCTTAATAAGCCAGAGCTTTATGGCCGTATCTATGAGCGCTGATGAACTTCACCTAGGACCCACCTAGCCCTAACAGTACATTCAATGATTCTCGTTAACCCTTCAAGGTTCTTCTAGCAAAAACCAAGATAATGATATTGCGTTGTGACACTAATAAATCTCGCCTATGCCACAAACATAGCACATGAAACAAAATTCGCATATATCGTCCCCAATAACTACCATCCAAATCTCAATCCCCTATCCCCGAAAAGCCGCCCAAGCCTGAAACGCCCCCGCAGCCGCCGTAATGAAACCACTTGACTTCACCCCTCCCCGTAGATACGAAACCGAACTACCCCAAGCAATCAACGTAAGTAAAGCAGCAATAGCCCGATTCAGCGGCTCATCCAGCGCTTGCGGATTCAACGACCATTGGAGATTAAGCAATGCTAAAAAAAAAAAAATCAAATAAGCGGTCAGAGCACCGTGGCAATACATTGTATTTATAAAAGTGGAGGAAATACCAGTTAGCACCAGGTAACCACTCCCTTGAAACCATCCCACGGTACTGCAGACAAATGCTATACTGGGTAGTTCTTGGAACCGTCGCAATCTCATGAATTTACGGCTGGAGAGCTGCGTGATTTGTTAGATTGTCTTTTTGTATATCTTGGGGCATAGTGGATTGGGAGTGACAGTAACTGACTGCGTGCCCGAAGGCGAGGATTAGAGAGCCGTATGCTGCCGCTTTTAGGTGTGCTGGGTTTGCCATGGTAGATGGATATTATATTGTCAAGTATGAAACGAGGTAAGTAGTATGGAGCGGTATGGAAATGGGGTTAGGGAGTTGGGATATTATAAACGTTCTATGTTCCTGATGTAAACTCGGGGAAATATGTTTATTTCCTCCGATAACCTAGGCTAAAATCATCCATCCCCCGGGGCCGGCCTTGAGCTTCCCCAGGCTTAGGGCTTTGGCTAGCCCAATCCGGGGTGGCTTGCGAGGTCACTGCCCTGGCTTGGACCCTTCGTTACACGTGAATACTCCCTTGTGGGGAATCTGTTGAAAAGTGATGAAGATAAAATTATTTTCTTTATCTGAATCTCTAAGATGAATTCATAAATTTATCATCTCTGGACGATGTCCATAGTTGAATTGCCCCCTGCTGATAGGCGATCCGCTTATGGAGTGAGTAGCATGCCATGACTGCTATCCATGTAGTGTTCATCTGTGCGAACTGATAATGGGACACGCGTATTTGATACAAAACTTCGTGCAATGAGAAAATGGTGCCGGAGGACCAGGGTTATTTTGCTGACTTCCAAGAAAAGGTAGAATACTGTTTTTTTTTTTGCAAAGACTTCTCTACTGATGACAACAAGGATGACAGCAGGATCCAAAACATGTAGATTAGGTGGTACGTTCTTTAACATATTAATATAGTACATAATGAACAAGAATAACCCCAAACGAGAGACCAGAAAAGGAATCTAAAAAATCATGCCTGAGAATAGCCACTACGAGGTGGGGTGAGGCTATTGCAGATTTTCGGGCTTGACAACGTTGATAACCACCTTCCCCAGACCACCGCGATTGCTGTACACAACCTGACAGGCTTTTCGCACTTCCTCGATGTCCCACATATTAGCTGTAGTGCCAACCACTGGCTTCAACAGGTCCTTCTCGACATATTCGCGTAAGAGATCCAGGTCTTTCCCACTAGGCTCCAGGAACATATACGAGTACTCCACGCCGTACCGTCGTGCTCGTAGCTTACGGGCGGCATCAAGCAGATTTAAAGCTTGTTTGTAGATGAAGGGTAGAGTCGGGCGATGAGGAAGTCTCATGACTGACGAGTCCTGTAGCAGATTTCCCGATGGCAAGGTTGAGATTGAGATAATCCGGCTGGTTTTCGGCCGCATCAGACATAGATACTCCATGGCAAGGCCAACAGTATCAAACAGAAAGTCAACTGAGCCGTGTGGAATAGCATCCTTTGGTTCGGACTTCGTGTAATCGATGACTTCAGTGCTGTCAGCAGTTGATTTTATGACAGGGATATAGTGGGTGGAGGCTGGCTGGTGGGATGGGGTCTTACTCTCGTCAACAGTTCCCTTTCCTAACAGTTCGTCTACTTTAGGGATTTTAGACGTTGACACCGTCGTGATCACCTTGCCGGCATGGAAAACATGCTTTGCTAATTGACATGCATATAGACCCGTCCCACCTACTGCAATGTTGTTAGATATGCGTGCCGATTAGAGGCAAAAAAGGGGATCGTACGTCCTGCAGGCACAAATACAGTTTTCCCTGCAAGGTCACCATTATACTTCTGTAGTGCCTGGAAGGCCGTTGTTGCTGCCAGTGGAATGGCGGCTGCGCTCTCGAAAGACAGAGATGGTGGCTTCAGAGCAATGAATTCTTCCGGGCATTTAGCATATTCACTCCATGTTCCACGATGTGACTCTGGTAGCCGAACGTAGACTTCATCGCCGGGTTTAAATCGGGTTACACTTTGCCCAGTTTTGGTCACTATGCCGGCACAATCGTATCCAATCTTGTAGGGGAACCTGGGTTATGTTAGTCACGACGGCTTTCTTCTGAAGGGTGTACTTACGTGTCTTTGAGTGCTGCTTTTAGAACACCTTCTGCCTTTTTCAGATCAACCGGGTTCACACTGGCCGCATGGACCTTGATGATCACGTCTTTTGAGTCGGTGATTTCCGGTTCTGGTAGCTCGGAAAGTATGTACCCGGACGGGTCGGAGTAGGAAGGGATGTTGATCGATAGCATTTCGGCAACAGTTTGACAAGGGAGTTATTGAAGAAAGAGAAGACGAGCTAGAACTGACTTTGAGATGCAGTCACGTATTTTAAAGAAAGAGCAAAATGACGACAGAGCTCGGAACTGGGTTACATTTCAACTTAAGCCTTGGCACTGGAAGCTTTGAGTAAATAAACTTTTGAACGCCACTCGCGTTCTCGGTTCTGTTTGATTAGTCAACGAACCAGGTGATGAATAAACGGAAAAAGATATACTTAAAGTTCTTGATAGCCTAATTCATGCGCAGAAATATTGCCCCGATTCCGCTCTAGAATCAGATGGTGGAGGATGTGAAACGGTTCCTGCCGTCGGGAACGGTCAGATCAAATCCTCCGCCAGGACCCACCATAACCACACTCTCGTTTACTCATCCTGATCGTCAGGGTCCATGAACTTCTTGGTGCTCTGACTAATGTTTGCCTCTTCTATTCACTATACTTCGAACATCTTCTCGATGAGTGGGTTTGAAATGTCTACGGCAGTCTTGCAGCCCAGGGCTGGCCGTTGCCCTGTCGTTATTTTATTTAAAGACAGAGAATCCCACGACGACCTGATCCCTTTCGCTCATCACTTTCTTCAATCAAAGTCCATTTAATATATCCCCCCGTCTTTTGAATATTACCGCATGATGAGCTCCAACAAGGCCTTGATCTTCAAACAGATCCCAAAGGGATACCCTGTCCCTGGGGAAGATCTGACCATTCAGCCAGCGTTATACGACAAGAATACCGCCCCGGTTGAGAACGGTATCGTTGTACAATCCCTATATGCTAGTTTCGACCCTTACATGCGGGGTCGCATGAGACCCGCGGACGCGACATCATATATCCCGGCATTTGAGTTGGATAAGCCGATTGACAGCTTTGGTATTGCCAAGGTTATTCGCTCTAATAACGCTTCTTACAAAGAGGGAGACATCGTCATCGGCCAGATCCCGATCCAAGAGGTTGTCTCGCTAGATGAGGGTTCCATTGCCAAAGTCCGCCTCCTGCAAAACCCCCTGGGGATTGACTTGAGCGTTTTCCTGGGTGCCCTTGGTATGCCTGGTCTCACAGCATTTTCGTCTTTTTATAAGATCGGTAAACCCAAACAGGGTGAAACAATCTTTATCTCCGCTGCCAGTGGCGCTGTTGGTCAGGTTGTTGGCCAGCTCGCGAAACACGAAGGCTTGAAAGTCATTGGCAGTGTGGGCTCGGATGAGAAACTGGATTTTATTTTGAATGAGCTTGGATTCGATGGTGGTTTCAACTATAAGAAAGAGACGCCCGCGAGTGCCCTTGCTCGACTTGCCCCGCAGGGGTTGGATATCTACTATGAAAATGTTGGAGGTGAACATCTAGAGGCTGCCATTGACGCCTTGAATCAATTTGGCCGCATCGTCGCCTGTGGAATGATTTCCGAGTACAACAGTGCTCCACATCCGATTAAGAACCTGCACAAGGTTGTTACCAAGAGTCTTGAGATGCGTGGATTTATTGTTGCGAACCCAGGCTTTGCCGATGCATACATGGAGGAGCACCAGAAGAAGGTACAGAAGTGGATTAGCGAAGGGACTTTCAAGGCTCTGACCCATGAGACCGTTGGTATCGAAAACGCAGCTGAGGGTTTGGTGGGCATTTTCTATGGCAGGAACAAAGGCAAAGCTGTCCTGAAGTTCTAATTGTGTACATAATCACGATCCCAACACAATAAACATGCTCTTCTCAAATAGCTTTCTAAATGCGATTGTAGATGCTATGACGGAGGTATCTTATGTTAAGTAATCGAATTGATCATCAACAAGTATGATAGAAAACAGCAACCTCTTCAGCAGACTACTAGCATATCCAGCAAGAGTACCTAGTTGACTGATAATTGAATTTGGCTGTACCTTTTGTCCCTTAGAGATAACTACCTCGAAGGTGTTCAGTTTACTCTAAATATACGAATTTCGAATTGAGTGTCAGTGAAACAGCCCCGTCTCGCAAGCTGACCTGCATCTGGTTAGTCTGCCCCACATTTCCTTAATACGGCCCCACCATTCAAGTCTCAGTTGCCCAATTAATGGGAAGCAATGCATTTGCTTTAGTGTAAGTGGAGAGATAGATTGCTCTTGTTCCAGCTCAGGAACAATACATAGATTAGGACCTTTCAATCTCTAGGCCCTGTTCATATTCGGTCGAATATTCTATCCGCCACTACTAGCTGCTGCAGTAAAATTGGCACGTTTTACAAATGCGGTAAACATTCAGAAAATGCATCAAGACAGTGAAAAGGAAGAAGGAACATACTCGTCGACATGAAAATACCACACAAGACCCATTGCAGCACGGTTACAGATACCAATGAACCTGGGCGGATTGCCCGTAAGCACCCGTGTATTGGTCATACAAGGGTCACTGTTCCACTGAGTTGTTTATATCATATGGTTAGGCTGGGCATAGTCAGAGCAAGGGAAAAGATTGAAATAAACCTACCGAGCGGCATCACGGTAATGCTGTTGAACACCTCGGTTGGCTCAAATACCGCTTGGATCATGGAAAAAGCACTTTGGATATAAACACCGGCACTCATACTGATAACGACTTCAAGAACCATAAATGGCACACTATTTCATTCTGCCACCGCTTTACGGAATCAATACCCCGTACCCCGTACCAGACGTTGTAATCGGGCTTGGAACGGCCATTATACTACAATATGATATGTTTATCCGAGTACCACAGCACTTCTCACTGGATAAACAGGGAATTAAGATATTTTGATAGTATGTACATGTTTACCGATGCGACCAGCCACTCGGCTCCACATCGGCAGTGATTAACCGACCGCTGTGCTGTTTCCCCGCATCTTACGACTTCGGTCGATCTCCCGCATCGTTGCCAAGCGCTCTGATTCAGAACCGTCGTACTCCGATACAACTCTATCCTCTTAGGGTAGCATACCCTTTAGAAAAGCAACTTGCACGATAAGCTATTTGTACGCACAATGTCCCACCGTCAATGGCTGTGCAGCGTCTGTTCTGCTCACTTTACTCGGATGGAGCATCTCAGACGGCATCTGAGATCACGTATGCAGACCACCCATAGCCACATGAAGTTGGCTAACAACCGCAGATGACAATGAGCGGCCATACGCATGCGCGCTATGTCAGAGAACCTTTACGCGAAAGTACGTTTGATGGACACCGTTTCTGATCGCGTGACTCTAATGTCGCAGAGATGCCATGAAACGTCATGAGAAAACATGCAAAGCACAGCCCAGTGTCATCAATGCTCTTGACACGCTGGCCTCCACGTATAATAGGGGGAATAGTAATAGTGCCAACGAAACTCTTTTCCAAAACACGGACCTAGACGTAGCTCACGAGGACGCTTGCCTAGCCAATATCCCTGCTTCGTCGGATTTCGAAGCCCTCGATCTGTTGTACTCTCAAGATCTAACACCAGATAGCACAGCCCTGGCAGGGAGATTAGAATTCCTAGCATACTTTACAAGCGCCAATGGGATGGCGACTTTCTTGGACCAGGACACGCTCAAACAATGGCAGAAGATGTTATTAGAGCATGAACGACATATCGAAATGTATGGATATGACTGTGATGCGACGGGCCTGCGTGAGACTTGTCATTCAGCTGGGATACAGGTCTTTACCAACTCATGGGGAAACACCTTTGAAACTACGATTGACCCATCTGTGGTACATATGACCTCTGATGACTCAGATCTTCTTTTTCTTAGAACCCAAGAGATCATTCATGATCTCCAAGCCCTCGTTGCTCGGAAAGCGGACCAAAGTATCATCGAGCTGGACTGGAGCCCCTCAGTGCAAGAATCATGCAGTACCTTGTTTGCACCCAACAATATGCGCCGCTTCTTGGGATATTTCTGGTCCCTCTGGTACCCAAACTGTCCGATTGTGCACCGACCATCTTTTAATCCACAGACAGCACCATTGACCCTACTATGCGTTATGGTAATTATTGGGGCCTGTCTTTCACCCCGTGCTGGAGATGGGTTGCGTGCAAGGATGTGGCTCGACACTGTGGAAGAATTGGTATTCAGCAACGAGGTATTCCAGGAAAAGCCTGCCATGACAACAACCACACCACCTATCCTCGAAGGACAAACAGAATGGAAGAAGAGGCGTGTAGAGTGCCTGCAGATGACATACTTAATATGTTCATTACAAAAGAGAGAGGGCTCCATCAACGCACAGGCGAGAAGTCGCAGATACCGGCATGCAATGATGGTCACGGTAAGTCGTCTTATATCCCCGATAATAGCTTCCATGTTCACATTTGTACAAGCTGGTGCGAGATATTGGTCTTTCTGCGTCGCATCGGGATCTCGAGTTGAAAGAGCCTTCAGGATCTTGGTGGCGGAAATTTATTGTCGAGGAAGAGCGAATACGGTGAGATGAATATGCAATATGTATAAACTACTAGTTAACATTTTATAGATCCCTCCTTTATGTTTTCTGCATTGACTCGGCGATCACAATGTTGCATAACTCGCCTCCACGGATGGTGGTGTCCGAATTGAAAATGGATATAGCCTGTCCAGAAGAATGCTTTCAAGCGGGTTCAGCCACGGAATGCTTCACAGCCTTGAGTGCATGGAAGGATAGCATATTTTGGCGCGAAAGATTGTCAATGTCGTCCGTGGTAAAATGGATTTGTCAGAGGAGCTTGGACGATCATCTTGTACATGAATTTTCCCGAATGGGAACTCTGAATATGTGTACACTTGTACTATGTAAGTGCCAGCATATGTACATTCGAACCGCTACTGATCTACTCTTTGGCATAGCACTCCACTCGCTCATATTTAGTCTTCAGAACTCACTTATTTTCGAGTCTACCTTTACGCCCGTCCAGACTGGATTGGAGAACTGGGGACGTATCTGGAACAAGAGAATTCCCGAAGACAGATACACACCGGATAATCCGCACACTATCTGGAAGAAAATAGGCTTTGTACGTTATGCCGCCGAATTCTGGCATTTGGCACGAATCATTGTGGCTAGAGTACAATCGGGAAGTCTTCCCAGAACCCAGAAGGAATCATCTCGATACGACCATACAGATATGGTGGATGTCAATGGATTAATAATGGAATATCGACGAATGAGTCTAAGTGCACCTCCTCTCACATAATATCCGTTAAGCAAGAATCCCCGCTAGGCTTGTTCGACGCTGGATGTCCGCCTGCGGACCTTCACAACGAAATCAGTTGGCTTGACAAACCAATAGTTCTCAGTGGACCACTTCTGGTTTGCGGTAACAAAGTCGAAGTCCCGAATGAGACGGGGAATCAATTTTGACATTTCGAGAATGGAGATGTGCTTTCCAAGACATGTTCTCGATCCGAGACCAAACTATCCGGAGTTAACGCTATTGTTGAGGAAGACGAAACAGGGATCTTACCGGCATGTACATCTCGTTCATAATTTTCAGTCTTTCCGGATCAGACTCCGCCTCTATCCAGCGCTCTGGACGAAATTTCTTTGCATCTGGGTATATTTCTTCATCATAATGTGCCACCCACGTGTTTATTCCTACCGTAGTGCCCTCCGGAAAGTAATATCCACTAATCTCCGCACCACCCGCGGGAACGACCCTCCACAGCGGGAGACCAGTGGCACTGTGCATACGAAGAGCCTCCTTCATGACAGCCTGGAAGTAAGGCATTTCTTGACTTTCTTTAAACGTCACACGAGCACTGCAGCGGCCTTGCGCGGTAAAGTCATCCACTTCGCGACGAAGTTTCTCCAGAACCGCAGGATAGTGCAGCAGGTGGTACATTATTGATGAAAGACTGATAGCGGTGGTATCTGATCCGGCAATCACGTTCGACAAGCCCATCATGAATAAGTGATAATCAGTGACCTTCTCTGGATCTTTGTCTCGAGCGAGGATCATCTTCTCGAGGAAGTCCTGCGTCTGCAGCGTCCCTTGCTCTGGATCACGCTTGGCAGGCTCACTGTGTCGGCGAATTTTCTCCTGCACATACCCCATGATGTACGTTCTTCCGCCCGCACCAGACCAGCTGAAATGGCTCAGAAGGTCAAATAGCCGTGGATGCCATTCCGGGTAGATACCGATCAGAGTACTGTACACCATGGTCTTCTGCAGCGCAGCCATGGTACCTTCGATGTCATCGCCCTGGTCCAAGAACCCTATTTCCGTCAATACATAGCCATCTCAGACCCAAAGATGCATATATGTACTCACCGAACCGCTTTCCGAATGTAATCTCCCCAATCACGTCAAAAGCATAGCACTGGAACCAGTGCCCAAGATTGAGACTTCCTTCTTTCTGCGCGTACTCCGTCAACCGCTGAGAAAAGATATCGGCACAATGGTCCACAAATTCCTCATAGTGCACCAACGAGCTCATCGAATACAATCCTGAGAATCTCTTCCTTGTTTCGGCTACATCGGCCCTTAGCTCTATATTCTCGCACAAACTACAGAGCGAAAACGAGAGCCAGAAAGACAGAAAAAGAAAACATACCATGTCTCCGAACATCCCGATCGGGAAATAACGTCCACCGCTCGGGACTCGGGTGCTTCCACCCCTCGTACCATGCCGACTTGGTAAACTTGGTCCCCGTCCCGTAGACCAGCTTCACCGCGGCCCGGTCACTGATACTGTAATGGTCCGGGGCGATGCGCACAACCGGACCATATCGCTCATGAAGACGGACATTATCCTCTTCAAAGTGGCCCCGTCGGACACGATCAAAATACCATAATTTCGTGAGACGAGTAATAAACGGTCCAGGAACGGACACGAGGGATTTTGTTGTCAGAGTAGTATAGAGGAGGTGAAGAACATGGTAGGATATGATGAGAACGGGGAGGAGGAGTAGGATATACATCTTGAAATATAATTCCTCTTGCTTTCTTTAAGGAATTTGTCTGTGCAGATAATACTTCAGGAAGAGAAGGAAATTGGGCTTCCGCATGCGTTATATAGATCGGCCGGATGCAAGTGAGGTGCTTGTTTTCTGGATCCGGGGATTGGTTTAATCATTCTTCTCCGCCCCCACCCCCACCGCCACTGCGGAGCTTATGGGATGGGCAGCTTGATTGGATTCCGGGTTTATGAGGTTGTATTGCTTACTGGAATCTAGTATGTGATGGGTAATACTATCTACAGCTTTCTTGGGACAACAAAGCACCAGAGCAATTGGTTTATAGCCTTCTTAATTTCGAAGAACTCCGAAGATTGGTGTATTTCGTTGAGAATTCTAACTTTTTTCAAAAGCATGATATATGGACTGCATTGAATCCCAGCAATGTCATTGCGCTGACAAAATACATAACATACATTACAGAGTTATCGCCCTAAGCCAAACGAAAAGAAAATACGGAGAGGAGATACACCGCTTCCCAGGTATACACAACCCCCATCAAAACCAAAAATTAAATAGATAAATAAAAACCTCCAGTGGCCATGCAAACAAACCAAACCCTCCCAATCTATTTTCTATCCCCCCAAAGCCCAACAATACCCATTGCAAGCGCAAGACCCGAGAAGACGGCGCGCACACGCTGGAATCTCCGCTCCGTATCCATCTCGCGCTGAACACTCTCGCCATTAACATTCTCTTCCGCCTCCACGACGACAAGATCCTCCTCCTTCTTCTGGACGTTCTTGCGACCGAACGACGCGCAGCCGACATCCTGGACGAAACTCTGGATCCACGCCTTGAAGCCCATCGACCGGTGGAAGAAGTAGTCCGCAACGTAGGTGCCCATGATCGAGGTGGCGACCATCCAGATCAGGTACGGGTGTTTGCGGTGTTTCGGGGAGGCGCAGTATGCGAAGAGGAGACAGCCATTGGCGACGTTGGTGAGACGGAGCCCGTGTTTGCGGTTTAGGCGCTTTACTTCGTGGAGAGAGCGGGAGGCGTTGGCGGAGGTCGGGAGGAGAGATAGAGATGGGATGGTTACGGTTGAGGCGGAGTAGGAGAGGCCCTGATTTTTGATTAGTTTTTCTTTTCTTCTAGGTTTTGGTTTCTCGATGGTTATGGGAGTATCGTGGTTGGTGTATGTTGTTTTGAGAGGTTTAACTTTTGTTATTTATGTCGATAGAAGGGAGGCCTTACTGTTAGAAGACCGAGGGAGACGGTGCCCACGAATTTGCTGACGGTAAGCGGACAGGCCATGATTGGGAGTGATAGAGCTATTGAGAAGGAAAATGCTCTATGGGTGTGGTAGTAGAGACCAAAATGATCAGAGATCCCTTGCGATAATCGAGAGTGGCTCATTCAAGGTGGATTTGAAGATGAGAGGGAGAAAAGAAAAGAAAAGAATAAAAGAAGATTAAATTGTTTGATTCATGTGGAGTTTTGTCAAACATGACGTCGTGACAGTAGCCCAATACCAGGCGGCCAATCAGAGTGTCCGGATTAGCCCGTCCAGTGTATTGGCCGATGCTGTACATTCATGTATACATCTGTGATTTTTATCAAATCCATACTTATGGGTAATTATATTAATTAAAAGACCTTTGAAAATCATTGATAGGAGGTTAGTTTACTAATTGATTCTTGAGATTGACACAAACTTGTCATACCGGAATAGACCCTTGGCAATATCACCAAGACTACAGATGCACGTGATATATGCAGCCACATCTCGAACATCGCATATCTTCATAAACATAAAAGGATTCTTAGTATATAAACTTACTTATACTCATTTTGGGACTAATCAAAGTGGTCTCTTGCCAAGAGTCTTTATACGTATCTTGCTCCGCACTAGACAGTGTTCATTAGAGATTTAAATGATTTGATGTTACCACTCCCGAGGCTTCCAACCGAACCGCGGCATCCACCCCCCCCCCCCAATGATCCATCCCTTTCTACGGTGGAGCATCTCCGCAAAAGCCAATTAAGAACCGACTCGGTGCCGGCCCTTCAACCTTCTATCTCTGTTGTACATATCATACCTTCATATCTTCATACAACAGTGACATACACTCATAGACAGAATGCCACTCGCCAAGTCAGAATACCTGAGTGATACGTGGAAGGATGGCCTCTTCAGTATGTATTTCCACGTCATATCCATAGTGGGCAACACGTGAATATCGCTGAACGCGGATAGCAAACAAGGTCGTCTTCTGCACCGGAGGCGCAGGAACCATCTGCAGTGCTCAAGTCCGCGCCCTTGTTCATCTGGGTGCAAACGCCTGCATTATAGGTAGGAACGTGGAGAAAACCGAGAAAGTAGCTCAGGACATCGCCACGGCTCGTCCAGGTGCCAAGGTCATTGGCATCGGTGCAGTTGATGTGCGCAAGTTCGATAGTCTGAAAGATGCAGTGGACCGCTGTGCCAAGGAGCTTGGTGGTATAGACTATGTTATGTAAGAGCGAAACCCCTCGTCTTTGTCTGATTACTTCAATTAACGTTGTTCAGCGCTGGTGCTGCTGGGAACTTCCTCGCTTCGATCAACCAGCTCTCGGTCAATGCTTTCAAGTCTGTGATGGACATTGATGTTCTGGGTTCCTATAACACCCTGAAAGCAACCATTCCGTACCTGGTTGAGTCTGCCAATAAGCACAAGGTTGACCCCAAGTCCCGTGAGTATTCAATGAGCTATCTATGCTGTCGCGAGAGATATGCTGAGTTGCTATTTAGTGAAGCCCTCTCCGCTAGGCACCGGTGGACGCATCATTTTCGTTAGCGCTACCCTCCATTACAGGACCATGCCCTTCCAGACGCATGTGTCAGTAGCTAAAGCTGGCGTCGATGCCCTGTCGCACAGTGTTGCCCTTGAATTTGGCCCACTAGGCGTGACGTCCAATATTATTGCCCCGGGCCCAATTGCATCGACAGAGGTACGCTCAAAAATCTTGTTTTTAACATCAACAATCACATTCATACTGACTCGATCAGGGCGTGGATCGCTTGGTTCCTGCCGATGCTATGGAAGGATACATAAAGACGCAGCCCCTCGGACGCTTTGGTTCTATCCGGGACATTGCAGATGCCACAGTGTACCTCTTTGCTGATACCGGAAGCTATGTCTCTGGTCAGACACTAGTTGGTATGTACCCCATGGTTCACTGAGAAGAAACAGACTTACTGACTTTTTGCAGTTGACGGTGCAAGCTGGCGTATGTCTGCTGGTGGTGCAGCATCTGGAAGCCTGCCATATCCCGACTTCCTTCTTTCGGGAGACGCCGTTCCTAATGTGAAGGGACAGAAATCGAAGCTTTGAATTGATTTTTGCATTCTGTGAATATGCTTTATATATAACGATAGTTTAGATGTTCAATCTGATATATAGTTGTGCATTTTATCTCTCGTCCTCACAATATTGGTGCACCTGTAGTCAGTATAATCCCGTTCCAAAGGCGGAGCATACCCAACGTCTCCTGGACCGACAACACAGCCACACATCCTCCCACAGTGTTCATCAACTTCCAAAACCAACTGAACAATGATAATGAAGATATTCACTTTTCTCTCAGCAATCGCAGATAATTGCCATATGCTGCAGCCCAATATGGTCCTGAGTACTGTAGCTCTGGGACACTCGTATTCACTCAATCCTTAAAGCTACCACCATAGCGATGAACATAAAAGCCCTGAATAACCTTTTGATGAAGTATTTATGTTCTCTTCTATTTTCACGATCACTCCAGATGTTCAAATCTGATGCATAGCGATAGTAGCATAATAACATACTTCAATTGCGACTCTCCTTTAGAACTATCACCTCTACTACATAGTTTCACATTCGCTGATTCCAGGCTTGCAACCTCCCTACTACCTCTCATTATCTACCCCTTAATTTCCTTCCTTTCTATCCAATTTCATTCAATACCTCCATTAATCATGTCCTTCTATGGAGGGTTCTCACAACGTACCTGGCAACAAGCTGTAAATTACAGACTAATAACATATCTCCACCCCCAGCGGTACAGCGAAAGTACCGACATACAACAATCTCTGAGAGATGGATATAGTCTCCAGACCAAAAACCAAGAGCTCATACAGTCAATCAGCGTACTGCTGTGTGAGAACGAAAAATACAGACAGGACCTCGAAGCCGCACACCAATCGTACCAGCTCGCGCAATATGCGTCGTACGCTGCGCAGTGGACTTTCGAAACCCAGAAGTACTATTTCCAATCAGCGGAAAAGGCCTACACGAAGGCCCAAGAGCAGACGATGGGATATAGCGAGTTGCTGACTGACGCTTGTGTGAAGACGAAGGCGTTGGAGCCTCAGCTTTGCTTTCGGGGGTATACGATCGATCATTTGAATGCCGTGTTGGAGGACAGGCAAGCTATGATCGACGAGTATTGGCGGCGCATGGGGCAGCTCGACAATGTGTGCTGGACTGCGGATCTTTGTGCGTGGAACTATAACCTGGTCGAGGAAGGTGAGATTCTGGAGGAGATACTCTTTCGGATCAGTCGTGCTGCTGATGAGATGGAGAGTCTCTGCAGGAGCTATCGGCATTTCTTGGCTGATAAGATGGATATTGTCTCAGAAATTGGTGATGGGGGCAACGCTATGTGGCGTGCTGCTTCCTATTCGGCTGATTTAGAACGGGATTTAGATGCTTTGATCGATGGGGACTGGTCTGACTGTGGCCTAAATCCTGTCCTGGAGAGAAAGTCAAGCATAATGTTTGAGGCCCAGGCTAGTCGCGGAGCCAACAGAGTAAATTCGCAGATGCAAGAGGACAGCAAATGTGAATATGAGCCGCCCGAAACAATACCCCAACCGTCTATTCCTATACCACCAGGAGGTCATCCCAGTCTAGGAGAGGGGCAGATGCTTGCCAGCGGCACCCAGCCGCTGCAGGCAACGGTTGTAGGTGAGTGGATGGCAAGATGGGTCACAAGATGGGTAGGACTGAGCGAGAGTGATGCAGGGCAAAACAACTGGTTTCATATGTATAGCACTGAAACGCAGGATACTTTCATGTTCAATAACCCACAGGATCCAGTCGGCCAGCCCACAGACCCGCATGCTTTTATACTAGATGTGGAGCTTACTCAAGCATCACAGGAAACCTTTGACTGTGCCATGCTTTATGCCCTGCCAACACAAGGTCAGTGTGATATCGTTCATAGAAAGATAATGGTTTCATTCAACTAAGTCGGAAGCTACCAGTACCATAACCTGAACAATGGACGACAAAGGCGGAATGCAAGACAATGGCGGACCCTGACACAATGAGGGCTCCAGATCCTTTCCTTCCCACACAATTGACGGCTAACATGCTCAACGTTGATGGTTTTTCTACAAACATCTCCAGGTCAATTTTAGCCCCCCAGTCCAATCCCACAGCCACTCCGCATATCCAGAGCAATCTGGAAGAACGAGAATAAGGAAGGCAAAAAGAGGCAGGAAGAAATGAGCATCTCATGCGTTTCGAGACCATTTCGACCATGGCATGCGGGGGTGATATATTTCCCAGTGAAGGCCAGAGCGTCAGCTCCACAACGACAACCAATACCAAGGCCCCGGCCAATAATAGACCGGCAGCGCATCAGAATCTCTCCGTCGCTTCAGGCTGCAGGCTACCAGGCTATGCATAATGCAGCAGGAGCAGAAGAGCCGTCAATTTCTTCAATGCGCTACAAATCGCCCCGCTTCTATATGAATGGGGAAGGGGAGCTAGTTCTGATTCGGGATCCGTACCTTGATGTCAAACAAGAAATCACTCCAGTAATTGAGCAACCATCTAGACAGGGAAGTGGTATGGAACGGCAGAATCTGCAGAGCACATCTGCTCAGAGAGTTGGGGCCAAGTGGTGGCTGCTATTGTTTTGCGTCGTATTCATGTGGTATACGCGACCCCGTAGCGAGACTAACATCCAGGAATTGCCAGAAACAAATCAGGAACCGATAGACTTGCGTACGAGAATCCAGAGGAACCGGGATTCCGAATTTGAATTTATGCAAATGTTAGCCTACGAGATGAGCAAGAGAACGAATATAGATCCGATGGCATTGTGGTGACGTGACCTCTTGGTTGTTTTGATGTGCACACCTTTGGATACCTTATTAGTTCAGTTCTAGAAAGAGTGCTCATCCTCTTGAGCGAGGAAAAGGCTCTCCCAACGACCGGAGAAGAGCATCATCAAGGGCTGAACAGCCCAGTCATTGAAGAGAAGAGGACACGGTGCAGGAGCGTTAGAGACCGTGTCATGACCCTTTCGCGGCAAACCACCGTGCCAGTCGCAACTTTCGGAAACATCTATGGAGTAGCTTTTTTCGTATCATTCCTTCCAATCTAACCTGGCGTCGGCGTCCTGAGTTTGATCTTGTTAACTTTCTATGTAGGCCTTGATAGTGACAGTGAGAAACCGGAAGCGGCGGAGAAGGTTTAATCTGGCGCTGGGCCATGATAGATGAGATCATCGATATTGGTGACTGTTGTGAAATCTCGCTGGGGGGGTAAAATTAATGTTGTTGTATATATTATGTACTCTTGAACAGCATAAGCTTTCATTTACTGCACATCCGAGTCTATTTTTAAGATAGAGTCGAACGACGGCCCCCAGGACGGGAGGACGCTAAGCCCTATGAAGTAAAGCCTGGAACGTAGTGTTGCGTCACGTACTCCGCCACCAGACATTCATTCAGCGAACCAGAACAATCCATAGCCGCCCTGTCCTTAATCTTCAGGCATACACATTTCCTTTATTCCCCCATTTCCATTCCCTCTAACCTCTCTCTGGACTTCCTTCTTTCTTTCTTTTCCCCTCCCATATCATCATTCATCGTCATCTCCTTTGTCTTCAGTTAGCTTCTGATCATATTCAACTGATCATACTTAATCTCTGTCCAACTCCCATGTCCATCTTCTAACTCCTTCCACCAACATTATGCATCTCCGTTCGTTCCTTCTCGGGAGCGCCGCCGTTCTAGGCGCCAACGCTTTCCTAGTCGTTCCGGAAGTCGAAGTAGAGGCCATCGCCTCTGAACCCGAATTTGCCGGTCTTCATCCCCTGGAATCTCACGCTTCTCAGCAACAGAATGTCGATCTCCTTTGCACTGAGTGCCCTTTCAGAGAAGTCACCGAAAATGGCAAGGTCAGCTGGACTGACGGTTTCCAAACCGCTTTGGTAAGTGGATCCCCCCCCCGCCCATCGTAGTGTAGGACTTGATAGTCTCGACCAAACTCATACAGAACCACTAACGATACACTACAGTCGCTGAACTTCTCGATTGAGGATGGTACCTTGCTGGCCAACGGCCGTCAGATCTTCCCTCCCCCTCCTCCAACCGTCATCACCGCGGTCCAGCGCCGTCTATCGGATGATGAGGAGTCGGAGCCTATCCCGCTGGGATATGCCGTCGAGATGTTGCCGCTGCCTTCTCCGCCAGAGGAACCTGTCGATTTGGTCGCTGTTCGCTTCACTGTCCTCGACTTGGACAGCCACCCCGTCCCGCTGAATACCGTAGCAATCAGCCTCCTCCACGACCCCGAGGGTAACCTTTACATGGTCAAGACCGATATCGAGGACAACACCCCCAACCGTGTTTCTTGGAGACAGTGCCGCGGAAAGCCAATGTGCCTGAAGAGACTTTTGTTCAACCGGATTCGTGCGCTGTTCGCTGCCGCCAAAGCCCGTATGCTCGGAGTTATGGGCCCCAAGCCACACTGCGGCCGTCCTCGTCCTTCTCATCCCCACCACGGTGGTATGCCATTCCCGCCCCAGGCTGAAGGCCACATGGGACGTCCCGGCCACCCTCACCACCACCATATGCACCATGGCCCTCACGGTAACTGGGAGCGCACTGCCTCTCGCGTTGCCCGCTTCATCGTCATCCCGGCTGCGCTGGGCGTTCTGGCAGGATTGGCTGCCAGTGCTGTGGGTATGTTGGTTGGCCAGGTGGTAGTGTTCTTGTGGCAGCGCTATCGCCGTTCTGACCGCGAGGAGTCTCTTGAGCAAGGCACTACTTCTGAGAAGCAGGGCTTGATGACCGAGGCTACCGATGACCTTCCCCCTGCTTACAGTGACGAGGAAGGCCCAGCCGAGACAGCAGCGGACCACAAGAACTGAACGACTTTTTAGTTACTTTTTTGGGCGTTGAGATAGACAGAATGTTTCTTCTGGGAAGGACAAAGGATCGGCGGGAAGCTATCTCAGCTCTGCCAAAACAGGAATAGGATCTAGGCATTTGTTATTGGTTGGCAGCGACTTTTAGGGAAGATTGACTTCAAGCCTACTATCTTTCATTTACCATCACCCTTTTTTCTACTTGGTCTACTATCTCCTTCATCCGTCCTTTTGTTATTACTATTTTGTATACTCTGCTCTTCCGGGAACATGCGTCGCCTGCGCATTTTAACAATACCCGGGGGCTGTTGTGTAGTTCGATTTTCTATGAGTTTAGGAATCGAAATTGTATTGGTACCCGACTGGTGGAATGAACACCCCAAATGTATTGCTAGGGAACGTAACCACAGCAGACCCGTCGTCATCCGCCTGATAAGATAGGATATAGTACAAGAGAATTAATGACGCCAGCTCAATAGAACGTGACGCCGGCCGCTCTTGGCTGTTTCACCTGCAGGGCATCACGTGAGGGTCAGTGACGGATGCCTTGACAGGAAGGCCGCCGGGCGTAAGGTTCCATGATTCCCCTCTTCCGCTTCTAGCAATCAGTCTAAACATCTCCGGCTCCAAGTTTACTGCGGCGCGTAAGCCCCTCGGGAGGATGTTGCGCCTGTCTTTACGATGAGCATTGACCTACCATTTCTCACACTTCCATCCAAGGGCGTGCTTATATAACTACTGACTGCCCCGAGCTTGATCGCCGTCGTGAGCTGCACCATCTGCCGCTTTCCGCCCGGCCTTAGCTTCAGCCTTACAACCTCCTCCGCTCAGGCAGCTGAGAGACGTCTCGGATTACTCGGTGTCGGGAGGTTCTGCGAGTCTGATCCGACACCATGATGCAGTGGACGTCGTCTTTCGTTCAAAAAGCCCAGTCATTGATAGACCCGGCCAACTTCACTCTCCCCACGCTCACTTCGACCGATCGCAACCCTTCGAAAGCTTCCCTGTTTCGCCAGCAGTTTCGACTTCCGGATTCTCAAAATCCCCTACAAGAGATAACTGCCGAACTGATCCTTCCTGTCCCACACACCTCCTCTTCCACATCCTCCGGAGATCAACCTCGCAACCTTGACCGTGCCGGGAATCGCTATGCCGGCCGACTTCATTTGAGCGAACGGTTTATCTGCTTTACTACTCAACCTACCAGCTTTGTGCCTTCTGCAACCCACAACGCTTCCACCCATTGGGCCGGTCAAACGAATGGGACTGGTCCCTTCGGTAATGGTTTTACCCTCCCCCTTTGTTGCATCCGGCGAGTGGAACGCTTGAATAGCCTGAGCCATGTGTTTTCGCTCGCTCTTACAACGTGGAACGGTGCGCTGGGGAAGCAGCAGAGCCCCAACTTTATCCCCCAACGATTTACGATTCAGCTGGTCGGGAGCAGGCAGGCCTGTGAACGATTCTGCGATGGGTTGAAGAAGGGATTGCGGGAAAGCATGAAAGAAATCGAGAATTTGCGGGTAGTCGTAAATGATTGTTACTCGGAGTATTTGCTGTCTGGTGCCAAGTCCAAGGCCCAGGACGGTGATAATGCAGAGATGCGCCAGCCGCCAGATGCCGGCCTAGGGATGATCTTTCGCTATCCCGGAGATGCGCGCAAGCTCCGGGACAGAAGTAAAATGAGATTATGGGGGGAATATTTCAGAGGTATGATATCCTAGGCTCGGCTTCGCCCCCATGCAGATCGTATATTAAAACCTCCTGTAGAAAATGGCCGCAACGCAACTCTTATTCGGCAACCCACCTATCATAAGCTGATTCGGGTTGGGCTTCCGAACCGTCTCCGTGGTGAAATTTGGGAGTTGTCGTCCGGATCTCTGTACCTCCGCCTCAGGTCACCAAACCTATATACCGAGACGCTTTCGAAATTCTCCGGGAGAGAATCCTTGGCCATCGATGAGATTGAGAAAGATCTGAACCGGAGTTTGCCTGAATATGCTGGGTTTCAAAGTGAAGAAGGCATCGGACGACTTCGTAGAGTTTTGACAGCCTACAGTTGGACCAACGCGGAGATTGGATACTGTCAGGCTATGAATATCGTCGTCGCAGCTCTTTTAATGTATACCACCTCGTCGTTATCACCTTAAGCCATCGCTAACTCCATTAGTTATATGTCTGAGGCGCAAGCCTTTTTCCTCCTGTCCGTTTTGTGCGACCGTCTATTGCCAGGTTACTACTCAACGACCATGTATGGAACATTACTCGATCAGAAGGTGTTTGAGTCCCTCGTCGAGAAGACCATGCCGGTCCTTTGGGAGCATCTCACTAAATCCGATGTCCAACTTTCTGTTGTGTCACTCCCATGGTTCCTTTCTCTCTATATCAACTCCATGCCTTTAGTTTTTGCTTTTCGGGTGTTGGATGTGTTTTTCCTAGAAGGACCGAAGGTCCTCTTTCAAGTTGGTTTAGCCATCCTTCGTATCAATGGCGAGGAGCTTTTGGACATACAGGATGATGGGTCTTTCATATCTGTCCTCAAGTCATACTTCTCTCGTCTGGACGAATCGGCCCACCCTAGATCCGAGAACCCCAAATTGAGAGCCATTACCCGGTTCCAGGAACTGATGGTTGTCGCTTTCAAGGAGTTTTCAGGAATCACCCACCAGACGATTACGGAGCAGCGTGAAAAGCACAAGGACGCCGTTTTGGAGAATATCGAGAGTTTCGCCAAACGCACGTCTATTCGGAACTTGGGACCTGACAGCAAGAAACTCAGCATGGATGATTTGGGCGTGATCTATGACCGATTCTACGAGGTTCTTTATGAGCACCAGCAGCGGCAGAGACTTTTGGATGAAGAGAAAAAGCGACAACAAAGGAAGAGAGTTGAACGCACTTCCATACTGGGGCCTCCAGTGGATCGCGAAGTTGGCCGTGTTGGTCTCGGCCCTAGTCCCACTCACATGGATTATGATGCTTTCCGCGACTTTCTCGCGGCTACTGCAAAGTGGGCCGTAGGAGACACCCCGGGGTCTTCACGCAAGGAGTCGAATGTTGAACAAAATGCCGGTAGCTTCAGAGGGTTTGGGAGGTCTTTGGCATGGAACAACAAATCAGAACCAGCGGACCATGAATTCATGCAGCGACTCTTCCGGAAGTGGTCCACGGAGCCATCTGAGGGGCTCAGCTTACAAAATGTGGTCAATGGACTTGCACGCCTCAAAGGACCGCGTGACATCATGAACAATATCAACTACTTTTTCGACCTGTATGATGATAATGGGAATGGCACTGTTGATCGAGAGGGAATTCTAAGAATGTCAGAAGCTCTTCTTTTCCTCTCTCGACGAGGCTTTGACGGCGCAATTACCCCGAGTGAACCTCTGGAGGAGGCTGGCGAACGCGACCGCTTCGAGCAGGATAAGCTGAGTACTGATGAGAGGTTCTTGGGGAGTGTCAGCTCGTTCATCCGCCGCTGCTTTGAGTACGCCGATCCCAGCAAGCCTGAGGGCAAGCCTACGCAAGAACGAAAGGACACAGATACAGAAGAAGCAACCGAAAAGCTTGACGCATTTGCCATTGGCGACGACGACGATGAAGAAGACCTCATCGATATTGGTGATGAAGCGAAACCTGAGCCATCCGTTTCGAAGAAGCAAAACAGTGATACACAACACAACCGAGGCGCATCGGAGGCTGCAAATCCAGCCCTCGACCCGAACAATCCTCTACACATCACCCTTCCCACATTTCGCATGGTTATATTGGCCGACGAGCTACTGGAGCAGTTTTTTGATACGTTCTTCCCTCAGTCATTCCGCCTTTCTGACCAATCACTTCCCGCAGCAAAACTCACGTCTCTCTCATCCAACCTTACTACCTTCTCTAACATCAACACGCCGAAACCCCACGCCAGCGCTGCTGCAGGTGCCACTGTTGCAGGTGCATCCGGTGGCATCGTCCCACCAGGCAAGGGCCTGCGTGGTGTCCTGGACAATATCGTTTCAGATGGCATCCGAATGGCCGCCGAGGTCAAGAAGCGGATGGACGAAGCACAGCGCGAACTGGAACGCAACGCTCTCAGCCGACCCCAGGAGGACGACGAAGAGGAAGACGAGGAGGACTACGATCCTCGCAGTGGCACTTTGGCCCCACCAGCCATCGTCGGCGGCATCTCCAGCTGGGGCGCCGGCGCTTACGGCGCAGACCCAGAACGGCGCAGCGTCCGCGACACAGACCGGGACCTTCTGGAAGGCGCCGAAGTGGTCAGCATACACAAAAAGGAAGATGCATCCCTTCTGGACGACAAGGACGAACCTCAACACAGCGCGGCCGAAGGAAGCAGCAGCAGACAACAGGTACAAGGCTCGTCTCATTCCCATAATGATGGTAACATCATTAGCAAGGTTGAATTTGAGTCATGAGGCCTAAGGCTGGGTTTGGGATGTGTCGGTGTCTCTGTCTCTGTTGGTTGTGATATGAGTGTTTGTCCTACACATTACTTTCTCTCTGATCTTATTTTTCAGCTGCTGTTTGTTCTTGCCGTTGTCGGGTGTGTCTCTCAATTAGATACTTCGTTCTTCCCTTCGGGAAGTATGGCCGATGTATCTATGTACTATTGATCCTCAGCGTTAGCTTGAATCTGATGACTATGTGGCGTTGGATTGTGGAGTGCTGTTCTGTTTACTTTGTGTTTTGTGGTCTCTGATTTTATCGGTTTACGCTATCAGTTTATGCATGAGGACTGACATGTTTAGATCAGCATATAGCAACTCAATACAACTAGATATCCCTAAATACTACGCAAGATGGCAATGATGGCAAGGATATAAATGTGCGTCTGAAGTGACAGATGGCGTGAAATTTGTGTATGTACAAGGTACTGTTCTCCGGATCTATAAAACATTGGCAACGAACAGTGAAAGATGAAGCAGACAAAAAGGGGGTATAGATCAAGAATAAAAAAGTATGGGTGATAGAACAAATAATAAATATGCAAACGGAGGCTTGTATCGCCACCAAGTTGATGAATTTTCGGTGGAAGAAGGTATGATGTGAGGGAAGGTTAGAATGACAATGGGGAAGAGATCATGCAAAGATAGAATAGGACGGTACATTTTCGTCATAAGTTACGTTGTGGAGTACACCCTTGTTAGGACGAAAGAGAAGCAATGGTTCAGTAAGACTCAACCCGTCTAGTCCTTCTGTCCTTCGTTCTCAATTAATTCGAGAATAATCTGGTTCCGTTCGTACTCCGGATGCTGCATGCAGATCTTGACTGTACGGCCATTGTTTGCCAGGGCAACGCCGTTGGACAATCCGCTGGACAGGTTCACCGTGCCGCCTGTTGTGGTGGGAATACTATTTGCTCCGGACCCGGGCATGCTGCTGCCATCATCAAGACAAACGACACCATGTCCCGGGATGACCTGACGCAATCGACCATTCATTGCATTGCGCACCTCGACGAAGTCTTCGTTGAATAGTATCAGGAACTTGCCATAGAGACAGGCCGTATGGGCATGTCCGACAAACTCCATGACCACACTACGTGACACGTCTCCATGTTTATTCACGTAAACCGCGCACTCAGCGTACACAACCAAGAACTCACTATCACTGAGACGGAACATACCCAGTGGGCGTAGATTGGCAATACGGGCGGCGATACTGGTGAGCTGGGCTTGCGCTTCTGGAGCCTCTGAGCGGAAATCAGGAACAGACCAAGTCTGTTTCTTATCAATTGTAAGAATCTCAATGCCGCGCTGCGTGGAAATTGCCAGGGATGAATGGAACATATTGATGCTGTAGCTTTCTGCCGGGATGTAGAACTCGTCGTATTCGCGGAAGAATTCAGTTTGCGAACGACGGGAGAAGAAACGACTCTTGCTCGTTGATGACTTCTGCAGGACTGGCTCCATAATCTACACCGAATTAGTCCCGCAGATTTGTGGAGGTAGGGCAATATGAACAAACCTTAAAAGTCGAGGACAGTCCATCTCGCTTTTTATACATCACCAATGTGCGATCCTTCATGTGTCCTGCAGCGAAGAAGCCCACTTCACGACTCCCTGATATTTTCTGCGGTGCTCGGCGAGCCGAGTCGCTCGTAGTTGGGGTAGAGACGCCACTTGGTGGGCACACAACGTCCAAATGGTAAGCAATCAAGGACTTGTCGGCAATTAGTAGGAATACATTGAATTCTTCAAAGACGGCAATCTGGGTCACCCGGGGAATTTGAATAGCCTAGAATAACGTTAGTCATATCACGATCGGCCGACTAGAGACATTCACCGAGTAGAGATAGATACATACCCGAACCCAACCACGAGGATCATTATATTCAGAGATATATACCCCGTTATCAGTCCCAATTGCACACATCATACGACCAGGAGGTTGTTGAAAGACAGTGGCAGAGTGAACGCTTGCCCGACAGACGGGTGCCGGTCTCTTAAGGTCGGCAAATCGATGCTCAACGTCTTTAATCGCACGATCCAGAGGTGTGCCTTCGATGATAACGCTCTTTGGGGGCGGGGAATAGTCTGAAGACGCGAAGGCAGTATCTGCAAGAACGCGGAGTCTGAAAGGCTCCGCATTCTGCGCAAAGAGAGCTGCAGCATGTTTTGTTTTCGCCTCAATGATCTTCTCGCACCAATCCTGTCGGGACTGAGAGGAAGAGGCATAGAGTGTGTACGTCCCGTTCTTCCCCAGATGTTTGATCTTAAAAGGGTAAAGAATTTTGTTATCTGTGGAATTCTCAAGGACTGTGGTGGGAACGATTGTTTTGCCCGCCGCTGCGCCAGCAGCGTTGGCGCCATTGCCATCTACAGCGCGGGTGGCCACGGCCTGAGGCTGAGTTACAGTCGCGACGCCTCTAACTGAGGATTTGACGACAGGGTCTTCATTGGTGCTTTCAAGGACTAAGAGATCCATGGGAATAGGCAGTTTCGACACATCGAAAACCTTGTACTTGGGAACCGGCTTGGCCAGCACCAGATAATGGTCAAAGAGGATGGCATGGGTCTCCTGTAAGAAACGAGTCCGGACTCCTGGCCGCTGCAGTATCCCTTGGTGGACAATTTCACGCCCCAGATGCTCCAGATTCAGTTCGACTTCTCTCTTCATCTCTGGGCGGAGCTGTAGCTTGGCGGACAGTTCCATAAGACTAACCTTCTTAGATGTTTCACCCACTTTGTTGTCGCATTCCAAGGCTACCAGCTTAATCTCCTCAATCGCTTGCGCCAGATTTGCCTTTTCCTCGCTATCCTTAAGCATGTTCTTATGCACCGTAGCGAGCAACAAAGTATATCGCTGAATTCGGGTGATAGGGGCTTTAAGGTAGGTGTCCCAACTCAGACGGTTTGATAACTTGTGATTCTGGGCCTGCTCAAGGAATTGCCGGAATTGGATGTTCCTCTCTGCTTCACTCCTAACAAGATAGTTGGCATGAGGAAACGTTGCCGCATAGTCAATGTAGACCGCTTTTGCTTTCCGGATCCATTCGCGGAAGATATCACTGAACCCAGCGATGAAAGGACCTTGTTCTTTCTGGCGATACTTCAGCTGGGCCAAGAGGTGATCCTCATTAACTCTCTTCACCAAATCGACTTTTCCAAAAACGTCTTTCAAGAACTTGTTTGCGCGTTTTGGAGGAATGATGCTTGGCTGCATACCCGCTAGCTGATCCCGGTACAATTCGCGCAGAACATCCAATTGCCCAATAAAGGAGTCCTCGGTGGTCACGATCTCGTGGAGATTATTCTGGCGATCAATCTCTTTCTTCGGATACGACTCCCACAGCTCCTTCGGCACCTTGTAGAAGGTCACCCAATCCTCGGCCTTCTTCTGTTGCTCCATCACTTGGGTCCGCAGGTTCACTTTCTTCAACGTTCGCATACAATGATGAGAGTAGCAGCGTCCAAAGACCTCTGTTTCCTGCTCGTGCAACCGAGATGAATAGCATCCTGTGCCGGTGATCTGGAATAAAACACCCGACAAAGACCCATTGCCGAACTTAACCCATTCCTCCTCTTTGATCAAGGCCTCCTCCGCCAACATGTTCTGCACGACACGGGCGGCTAATGTTTCTGCGTCCGCAATGTTCATCGTCGGCACCTTATGAGTAAACAAGGCGACAATGGCGTCGACTATCGTGTGCTCCTTGAGATCAGTCTCTTCCTCGCTCAGCTCTCGAATCCATTCGAGAATGGCACTCAGCGCCCACGGTTCCGTACAACGACGGAACTGCTCCGTGGACAGTTTGGTGGGATTGAACTTCTTGCGGCGCCCGGCGGGAATCGTGGGCAGATCCAGGGTCATCGCTGCAGCAGCCTGGGGAGACGCCACCTTCGGTGACCCCGACTGGCGGTGCAGGTCGTGCTGTTGCTTGTACTTGGCCCGGTCTGCATCGGTCTTGGATCTGATAGGGGGGTCAGTACGAGGTCCAATCGGGTGACTCGATAAAGAGGTCGACCGTGGGACTTGAGATGAGGGGCTAGGCACGGTCGGCCCGTACGAGTCAGCAGAAACAGGGTAGTAAGAGGGTGTATACTGAGTAGCACTCTGCCAATCTCCCTGCTCCTGATGCCGGTACGTCCCCGCCGGCATCAAATGCGGGATCAAATCAGCTCTGTTCGCGGGTTCCACCGGCGCTGGCGGTAGGGGTCGCATGCCGGGGTGAAAAAAGAGGTCTCCGGGCTCTTCTCCCCTGTCTGAATCGTCGCTACCTGATTGATGGGAACGACGCACTGGTGATAATGTTCCCTCGTCCCCATAATCGAAGCTCATCCGCCGTGTATAGGCACTCGGCTCGGACAGTCCACCTGTGCCGCCGGCATCAACGCGTGCATAGGACGGCACAAGTTCGAAGGGATAATCAGCGTCTTGGGAGATAGGAGGATACTCGTACTCGTCCGAGTATTCCCCACGATCCTCCGCGGACATGTTCGAGCTCCTCGAGCCGGATGTGGGCGGCAGTCGGCCATGGTCGACTGCATCAGCGTATTCGTCGGCAGATACGTCCTGCTCCTCGTACTGGTTCTGTCCCCGGAGGTTTCCACCGTACCGCGCTACCTCATCACTTGCTTCTGGCTGTTGTTGACTGGCATATGCACTAATGATGGACGCATTTGTCTCGCGTCGTTCGCGCTCCTGCAGACGCTCAGCCCGCATCCTGTCTTCCTCGTCGGCCATCTGCAACATCGCGAGACCTGCGGCCGCTTCGGCATCGCTGTCGTCGCTATAGGCATCATAATTGACATACTGCCCCGTCCCAGTTGCCATGTTCCCATTGGTGTGCGTATGCTTCTCATCCGGAGAGAGACGCAGTCCATCCCCTCCGTGGTTGGAATTCTGCGCCTCCAAACGCAACGACCGTAGACTACTTCGGTCCCCAGCGTCTAACACCGCCGCCTCGACTTCTCTCAACAGGTCATCATAGCCGGCTCTCCCATCCGATCTGCCATGCACACTCCCTCCGTTCGTTAATGGGGCAGAACCGTCCTCTGCGTCGACAGGTGGACCAGGCAGCGGGCGCGACTGGGGATGTCGAGTCAAGGTATCTGTTCTCTGCGGTGACATTTGAGGCTGAGGGGGGTAGATCGGCGGGGTTGGCAGAGATCGCCCAGAGCCGGGACGAGTCAAGCTGAGTCGTTTCCCGTAAGGATCTTCGCCTGACGACGCATGGGCGGGGGGCTCCGGGGGCTGGTCTTCATTGGATGCGGCGGTGGCGGACTCGGATCGGCGAGGAGAGGACGGTCCATAGGATCCACTAGAGTAGGGGCGAGACTGCGCCGAACCCATGCCGGCGAACGATGACACATAGGTTGCGCCGGGGGTTGACGGGGAGGCAAGGTTGTAGGATGAGGTCGTTGGAGCCAACCCGTACGGTGTCCCGGGAGAAGTACTGCTGCTATACTGCGGTGACAAACGACTTCCATACGGATGATCTGGACCTCGCGGGGGCGGTGGCGGCGGTAGTGAGGGAACCGGCGGTGCATAGGAGAGCGGTGTCGGAGGTGCTTGCGCGTAGCCGATACTCGGGTGTCGCTGCACACCGGCCGAGCTGTAGCCAGCGACGCTGGTGGTTTGGTAAGCGGCTGGATTGTACGGTTGATGACCTAGGGCCGAGCTGCTGCTTGCACTAGAGTATGCCAAGGGGTTGTAATTTAATTGCGACGGCGTCGAAGGGACGGCGTATTGCTGGGGGTTGTACGCCGTCTGGGTCGGCGAGGCAATGGATGAGGTATACTGGTACTGATAACTGGACTGCGAGGAAGCGCGACTACGAGGAATTTGAGATGAGGTTGCGGAGGGGAGGTGCGCATATCTGGGGTGGTCTGCGTACTCCTGTCGGTCATTGCTGTAACCCCCTTGGGAGTCCCCAGCACCCCACTCCGAGTAACGAGCGCTTGCATCTGTCGGCCGTGGGTTATGAGAATGAGACGGCGCAAAGAGACCCGCATCGTCCCCTATGCTGTAACTCGGCATCCTCCGGAGTGTCGGATTATTCTGCGAGTTAGAGGAGGCGGAGGTATACAGGTCGTAGCGGGAAGGCTGTGCGGAATTACCAGACTGACCATATGGTGGCTGGCCATTCTGATAGTGAGCCATCGTGTGATCCGCACGAGACGGGACCGAAAGGGAACCTGAATAGGGGAAAACGAGAGGCGTAAGGAGGAGGGGGAGTTCGTAGCGACAGAGGCTCTGCTGGTGTCAGGGACTAAGACCCCGGAGGGGGGGCGCAGTGGGGAAATTGCCAAGGCAGCGACGAGGACAGGCTGAAACGAGCGGACAAGTAGGGGTCAACCGGTGCAGTCGATCAGGGGGTAGAAGGGAAAAGAAAAACAAACAATAGGGGTTCAAAATGGGAAGAAGAAGAGAAGAGGAGTGTCGGTGGTGTGGTTGTTTGTTGTCAGACTCGTCAGCCTGATTATTGTGATGGACGGAACGAAAGGCTGAGGCTCAAGACCCATTTCATCCACTCAGATGGTTCCGAGCCTGACCCATCCCCACATTTCTCTGGAGAAAACGAAATTAGAACATATGGGTAACTCTGGATGTGCATATATAAGCGAAAGGATTCATACACACAGAGAGAGAAAGACACAGAAAGATTGTCGTGAACAAAAGAAGAGAAGTGAGGGAAGAGAGAGTAGGAAGATGAGTAAATAGAAGAAAGAGAGAGAGAGAGAACACCTGATCCAAGATTATTGTATGTACAGAACAGCTGTTCCAAAATTGTCTTGTTTGGGCATCAACCAAGTCTGACCGTACTGGTACTGTAAGGTAATCTTTCCATCCGGCTCCCAAGGATGATATTTACAGTGCCTTCTAGCCTGTATCTGCGTTGCTCGTTTTCCTTGGCTTCAAATGAACCCACCGAGTGGAGATGCCCACTACGTACTGGTATATTATGTGTCTTTTCGCAGTTAAATATTCCGAATACGATGAGATTCCCATTTATGGATCGCTCTTGCCACAAGGTTCATATCGCATCGGACTGTATGTAACAATACAGTATCATTGAAACATGGTTCGGTACGCTAAGTTGTTCCGCTTATATATATTTTAAAACTAAGATCGCAAACTCAGGTATCGAAGTGAGCATCTCTAGTTAATATAGGATATCTACTCTGTAGAATACTTCTAGAACATTGAATATACTCGACGATCTAAACAATCTCACCAAGGCTAAGTATTAACCGCCATGATTCATCACTTGATTAAGACATTAGGTTTTCACAATTGCTTTTCTATACTACAATATACTGCAGAAGGGCAATTGATCTGGTCCTGGATAGCGAGATGAACAACTGCTCATTAATCAAACTTCACAACTAGGCGCCCGCGAAATGATCTGGATAAATACATCTCGGGGACCTGCAGGATATCATCTTTCTTCACCACTGTCAACTGAGACCGAACTTCATGCTGATCCACCACGGCCATCATCTCCTCCACCTCTTCTCGACTAGCAACATAACTTCCTCGTAGAACCAACTCACGAAAGACAATAGGGTGAGTATCAAATCGCCACTGTTCCGGCGGCAGACCTAGAAGGACCGCTACGCCACCAATACGAAGTAACCCTAAGCTCCAGGCGTTGACGGCAATCGAATCTGCGCAATTGATCACGGCGGCCAGGCCTTCACCCCCAGTTCGCTCCAGAATTTTCTCGCTTGCATCGTCATGTGTAGAGTTTATTAGAAGATCCGGCTGAAGCCCAGAGGGCATGTCGTCCGTAAGCTGTAAACTCGCATCTCGGTTATCGATAGCCACGGTTCGGTATCCCAATGATTTAGCAAACTGTACGCCCAGCTGTCCGAGGCCCCCGATCCCAATCACACCGATCATATCACCTGCTTGGAGAAATGGTCGTGCCTTGTTGATCGCTCCCCAAACGGTGGCCTAAATCTTAGCTCTGGCTCTTCTCCAGTGGGATGTAGGAATAGCGGCGTACCCCCGCACATAATAGTGGCGCTCCTTGTTCAAAGGACACAGAGTCAGGGAGAGCTATTGTTGTCGCTGAGTCGGCAACCATATAAGCGGCAAAACAGCCATCGTTCTTGAAGCCCCCTGTCTCTCTGTAATCGCAAAATCGCGGATCCATGTTTCCATATCTTCTGCGAGATCCTCTGCATCCTGCACAATTACCGCATGCATTTTTGAAATTTAAAATACCCACCCGATCGCCAACTTTCCATTTTGAGGCAGACTCCTTTCCTACCTGGACAACTGTGCCTACCGGCTCATGGGATGGAATTAAGGGCAGTGGGCTATTGAGTTCTCCACGCAGCACTTGTATATCCGAATGACAGAATCCCGCGGCGTGTATTTTCACAAGAAGCTCATTGGGACGGAGCTGAGGAACATTGACCGTTGAGATAGTGTATGGTTTGTTAAACTGGAGGGTTAGGTAGTGGCTGGTGATAGGACGATGGAAACGCATACTTCAGTGATTTGGGCTGTCCACATTGTCTCGGGAATGGACGGAGGCATTTTCGTGCGGGGCATGTTCACAAAGGGATGTAGTGAACATTTAGTAAAATAGTTGCATTTATATGTTTAGTATGCTCCAATCCATGACAGTAGTGAGTGGAGCACTACAGCGCTAGCGTTGGTGTTGGAGAGCATGAGCCCATGCACTCCTTGACATCATGTGTTTCTCCAACAAATTACTCCAACCCTAATCATTGCATACCCCGCCGAACTTGGCGCACATATAAACCAAATTGCCTATATCACGATTAAAGGAGGGATTCCTGCTTGATTGTTGAGTATAACTTCGTAATCGTATATCTACTTCACACTTACTGTAATCAGTATATCTTGATGTTAGTTGTTTCAAGGCCCCACTGGAAAAATCTTATACAAGTATCTCCAGAATGATTGATCTACGAATTCAAACATATACGAATATTCTTATGCAATGGAGCTATTTAGTCTATATGGATTACTAATGGCCAAAGGAAGAATGATATACATATGAAAATGTAAACGTGTAGATACCACCTTGCGTATTTGGAGCTTTAGGAGTATGACATGACTCGATGCATGCCATACCAGAATAGACTATTGATATCTAGATCCCGATGCTGTTTTCATCTATACGTCATTCCCTTTGCGGAATGCTACACATTCGCAGGATTATTTATCCGTTTTGGCTACCAGTAAAACTGCATTCTATATAGTGTGCAATGTGGGTTCTAGAATCGCTTTGTGCAGGGCCCTTGGGTATCTCAAAGGTATTTCAAAGATTTAGTGTGCTTGTCCCATTGGACTTGAGAGGTGAGTGCTGGGTTTCCCAAAACAGGGTATTGTCTAACCCATATGGTGTTCTGATATTACTGGCCTTACATAAGTTTACCGAGGGGCATTTGAGACCGGCATTGGCATCTTGGGACATTCTTCCCTTCATCAAGCCCTCGATGTAATCGCTCCTCAATTACTTTCAATTTTATGAAACGGTAGGCATCCTGACGTGATATCCTACTTGTGGAGGAAGGTGGCATCGGTTCCATTTTGTGATGTTGCATCGGCTCCAGGAGAATCATGGTTGAGAAACGCCCTTTGGTTGACTTACCCTATATGGAAAAATAACACGGCGCCTGCCATTGGTGAAAGCTATAGGTACAGTACGTGAATGGGAAGAAAGAAGATTTGGTGGCTGGCTATACATATCCAAGAGTGGTTCAAACGGTAGTATGTAAATGGGGGAGTCAATTGCTAATGGGAACGCAAAAGACGTACCCACACTGCAATCGGAAGAAACAGATTAATCAGATTATCTTCATGTATTTTAATTACATAGCTTTCTTTTAATCGTACTGTTATTGGTCGAATTGACTTTGCCATGTTGTTTGCGGAGTGGGTATCAAGGGATGTCCTTCCAGAAGCGGCATCCCTTGATGAGGCCACGCATCCGTCGACCCTGTCGAGTCTGGCCCGCTTCTTCCTCAGTGGCAGAGGCTCACTTATCTTACATCTGTTGCCCATGTCCTACGTGAGACGCGGAGAAGTTCAGGTGTCATAGCCAGGTGTCAACAGTCCGACGTTGCATATAACGGCACGGGCTCTATTAAAACCAGACGCCAACCCTGTCAGCACATCTAATCTTCACCTTCATGAAGTCTAGGGTGTAGCTAAGGAATTCGTGACTCACGTTTATTAGAGAAAATACCCAAGGGCTTGTCAGTATCAGCAAACAACATGGATTCCGGGTTTATTCGGGACAATATTCCTGCCATCGCATCGATCGCTGTGTTGGTATACGTTCTCTCAGTAGGTTGCACACTGACCCCATTGCATCGCGGCCTCAGCTAATTCGCGCTATAGGTCGTATACCGATCGCAGAGAAGTCACCTAAGCTACCTACCCGGTCCCTGGTATACCAAGTTTACCGACCTCCCTCTCCGATACAAAGTCGTCACCGGCCAGCGGCCCCGATATGTCCACGCTCTGCATGAAAAATATGGTTCGTCGCATTTCCAAAACATACGTAATCTTGGTTAATGATGGGAATAGGCCCTGTTGTACGAATTGGACCCGACGAGGTTGATGTTTCCGACATCAGCGGCGCACGCGAAATTCATCGCATCGGAAGTGGTTTCCTTAAATCCCCTTGGTATTCCCTCTTGAACCGCAAGGATACACAGAGTATCTTTACTACCACCGACCCGAAATTCCACAATGCCCACCGTCGACTCCTCTCATCTCCTATGTCCGAACTGTCACTCAAGTCGATGGAGCCATTGATCGACTCTCGAGTCCGCCTTACTATCCAGAAAATGCAGGAAGAGATGAAGAGCCGTGGCGTGGCGGATGTTTATAAATGGTGGTTCTTCATGGCCACGGATATTATCGGTGAAATTACCTTTGGAGAGTCCTTCCGCATGTTGGAAAAGGGAAAGGTTGGTGACTCTTTGCTTCGCCCAGATGCTGTTTAGCTAATGCACCGCAGAAAAACCAATATGTGAAAGACATCGAGATGATCTCGGTTATTGGTGGTATTCGTGCAAGCTTCCCTATCCTCGTCAAGTTGGCGACTCTACTCCCTCTCCCAATCTTCAAGGAGGTCAATGCAAGTGGAAACCGTGTGTTCGGATATGCGACGGAATCTATTAATCGGTATAAACGTCTCTTGGCCGAGAACCCGGAGAACCCAAAACCGACTGTCTTCACCAAACTGTACAACGCGGGTGAGGAAGGTCTGCCAGATAATGAAATCCGAGACGATGCGCAAAGTTTCATTGTGGCTGGTAGTGACACCACTGCCAATACTTTGACCTACCTGGTCTGGGCTGTTTGCCGGGATCCTGAGATTAAGAAGAAGTTGGTCGACGAATTGGCAGAGATTCGGAATGATTTCACGGACGAGGACCTGCGGCCACTGCCCTACCTGAACCAGGTAATCAACGAGGCTCTCCGTCTCTACCCTGCTGTTCCTTCAGCTCTGCCACGCAGTGTACCACCGAAGGGAACGACGATGGGAGGCCACTGGATACCTGGTGGTTCTACTGTTAGCACGCAGCTGTATAGTTTGCATCGTGACCCGGTTGCTTACCCTGATCCGGAGAGGTAAGACTTGAAATAAGCGAATGACCCGTGCATTGCTGATTACATATCAGATTCGAACCGGCCCGGTGGGCCTCACCTACAAAGCTCATGAAAGACGCATTCATGCCATTCGGGGCCGGATCTCGCAGTAAGCTTCTATGCTCTCTTAAGCTATAATGACCACACCACTCACACAAATCATGCAGATTGTATTGGACTACACCTCGCAAAGATGGAGCTACGACTCGCCACCGGCTACTTCTTCCGCTGCTTCCCCAATGCTAATATTTCTAGCAAGTACGAGTTCAACGATAACGACATGGAACAGATGTTGTTCTTCCTAATGTCGCCGAAGGGCAAGCGGTGCCTCCTGGAGGTGTGATGAAGATGTAATGTATAACCATCCGAGGGCTGTTATCGTTCGTTATCGACGAGCCACAAGAAAGAGCCAAGCAGAAAAACAATATTGTGGGTCTCTTGCGTCAGGCACAGTCCCTGGCTTAATCCACCGCGGATTCAATTCCGTGGTTTCTCTTGGCTCATACGACGTTATTTGGGGTAGAGATCTATCTGATTATCAATGTTCATATAATGAGGTTCTGGTTTTAAACGGTTAAGGTAGGGCTTCGGGGCCAGATGTGCAACGAGTTCTCTGTACGAGCTATTCAGATTAGATAACAATCGCCGTTGGAAAGTTATGAACTTTGAATTTTTATTTTTTTTTTTTGCTTTTAAACTTGGTCTTATTTGCCTTCCCACATATTTCCTCAGATCAAGTGCCTAAAATGGTAGCCTAAACGTAGTTCAAACTTAATAGCCCAAATGCTTAACGAGTATTGATGCCGATAAGCCTAGGGAACGGGTGCCAAGAACCGCAGCCGTGCGACGGACCGAGAGTAAGCCCTAGAGATGGGATCGGCAGAGGTAGGTAGCAGACAAGAGAAACACCAGCAGCATTACTTCTCGTTTGAAGATAAAACCTCCTTAGAAATTCATGAAACTCGTAGATAATTCTCCTTTTGGGGAAGGAATGTATAATACTACGACTGGGGTACGTATATACCCGAATGTACTCCGTATATCGAGATTCCAATGAGGGCGCTGATTCGATATCGGGGCCCATTTGGCAACCCCCGAAAAGGAAGCGTCATGCCGACTAGCCGGCTGAACGGACCCAACTTCGGGATGAAGGTGTCCACCCCTAATTTCTTAGTCCCGAAAAGACGTGCTAACCGCGGAATTACGTCCATGTTGGACCAGCATCCCGTTGCGCTGATTCGCCGGCGGGAAAAATCTCGTTCGACAAGTTCTTAAATCTATATGTTAAGTCGGCTGACCCCATGGGTGCTGGCACTTGCAGGATTGGTAGAACCCCAAATTTGGACTATGCGCTTACATTACGGTAGTCACGCCGACGACTCGGGTATGGATTTTTGACCCACTGTAGTCTCTTCGAAGGAATAAGAAAAAAAAAAAAAAAGTTAGGTCGCCTGTTTGTCGTAGTTAAAATCTTTCAGGTGTCGTTTCCTACCTGTGTACGGAGTAGACTACGCGAGACTCGCGGCGTAGGGCTTTTAGGTATCGTGATCATGACATACGGCCTTGTCGAAAAGGCCTCGAAGGAGACGGTCAGCTCTACCTATGGGGGGTATCTGGCCCCCTCTCCGCATCGAAATGCCGACCTCGAATCGCAGCGCCGTCCAAGTACCCTCCATGATAGTGTCGAGCTCGAGCGTATCAACACATCTCGCCTACAGCAGCAACTTACCGTTGGGTCGAATCGAAGCCGAGTCCCTCGAGAGCAATGGCTGCCCATGGGAGCAGGGAAAGACTACCCCCCTCCCCTACCGGACGCGGAAGAATACGTGGTCGAGTTCGAAGGATCGGACGACCCTATGCACCCTCAGAATTGGCCTATGGGAAGGCGGTATGCTGTACTTTGATCGCGACGTGACCAAGGCACCAGCACTAATCCAAAAACAGTGTTCTTATAGGATCGCTCTTGACGTTCTGTGCACTTGTCACGGCGTATGTGAGTGCTATTTTCGCCACGGCCTCGGAGGGTGTTATGAAGGAGTTCGGATTCGGTAAAGAAGTGGCTGCGCTGGGTACAACGTTATATGTACTGGGGTTCTCTGCCGGGCCGACGATATGGGCGCCGGCGTCTGAGTTGATCGGACGACGATGGCCCATGTTGATTGGCATGTTCGGATTCAATATCTTCACAATCGCCTGTGCGACGGCGAAAGACACGCAAACCATCATGTTGACACGCTTCTTCTCCGGATTCTGTGCGGCCAGTGTCATCGCTCTTGTCCCGGCCAGTCTGTCCGATCTGTTCAATAACCATCATCGAGGTATTGCAATTGCCGTTTATACGATGTCTGTGTTCACCGGACCTTTCACCGCGCCATTCATCGGTGGGTTCACCGCAGAGAGCTACTTGGGCTGGCGGTGGACGCTATATATACCGGCCTTTGTCGGGTTCTTTAGCTTGATCCTGATGGCGCTTTTCGCACAGGAGACGTACGCACCCGTCGTATTGATGCAAAAAGCGGCCATCTTGCGTCGACAAACTAGGAACTGGGGGATTCATGCACGGCAGGATGAGCATGAGATCGATTTCCGAGAGTTGGTGACTAAGAATCTCGCCAGGCCATTTCTCATTTTATTCACCGAGCCCATCGCCTTCCTTCTGACCTTGTACATGTCCTTCATTTATGGACTGGCCTATGCGCTGCTGTCGGCCTACCCGATTGTCTTTCAAGGCACCTATGGCATGACCGGTGGTGTGAGCGGATTGCCATTTATAGGATTGATTATTGGTGAAATATCGGGCAGTAGCTTCGTTCTCTCGCTTCAGAAGTCATACTCCCGGAAGTTGGAGGCCAATAGTAATGTGCCCGTACCTGAGTGGCGATTACCCCCTTGCATCGTCGGCGGTGTTGCATTTGCAGGAGGGCTCTTCTGGTGAGTGACCTTCTGGACTCCCATCATGCCATATGCTTGGCCATATGCTGGGCCAGGACCTGTAGTTAACAGTATGTAATAGGTTTGGCTGGACAGGTTGGAATCCATCGATTCATTGGATGGCTCCCACAGCGGCCGGAGTGATGGTGGGATTCGGCATCACCTCGATATTCATGCAGGGGTTCAATTACTTACTTGATTCGTATCTCAATTTGTAAGTTGCATGTCACTCGGCGTTTAATTATTCTCGGGCTAACGGATACTGTTTTCCTTATCTCAGCGCGGCATCGGCGTTTGCAGCTAACACCATGATGCGATCCATGGTGGGAGCGTGCTTCCCACTTTTCACGCGACAGATGTTCAATAACTTGGGCATTCAATGGGCAGGCACTTTGCTCGGGTGTATCGCCGTAGTGATGATTCCGATCCCGGTGCTTTTCCTCGTATTCGGGCCTCGACTACGTCAGAGGAGCCGGTTGGCACCAGCCGTGGGGGTAAAACGGGCGTAGAATGAGGGAAATTTTCGACGATTCTAGAGAATTATATTTTCATATGATTGGGTTTCTCTTGCTCAGCTTGTTCGGAAGGATTCAATAAAATTTCCAAAGTCGAATAAGACCGTCGGGCGATTCTTTTCTTCCGCCGGCGATGAGGGAAGGAAAGCCGAAGATGGTCACGAGAACAAAACCAGTTCATGGAGTGGACTTAATTTCCGCGTGAGAATAACCAAGGAACCCCAGAACGCGCGGAGGGACTTTTCACCAAGAGAGCAGAGATCGACAGCGGGCACGGGTCTTATTGGTGTAGGGCTGTGTTAAGAAAAGAGAGAATTGTCCTACAGTAATCAGTTAGTAAGTAACCGGAGACTCCGAGAGGGATCTTCACGCGAAAAAAAAAAAAAAAAAGCTTCAATTTAGGGCAAAGGCGGAGTGCGGCGACCCTGCATTTTTGGCTCCCAAAAGAGTCACATTGGACCATGTGGTACATGTGATTCAGCCGTTTCGCCGGATCGTCAGCCAATAGGTACCTTTTTGTTTTGAGTTTCTGTGCCTTTTGATTTTCGGTGTTTTTCCTTTCATGCTTCTGCGTTGAGTTTATCCAGTGTGGTTTGCGGGTACTGTTGGCGAGAAGGTTAAGCCGAAAGCCGCCGTGGGTAGATATGACAAGACGCACAAGCTTTGCAATCAAGCCTGTCCCCGTTTGATCAACATCCTGTTTGAACGTGCCGAGGCTGATTTCGTGGCATTCTTCGTCAGCTTAAGCAGTGGATCCGCGTGGATGAGTAGTGTCAACTGAACCATTTCAGCTCGATCAGGCCAAGAGCATCGATGGTAGACTATTGAGATCGCGCATACCATGTCTCACTTTTTTCAGCGGAGCCACATAAAACCGATTGTCGGATCAGGGATATCGATTTTAGAGAAGTCTATATACAGAAATGTAACTATTTAATGGGCGTCGTTTCCACGTCCACTTTGTTCCTCCTGTTCCTCATACCTGCTTTGTCTCTATCCATTGAGTAGACCCAGAAGCACACTAGCCAAGATGCGCTTCCTCTCCGGCGTTGTTTCTGTTCTATCTTCAGTGGCCCTGTTGGGTTACGCTTACCCAACTGCAATTGATGTTAGAGGTACCGAATCTACTTCATGAACTTCTAGGCGCACACCAGCTTATTCTTTAGACATCCCTACCACCCAGCTCGAGGACTTCAAGTTCTGGGTGCAATATGCGGCTGCCACCTACTGCCCCAATAACTACGTTGCCAAAGACGGCGAAAAGCCGAACTGCTCTGTGGGCAACTGCCCAGATGTCGAGGCGGCTGATACCACCATCAAGCTCAGCTTCTCCGAGTAAGTCACCTGAGTCCCCAGTACCGTGACTCTCGACTAACAACCCTAACAGCGACACCATCACCGACACTGCCGGCTTCGTGGCCGTAGACAACACCAACAAGGCCATCGTCGTCGCTTTCCGTGGCTCCTACTCTGTCCGCAACTGGGTCACCGATGCAACCTTCCCCCAAATCGACCCAGGGCTGTGCAAAGGCTGCAGGGCCGAACTGGGCTTCTGGACCGCCTGGAAGGTCGTCCGCGACAGAATTATCAAGACTCTGGATGAGCTGAAGCCTGAACACAGCGACTACAAGATCGTCGTTGTCGGCCACAGTCTCGGAGCCGCCATTGCCTCGCTCGCAGCTGCTGACCTGCGCACGAAGAACTACGACGCGATCCTGTACGCCTACGCCGCGCCACGTGTAGCCAACAAGGCTCTGGCCGAGTTCATCACCAACCAAGGCAACAACTACCGTTTCACTCACAATGACGACCCCGTTCCCAAGCTGCCGCTCTTGACTATGGGCTACGTGCACATCAGCCCCGAATACTATATCACCGCTCCGGATAACACTACCGTCACCGACAACCAAGTCACCGTTCTCGATGGATACGTTAACTTCGAGGGAAACACTGGCACGAGCGGCGGACTTCCTGATCTCCTGGCGTTCCATTCACATGTGTGGTACTTTATCCACGCCGATGCCTGCAAGGGTCCTGGATTGCCATTCCGCTAATCCCTTACCCACCCCCTTTTTTTTTGGTGATTCTCTTACACGATATGGACGGACGATGAGATGATTCTATTCTTGTACTGTATAAAGTTTTGGATGTGGAGTCGAAGCCTACGTAAATATTTAATATCCCTAATTTTTTGAAACAAAATTCAAATCGAACCAAATATTCATCGCACCAAAACCTTAATCGCCATAAATTCTCTCCACTTATTTTTAGGTACGTACTCCGCACAGGAGGTACCCCGTATGTATTACATTCACAACAAAAGAAAAGCTGAAACAAAAACCCCTCTTCACCAGAATACAGAAAAATATTCGTCAGCCAAGCACATTACATCTGCAGGCAGCAAAGCAGCTCGATCCTTGCCGTGCAAAGGATTGCGCCTTGAACCTATCAGCATGAGAATAGCCGACGCCCAGGCCAAAGGATGCGGTCGATCGGGCTGAAGCCAAGCCAATAGTTTGTGGAGGTCGGGACGGAGCGACACGGATAGGCTAGGGTCGGGGAGTTCTTATTCGGCTTGGTTTGCATTTTGTTTTCTAAGGAAATTGTTTTTCAGCTGTGTTCGCTTTTTTTTTTTTTTTTTTTGTGGTGGTGGGTGAACAATGGGGGATTTGTTTTCCTATAGGATACTACCTTGTCATCTGGATGTATCACTTTAATCGTTTGCTTGAGAAATATTTGTTTGTATGGCTCGACGCTGGTGGCCCCATGTCCCTATAGTAGAGGCATATATGAACAAGGACCTTACCTGAGTAGAACTTCGCCGACGGCGGGATGCGGGGGGTCGAGGATGTCATCTCAGCTGAAGACGGAGTTTACCTCCGTGATTAGGTTGCATTCTTCTGCAGAATGTCTGCAGCTAATGGTGTGATAAGCCCACAGCTGAATGCTGCCAGCATAATGCGGGCTTTGTGACATATCCAATCCGTAGCAAAATCGGCATCGTTGTCAGATTTTTCCCACCGAAACACGGTTTGTAGGCTCTTGTCGCATCTATGTACGGCTGAGAGACGAAATTGATCTTTGCTGAGTCGTGGTGCTGCTGTTCGGTGAGGATGTAGTCATCTTTGGAGTTTGAATTAGGTAGGCTTGCCGAGATGCTGGGGCGATATTTGCGTAAATGGGATTTTGTGGTTGTCAGTTTGTTGTGTTTAATAGGATTTCGCGTGGCCATGCTGTGAGTAGGAATTGTAAATTAGTAGGCTCAGTTATGCGACTTTATGTCAGATTTAATATCAAGAGACCCTATGGCTTGGAGTATCGATAGAATAACAGTGGAAAGTAATGACCGTGGTGATAATCTGCTGCTTTCTGAAATGGTGATCTGGAAGATTTACCCATTAATATGGCTCGTCAGCTCATGGAATGTACTTACTTGACATGAACTGATCCTGGGCCAGTGATAGTGAGATATATATTTTGTTGGTCATGTTTTACACTCAAGTGAACTTTGGCCGTTGAATGATTCCATCCATCTTTAAGCATCAAATCTTCTCCAGCTATATATAGACTATCTCACATCGAATCTGGAGTATTGGAGACGGATGTGTCTATGGAGCCGAGTATCCTTTCATTTAAGGTCGCATCAGGAAAGCTAAATGATTCACAAAGCTGCCTAGATAACCCCAAAACAACAAACCATTGAACGATGTCATCAATTCTTTATGTGGCGCTGACACCTGATGAATTTGTGACCGCAAGGACAATATTCATTGGAGGGATCTGCATATAGATGATGCTTTTGTGCTCTGTGTGCTGCATTTGTACTCGGTTAATTAGATAAGTTAGTCTTAGCTTGTGGCTTGTTTCAATGACTATGAGAGTCGTGTAATGTCAAAATGAAGCAGGGAGAGCCTCTTAAGGCGCTGAAGAAATATAGAGAGAGAGACAGAGAGAGACAGAGAGAGAGAGAAAGAGAGAAAGCGTTAGGCCCTAGCCAGACGGCTTAGACATTGCATGGGGAGTTTTCAACGATGTAGATTCAGACGAGAAGCATTATGATTGTGTTGTTCAGGATTAGTCAAGATTGCTCAAGATCGTAGATGGGGAGAGTGGTGGTCTCGTTGTATACCGATCCCGTCTTTTATTATGTTAGTTAAATAATTGTTAGGAAAGAAAGTTATACGGAGAGTGATGCACTGATGCTGTAGAGAATCCTCACATTTCCATTTCCCGTAATTTTCCATTTTCTATAGTACAGATTATGCCCTCGCTGGGCATCTGATAGAAAACATCAACCATACTGGTTATTAAGAATGCCTTATCCATAATAACCTGCTTGGTAACGATCAGGCGTGAGGTTGCTTGATACTCAATGAATATGAGTATCATGAATTCTAGCATAAGCACAGCAATCTCGCTAGTATCACTCCAGCTTCCATTAAACGAAACAAGCATTAGGATGATAGCGAATACAAGCCCGACGAACGTAATCCTAGGTTGGTGTATCTCAATGATACCATTCCATGTGAACAGAATAAACAGTGCGCCTGTAATGTCTTCACTCCACCATTCTTTGCCTTGTCATTGCCTCCCATACTGATCTTGTCTACTCTTTGGGTGCACCGTTGCATTCTATGTAAGTTTCTATGTGTCTAGTAGTTTGACCCCAGCTTCTCAATGAAATTCATACTGTTAAATGGATTGCACGAACGGTCTAGACCACTGGGATATGCAACACTGTGATCACAATGACGAACGTGTATCGAACGCTAGACCCTTACGTCAGTGATGGGAGATGGACTCATTGAAGATAACAGAGATTAGGTTACGCATAGAACTGGAACACTCGGCATGGCAGCACTTAGGCCTATCTGTTGAGGGTGCTGAAGCCACCCACAATGATATCACTCAGAATGTCTAGCCCCGACTTCTCAAGGGTGGTAAAGAAAATACATGATGTAAGAGACGAATAGCAACATCAGGCAGCTTGGAAGAGATTGACATGAAAGACCAGAAGCTAGTTGAAGACGTAATACGAGAGGTAATGTCGCTAGCTTCCCGATGAAAGGCTTTGCGACAGGAGAAGTGCGTATAGTGCTGTGCTTGGAAGGCAGTGGGAGGATATATATGACGATTAAGTCGAACTGAGAAAAAATGCACTGCAATAGTCTAATTGAAGATTCTGATTGGTTAGGCGGGAAAGCATATCTATACTGGTCAAGTTACAGCTATATGGTATATGAATGTTTCAATTTCGCATATCTCTGTGATTTAGGTAGGTCATTGTTTAATGATTATTTAGACGACCCTCCAGTCAAGGTTTAACCTGTAAGTCAGGAATAACATAGTTGGTGTTGTATCATGGGACAGCCACGTCATCTCTATTCGGGACTCTCAGTTTCATGCCTTTCTAGGAAATTGAATGAGCATGATAGTCCGGTAGTACTCACTAGTAGGCTAACGATGTTTACATTACCTCAGGCCTTCCTCAAACCGAGTATGAAAATATACCACTGTTCATGTGTTCCATCTCTTCACCTGACTATGTTGTTGAACAAGGACTTCCTCAGGTCTAGAATCTGGTGTCAGCTGCGCCGGAAACTATCTCCTGGCAGACTAGTGGGGTCTAGACACCTACTTCGCCTGGTCCCCCCTAGAAATGCACTTTTAAATCTTGACACCCACAGAATAGCATTACTACATAGTCATCTCCACTCGGTTCTAAAAAGCGGGGATTTGGGCGGAAAGCGCGAACAAGCGAGCACCCCACGTAGAGTAATGATAGCTCTAACCGAGAAGACTTTGCGGTATGACTGTTAGTCTGAGTGGAGGGAGAGTTAATAATGGGAAATAGCAGTTGAACATGCTAAATGACTTGTTATAGTTGAGTGACTATGACGTACATGGGCAAGTATGACATAAAACGGTCGACAACACTATTGAAGCCCACTTAGCGTAGACTTAGTTTAAGGCGGCACTACTCATGCAATATCCTAGAGTACCTTGCAGGACCATCTAGACTCATGACCCGATAGGTATAATGTATCGAGTAGATAATCTAGATCTTTGTGATATCGAACATTGCATCATAGTAGTCAGGGTCCGACATGGATTGACGAGTGGTGCTTCAAATGCAAATACTATTGTCCTAGGGGCTCTAAGAAACGGCCGTTCGGGTAGATATACACACAATGGAGGAGTCGACGTCATGGGCGGGGCTCCCTCTGGTATTCAAAGTGTCGAGACATTTATAGGGTGTTGTTCAGGTTCAAAGTGAGCCATCAACAGGTATACGTCCTCCAGTAACAGAAGGAAGGGTCATTCTGGCACACTCATAGCTCGCAGTTGTCCACGAGGAATCTGATCACGATCTCGGTAACAATAGGGTCACCAGTTCTATTCCTCTTGCATCCCTGAGAAAAGTGTGAATACCTGTGCAACCATGCATTGGACTCTTGGCACATGGCTGTGGATATCTCACAAGTAAGCCCCCTTTAATTCTGGAATGCCAATTCTATTTGCTGACGGCAATTTTCCATTCCAGATCCAAAACCGTGACAGGGATTTCCGCACGATATCAGGAGGATACCGGCCAGAGGAGTAACAGACAGCATCATACGTCCGAACAACCAAAACCGCGCCCCGGGATATACGTTCGGAGTCTTCAATCTTCAGGAAGCGAGACACAACCATCGGTTAAAGCAACGCGTGAAGGGTACAAGCTAAACGAACTACGATGTCAGCGCTGCAATGGCCGTCGTTCACTCGCTTACCACCGTAAGAACCGTACAGATTCAGTTATTTATCCATCCAAGGGGATCTGCTCTCGTGAATGGACCGGTTGTGCAGTAGCGAAGCAATCTGGTGGGCTGGACCATTGGCCTCATCCAATCCATGAGCTCCCAGGGAGCTAGCGGCCCGATGGATTCGCATCATGCAGGAACTTCAGAGAGCGACGTGCATTGCATGCTGACTAAAAAAATGTACAAGAAATTGAGAACGTCAAGATTAATGATGTCACTTTATCGATCAGCCCCACCAACGAACAGTCCACACACACCTGGTCACACACAGACCAACAGGGGAAGCACTGACGACATTGCTTGACACTGATACCCTGAGATTATGCGTTGATGTATGGCTGCCAAGCTTTCATAAGGCTCGCAGCCAGGTGTTACTGCAGAAAGTTGGGCGCTAGCTACAGGGCGCCGCTTTTGAGAGGTTATACTAGGAATAGACGTTACTAAATGAAGAGACTTTAACCCGTGTAGGAGTGATGTTGAAATAGAGCCTCATTGTGTATCAGAGAAATACATATCTGATGTCATGTCTGCACCGGAAACTGTGATTCACTAGAAATTTAAGATACAAGCTATAGATTATGGATTCACACAGGAATTGTGTTGACAGACTCAAAACTAATGCTCCAACACCGATCCCAGAAGGGGATATGCTACGAGAGAAAGCCTTTAGTGATCACATCGTGTACCGCAGGAGCAGTAAGGCATTTACTATATTGACGTTGATTTCCGTAATAGAGCGATCGAGGCATGGATCCAGACCACAGCTCCTTAATTGCGAGCTCAGACCTTCCCACGAGAACGGGCGCAGAGAAAAACAGGCGCAGACCCGCAAACTGCCATTGATTTCCACAGGAGTAATAGCCTAAGAGATACTAGAGCATTCATCCTGCGAAGGAAACTAGTTGTGTACACGTGTTGCCGCGAATACTATAGGACTTGAACCTTCGGGAATTCGCCCGGGGAGAGATATTAAAATGTGTATGCGAAACCCATACATTTCTTCGCTCAGAGAGCTTATACTGTAGTATATATAACTTGGCTATGTACGCCGGACTTACCTTGCATTTGTAAACTGAGCTCAGGGGTCCTGGTGGGGGTAGGGAGGGATTTTCATACGCTTCACATTTCACCACAGAAGCAACGTAATTCTGTATCAATCTAGAGTAAGCGTGATGCAATCAATAACATTTAGTGTAGTCAAGACTAATTACTACTATTGACCCTTGATCATAGAAAACCACTAGAGGAATGGTTAGGGGATAGGTGTTATGCACCCACCAAACCCTGGCACTATCTGCCCTAGCATGAAAATGTTCGCAATTTTTACACTATTTAGTATTGGTTTTCATGCCAGTGCGTCAAGGGTCTCGGGGATTTTTCGGAGGGCTCAGCCCTTCTCACAGGCGATGGCACTGTTAATCACCCTCAATCTGGCGTCGGACCCTCAGTAGTGAGGCACTCAGTGAGTTCTTAAATATTTATTGGTGAAATAGCCAGGTCTTCGGGGTATAGTGAAATTATGTATGGTGTAACCGAAAATGATACGGTGACCACTATCAACTCACGGGGTTTCTTCCGACGGGGTAAAACAGTGTCACTCATCGCTTTGTATCCTCTTGAAAACTACGGTTCTCCGTAGCTTTCCAGGACTCTCTGCAGCCCTAAACAACGGGGTATCTGCCATTTTTAGAGGCTCGGCCGAGATCGAGTGAAACCTATAAAAAAACTGTGGTTGGTTGAAGACATGCCGAGCCGCTAGCATGGCATTCTAGCAGCCAGTCATGTCGGCACTTTTTGCTGGGAAGAGTGGAGTGGAGCACTTGTTCCTGGATTTCGGAAATACCGACCAGGTCCGATCTGCCAAATTTCGAAGGCTACCCTAAATTGAGCACAGGTCGAATGATTCAGATCTTGTTCAGACTATCCTACGTTTGGAAAATGTGTAACCAGGGAGCTCTAGGTCCAGTGACTTATACCAACGATCTGGAGGGGTGGTAAACGCCGATTAATATATGAATATATGAGACAGCACTATGGAGATAGGACCAAAAGATCCATTATTTAGTTAGGCTGAAGCCCATTGGACAAACCCCGTGAGACAAAACGTGAGCTAGATGTCTTACACCTTTCAAAGATGCGGGTTGTTTCTATTACGTGGTGGGAATCTTCTTATACCTATCTTTCACTCATCTTGCACCGATTACGGAGTAGTTTGACCGCCGATTGTTAGTTTGCTCCAGCACCTGGAGGAAGCTGTCTAGCTCCATGACAGTGTCTGATTGAGCCCACAAGGCTAGCCTGCGTTTTTGAATAGGCTCTTTAGAAGGTCGGAAATACCATAGACAATCAAAATGTGGTATTTGTTCTCGTTCATGGCAGTGGCGGCGGCTGGGCCTACCAGTTCAGAGATATGGAATATATTCTAACCTATAGACAACCACTCGACTGTCTTGGTCGAATATTGCATAACTCGATGTTTAATCCCTTACCTAGGGAAAGGTAATGTAAATTAAATGACAGTAAAGTGCAAAATCAAGACTAAGACACTGAATATAGACGGCTTCAGTAGGGTGCATGGACACCAGCAGGATGGATGTCCAGATTTGACTAGTCACGAGCCATAACAGACAATTTAGTAGAGGCGGCAGTCGGCTGTCTCATTACCTCGTCTATCGCGTTTATGATCCACGTGTTTGATTGATTGACCGGGACTCTAAGAAACAAGCTCACAACCAACAAAAGCGTGGGAGAAATAGATATGCTAGGAGGTAGCGGATCTGCCCGAGTCTGTGCTCTGCAGCAGCGCACAAGTTCCTGCACGTGGCCCAGGCGTTGTTGCAGCTGCGAAGAAACAGTAACCATGGAAGAGGAGGTCGAGGCTAGAGCGCCTAATGTACTAACCTAATCATATAGTCGAATAAAAAGGCTTAGCGAGGTGTAGAATGTAGGTCCACCGAGCGTAGTATTAATTAAAATAAATAAATAATCCGAGTCACATTGGACCGGGATGCCCCACGCGTAGTAATTAGTAGCAGTAGCAGTACCACTGGGATTTCACTTTGTTCACAAAGTAGTATCTACTGGTGTAAAAGTGTGACGGGGGAAAACATTCTAGGCATTCATAAGGTGGAGCTCGGTGAAGCCAGTTTAGCCTAATTTCTCCTATCAAGACAGCAACCAACATGCCTGAGCCAGTGATATCCATTTTCTAGGGACTAATTGTGAACATGAAATTGTGCCCCTTACCGTAGAGAGTGAATTTACGAGACGGATACTCGGTAAAAGCATCAGAATCAGAAAAGGACGGTCGTAAAGCACATCCCAAGACCCGAATTTCCCCGTTGAAAGGTAGTGCACTGGGATCAGCCAGCCATGAGTGCTTGAGGAATAACCGCTTCATCTGTGTCGATGTGCGTCATGATTTAGTTACGGAAGAGGTCGAGACCATATACATACTCACCGCCCTTGGCAAGTAACATCCACAACCGCTTATGGCTTAGTATTCCAGCATCGACGAAATTTCAGGAGACGGAGAATTGAACATGGAAAAATTTTGCGCAGGACCCGCAGACCAGCAACAAATAGATGGCCATATTGACCCTTGAAAGAACCCCTGACGGCTCTGCCGGTGAAGCATTACGTGGAGACTTACGTGCTTGGTGATCCTACCGACTAATGCAACAGAGATTAGGGCCGCATAGATTTGCTGCAGTGAGTATGTATATCTCTATCCTTTCTACTGGGCCTGTTGCCATTTTGATTGCTCATCCAATCATTTAGACAGGACTAGCTTTATATGGGGACTGTACTCTTGCCATATGCATGTTCCTTTAACAGGAGGGAGGGTATCTGCTTACGCGTTGGGCACTGACATTTCCGAGAGACCCATAGCGGGCCTTACCGCAATGTAGTACCTGACGCTACAGCAATTATTGTAGTAAGTCGTTTCGGTTAAAAATATCACCATAGCATGGTGCAAGATTGTGGGTGGAGCTGTCCGATCTAGTGTTAGTGTGGCAAAACATCATCCGACCTGTTGTCTCTTACCCTGTTTTCTCAACAATTCGTAGTATTTTTCAAGGGAAAAAGAACATCTAAGCATATCGCTTAGGAAGATACCCCTTGTAGGATCCGTCTAAATATCCTATCACGTCATGTGAATGCTAGTGAGACCATGATTGGGCGCGTTCAGCTTGAAGGTATTGCATCCTTCCTTCTTGGCTGACTGAGAGCCAGGGCGCATGTGGGTAGGTAATTTAATTATGACGGAAGGTTTCTTAACGGGCAGAAGGTTGGAGTGAATCCTGCAAATAGAGGTGTATGCTTCAGGCCAGGTCTAAAACTTCTGTAACCCCGTTCTGTAGCAAGTAGGGGATTTCTGCTCGCAATTGATTCAGCATTCGTGTACTACGGTAATACTATCACCCGTCCCGTTGTTCAGCTTTGGCATATAGTAAGGCCTTCTATAATCTGTAGTAAGGATGTGTCAATGGTAAAGACGAAGGCCTGACGTAAAGAAACATGGGGTTGCTGTACTGCCTTGGACATTTTGTCGACTACACTGAGAATAGTTCAAAACGATCAGTCATCAATATCCCGTTTCAGTGATAGTAAACTCGTACGATGTCCATTTCAGGTCTGGAAACCAAGTGTACAATTAGCGAGGCGGATCTTGGGTCTTGGTCCTCAGATGAAGGGTAATTGCGCATAATCTACTGGACTACCCCTGAAATGGAACAGGTAATCCTCTTACCTAAAAGCTAACGGTCCAGTTTCATTTCACCGCTCGAGACGGTTTTCAATAGTTCAAAAGAGACACAAGTTACATGAGCCACTACTTACTTGGGTTGGATAAGGTGCGTGCTTTACTACTAGGACGTTCTTGCGATGCAATCAATCTGATTATCCTATACATTGGTCTATCATCATACTAGGTTTGTAATTATTATTTATTTTCTCTACTTATACTGTCTTTACCAACGTTAGGAACCCCTTGTCCGGGCAAGGCAGTCGGTATAAGGTAGGGGGAAAGTAGATAAACCGTTACTATCACAAGTATATTTCTCGTATTTCTGGAGAAGCAGAGCATTGCAGTGAATTGTCATAGACAAGGAGCCCAATTAGTGAAAGCGTCGGGGTTCAGGAATGACTCGGTTTCCGAGAATTGTGGGATAGTGGGATCCTTTAGACCCATCGGCGACATTGCCAGACACGCACTTTGATGAAAGTGGAGCACCTCCATGAATCTACAAGTTTCCTCGTTAGTAGATGAGCTTTCAGGGGAAGGTAATGATAAACATACATCACTTCTTTTAATATCTCCTTGTCAAATTCGCCACCGTTAAACACCCAGTCGAACATTTCTTCAGCAATGGGTTCATCGGTCGGGTCATGATACATTCTCATATAGGGGTGTTGTAGGGCTTCCTCGGCAGAAATCCTTTCTTGTGGGTCCAGCGTGAGCATTCCCTCCAGCATACTCCTAGCTATATAGCCCATACCAGTCAGCCATACAGTCAAACTATTAGAAAATGGAGTATAGTCGGCACTTGCCGGAATCATCCAGATTCTGAATAACGCTTTGCAAGGGACGCGGCTCTCTCCGCTCCAGTGACCTTATGATCTCCACTGTCTGAAACGTACATGTCAGTACTGCGGCGTGCACAACAAATTTCCCCGAAATACCTACATTTGTGGTACATATCCGCGAGATAAACTTATCAGATGGATTTCCCAACACGTCCAGAATCAGGTAGAACTGGTTAATGGGGTCTTGGCCTGGAAATAACGGCCTTCCATTGAACATTTCCGCAATAACACACCCTGCGCTCCAAATGTCCATCTTTACACCGTACCTTTGCCATGTAAGCATGACCTCCGGTGCACGGTAGTACCGAGTTGAGACATATCCAGTCATGCGATGATCCTGGGGCCTGGAGAGACCGAAATCACATATTTTTAAGTCGCAGTTCTCATCAATAACCAGATTACTAGGTTTTATATCCCTGTGAACCACTCCTGCAGAATGTAGGTATTTTAACCCACGCTGGGTCTAGTCAGAATTGAGAGAACGAAGATATGGGGCGCCAGCGACTCTTACCAGTATTTGATACGCGAAATACTGTACGAATTGTGGCTCAAGGGGCCCAGCCTCCAGAAGGCGGCCGAGATCAGTGGAGAGGAGCTCCGTTACTAGGTATCTGTAAAGCAATATTAGTGTGGAGTAGAGCCAAAGACGATTGCGACTGAACATACACATCTGTTCGGGGAGAGATAAAAACATCGCACAACCCGATGAGCTTCAAGGGGTTAGTATTTTTGAAACATATTTCGTAGGCTCAGTATCCGTACATTTTCATGTCGTAACTGCTTTAAGAGCTTGATCTCTCGATAGGTCTGTTTAGCGTTGGCTGTCGTGGCAAAGGGATTCAATAGCTTTTTGATCGCCACCGCTTGACCCCTCACCAGGTCATACGCGGAACTAATTTTCTCAGTAAGCCTTCATCCTTTTGGGGGAGGGGGGGGGAGGGTAAAGGGGGAAAAGGGGCAACGGGGGTAATCAGGAAGACGTACCAAACAAGGCTAAAGGCACCCAGGCCCACCGGTCGTACGTTAATATACCTAGACAAACGGTTAATTTTTTCTTAAGTTGATGCCTATGTTCAATGGTCAAAATCTACCTGCTGGTAGTATCAAACACAGATCCCAACACTTCTGATCGATTGAACTCTGCCATGTTTGCGTCTTACTTAGAATACCTTCAGAGACGGTGCACCAGGTGAACAAAGCGGCACGTTGCTTTATATAGCCTGTGTCCTGACAGACCGAGAGAGTTCTCCACCAGGACCCATCTGAGAAATGCTGCGAGGATGAGAAAAATACCTCCGGACAGCGGACCTCATCTGTTGCCTATCATTGAACAGAGCTCTATGTGGGGTGGCATCCTGAAAAGGCCGTCAGAAGATGGTTGCATGCTCATTGGCGAAGGAGACTCGAGGACAGCCGAAAAATGCCTACTTTTCGACGGCCATTGGCTATACAAGCTTACTCTAGATAGGAAGGTCTCTGGTAGTCACTAGAGGCTAGACCTGTCAGAAAAAGGATAGGCTGGGGCGGGAGGCATGGCTCCGTCAAGCTTGTGCTTGAAATCTTCTCTCACGGGTGCATTTTCCGGTGACCAATGCCAGCCCCGTGTAGGACAGTCGTTGGTAACGTTACTGATTACCTTGAAATGCATGAAGTAGATTGATGTGCAGTTCTGGGTGGCGGTTTACATATACCCCACTTAGAACTTTGTTGTATCACTGCGAAACCTTCGCCCAATAATTCACAGTCTTCTTGAGCCACTATCAACCCACTTCGGTCGGACGGGAGAGAATCAATGGGCAGAAAGCGCTCCCTGCCTCCTGTAAGCTTCATGTTGCGCAAGAAATTCATACAAGCAATTGTCTTAGGATAGGAGAGGGTATCCTGAGTTTGCCGAGTGGCATTACCAAGAAGAAACTATCGGTTTTCTTCTCTCTACCCACTCAAGAAGTAGCTGTTAAATGTCTAGTGATGATCTTTGGCCATAGGGATACTCCACAGGCCTTGGCGACTGGCGCATATCAGCAATTAGTGACACATGCACTTGGGCCAGGAGAGTCTGGAGAGGCTGTCTAGCCGATTCTAACTCTGGGCAGCCTCCAACGTCCGAGGTTGATGTGGAACCTGGAATGTATCGCTCGTTGACGACATCATCTGGACTATGTGCAATGTGGGACGTGAAAAAATGGTCCCCTTGCGCTATTTTGAACATGCCGCTTCATATTGCCATTTAGAGCTGCGTGCATACTGCTTTAGGTTGTGCGATATGATATCCCCTGCCTCGCTGTCGCCACATCTAGTTAGCCGACGCTCTAAGACAATAGAGTGGTATAGTAACAAAACAGCGACAAAGTCTGCATCGCTACAGATGTGTCTGATTAGCCCGCACCACGCCGGAACCTCCCCACCTAATCCACTTAGGTGGCTATACGGCTTCCTAGGAGCAGGTAGGGTCAAGTCTGTCCAGCTTGCACCAGGCCAGACCGAGGACAAGGCGGAGTATTCCGCGGCTCACTTAACCCATGACGGGGCCTGGAAGATAATGCCGAGCCTATTTGGAGCCCTTGAAGCGGCTCAAAATTGGCATAGCTTTGCTACTATCATGAGTAGATACGTTAGGCTAGTAGGCGGTGTATATGGCCCGCTATATTGAGGTTGCAGACTGTCGGAGTTCGAACGGGCGCACAGGTGACCAAGGCGTTCTACTATCACCTTAAAGTCTAGTAAGGTTAGCTGCATAACAAACTACATACGCATAAGTGACATACATTGTACCCGATTTCCGACCTGGCTAAGTGCACTAGTGTAGGGCACTAACGTTACCCTATCCCACCTGGCTCAGGTCGTTAGTGAGTCACTGGATATGTTAGACGGAGCCCTCACTCTATCGAGAATCAATCCGGTGTAGAAGAAGCCCATATCCACGCAGAGCTAAGGGATCTGCGTTGAGCATGCGTGCAACACAGGAGCCGAGCCTACAGTGCCCAAAAGCTGGAAGTACACGAAAACGTTAGGTGGAATTAAGCTGATTGCATCACATCAATTGATGGGCTTGAGCTTTCTAATGACAGGGATGCCCTTAAGCTTGGCCAGGTGCTTGATCAATACATCATTGTATGCTTAAGAGATACGGTCATTGCTAGCCAATCGAGATTGGGCTCGGCAGAGTGACGTTATGTATGGCTGGATTCATTAGTTATTTTCGTGACGAGTAAAATGCCTCAAGTACTTGGGTAGTTTTGCCTTGTCAATTGAATTTTCTTCCTAACTCCGTGAACTCGGCCGGTCCCACAACGGGGCACTTGAGGTTGCATCACTCAATGCATTTGTCTTGCCGGAGTAACCGCCGTTCACCTTCCTATTTGGGTTTTGATTCTATTATCTCTGGCTGCCTAGCCCTCTTGGAAACGCAGATCGCATGCCTGGGTTACTGCCCCCCTTTCCATACTTGATCGGGTAATCTTTGCCTTGTCAGTGGCATGGAAGGAACATGATGTTAACATCCCAATGGCTGCCTGACAGGCCATCCAGTTCTGTGCATATATTGAAGCTTTGAGCAGTGTGTCAAGAGGAGGAGAGTAGACCATTGGAATAGAGTCAATCTCGCCGCTTGCAGATCCTTTCGTACGGTTTGAAGAAAGGGTATGTTCTTGATTGGTTGATTGATATCCGGATATAGTATTACGGAATAAGTAGGAGCCATCAGTCATGCTATGGCGATCTGTGAATGTGTTAGGTATCATGGTTAATCATGTTATTTCACTGGCTCATGATAGCTCTCGGTAGCTGTGATGGGATTTTTGATACTCTCGCAATGCAAATGCTTAGGCGTACTCTCCTTACAGGGCTGTAGTGACCATCATCATTAAACGGGTGCACACTCCCAGGCAGTATTTGAATGCGATAAATGATGTCAACATCGCCTAATCCCTCATCGAGCAAAATATGAGCGTCATAGCCTCTACGATATATGAAGAACCGGGATTTTGCCTACTGTAACTGCCTCTCAGTTCGCCATCTATTAGGCACTCTGACTAACGTATTGAATCAGTATGATAAACCCCCATGCACTATGAGGTAGGACAATGGAGATAGGCGGTATGAGGCTTACTCCTGCGTTTGCTGTTCGGTCGCGGCCTCTTGCATCATTTGAGCGTAACATGCCATGAATTAATGTTGATTACTTTCTGGGATCTGTCTCTGCAGTGGCAATACCTAGTAGTTCCCCTCAACGAGAAGGCAATTTTCATGGTATAGTTCTAATCTTAAGAATTTACCAGCATTTCGGCTCAATACAACGGCTGGGAAGTTATGATGGTAGTGCAGTTGGGTTGGTTGGCACATATGAGAGCTCTGGGATTGATACAAGCGAACAATAGTTGTCTAAGTCTGGACTAGTTCTAATATAATGAGCAAATCGATTGTATTATATGAAGATAGAAAGCCAGACAGTCTCTGAGATAAAAGAAAATCTCAGGAGATCAAGTTAACGTTCTTTATATCGCGATACACCCATGCTCGAGGAATAACTCAAGCTTCAAGTATCCTTCAGCACTGTAACTTGCACATGGGATGTGTTTACTACTCGAAGATAATTCAAGATCTGCATACTACGAAAGTCGGTATAGTGTAGTGCAAGGTCGAACCGTCCAAGAATGTAAGCGAGAGACTTGTTCATCCCCATTTGCGATAATCTATTCAATAGTCAGTGCCAAGTCGAGTACTATATCCCACACCAGAACCTTGCTTACTATACGTACTTCATACCAATACAGGCGTAAGGCCCTAAACTGAGCTGGACCCTCCACTTGTCGAGGCTCTTTCCCTCGTCTCCCAGTCATCGCTTAGGCCGGAACGAGCTCGGGTCTTTGAAATTCGCTTTACTATTGCTTATACAGGAGAAAGGTACCGAAATGATTGTCGTTGGTTAGATACAGTAGCCCAAACGTATGGGAGAGAATGTCTTCTTACCCCGCCGGGGATGAATGTAGACCCAATGAAGCGGCCACTGGGAGATACTACCTAGGTAAAAATCATTGAACTGGGCAACAGATGCGTAGTACCTCTTTAATTACAGTAGACTAAGTATATCTGTGAATTAGCTCCTCTACAAGTTTTATCATGCGTATCAAATATTTCAGCCTTCCAATGGCAGACTAATCATGTAACTTTGGAGACGTTAAGCTCGCATTCGGGTTTCATGAGTACTTCGGGGTCGGCCAACAGGTAGTATATGGCGAATGATAGAGCATATGCCGTCGTATCTGTAGCGACGAACATAAAAAGGACGCATTCATCAACGAGGTACTTCATATCAATATAGATTTTATCACCCTCGCCGGAAATTAGTAGGAAGTCTCTCAACGTACGGTGCTGTGCGTCTAGTGACGGCCCCTCTTTTTGTTGTCTTGTGGCGTAGACGTCGTCAAGACAGGCACCGCAGTAGTGATCAAAGGATATTAGCGATCAACCAAAACAGTTATTGCTGGGAGACATGGACGAAATTGACCTCTGTCAGTCGCATATATCCCGGGACGATCCACTTTCAAAAGTCTCTCTGGCAGGACGTCTACTAGCCTTCCTAAACTAAGACAATTCACAACTGGGCATTATCAGTGGCTTGGAGCCCCATTGTAGAACTCATGGAGCTCACGTAAAAAAGACTGCCTCTAGAAGGATCTCGGTGAAACCCGGTTCTAGGTTTGATGATACTGTCGAATGGAGAGCTTTAGTCTTATTTGGTCACTTTGGGCGTAGTAGCCTGGACTCTACTCAAGGAAGAAATATATTGGCCACAGCGGATAACATCGTAATCTAACTTATACCACCCGGTAGCGGCAGCTGGCCATGATTCGGGGAAATCCTTAAGAGGATGAAAAATATATAGCCGCTAAAAACCCTGAAGCTACCCGAAATAGAGAGCAGCAAATAATAACGGCAACCCTGGTGTTGACGTCGGCCTTCCCATTCGTATGACACCGACTTGATACTGAATTTACAACATGATGTATCATAAATCTATTTTGAAGCCAATTCTTCATATTCTTATGTTTTAGGTATTGTATATTATAGCCATGTCTATAATATACTTAATTTATATATCATTAATACTAATTATCTAAGTAAAAGTACTTCAATATCGAATACATATGGTCACTGCCAGAATTTGAATTCGATAAGAAGTTAAGAACGCGTTGTTGCGGGAGTCTTAGGCACACCGCCAGTTCTCCACCTAAGCCTTTTTCCTTCGTCGATCGATGTTCCTGTCCTTTCCGCTAATCTAGGGCTTTTGGCTTTTGAGTGCTGGGATCATGCAGAACGACAGCTAGGAAGGGATAGCCTTTCGGTGGGTGGGTCTTGCCCATTATGGGTACCGAACTACTCCGGTATGCTGCTACTTAAGCTTACATGCCATTGGATTCAGACGTGTAACCGACAATTTGGGACATTCTATACTATATAGGGGCTCGGTTTAACAAAAATAGAAATCGCGAAGAGACGAGTCTGCCAATTCCACCACATATATTCGTGGATTCTCCCCCCCAAAAGGTCCACATTCCGCGAGGGCATCAAACCAGCCTGCAGGCAGCCATGTATGGCACCATATCTAGCTACGACTCCCTCTTGTCAACAGAGTTTGAAAGCGATCACATTGCTGTCGCCGATCTCTGAAGGGTCGAAATATCGTCGTCCAGAATAGCTATCATCATGAGTGGTAACGTCAGAAACCCACAACGCAAGGGGTGAAAAGTATTGGACTATCCAGAAGCTGCAGCAACACGTACCTCCAATGGGTTAACCCCATAACAATGTTCTTACATCCTTCCAGAAATGCATTGGACACTTTATTCGGTGTCTGCCGGGACATACACAGCATGTTGTCCTCGACCTCATGAAAGCCACGGGTGGTTTCCTCAACTAAGTGATAGGAGAGTTGCATGGCCTTGTTGCAATCAATGCCTTGATTGAGCATCAGAACTGGGACAAGGTTCTCGGCCTGGTTATCTGCCTATACGGTGTGGATCAGTAGGGGACAGTCGATCTTCGAGGTAAGGATCTCCATACGATTTCCTTTCTAAGCGAGAACATATCGTTGATCCTTCATCACGGAATTAATTTCCATCCACGGAAAAGTCCATCAGATGCGCACTCACATGTGTACCAAATATGATGTGTGTCTCCATAGCAGTCGCATTAGATTGAACGACAACTCTTGCTTGGAGACGTCGATCCCGTAAATGAAACTAAATTAAACATTAGCATACATTCCGACCCGACATGATTCCCGTTGACGCACGGAATTGTCGCGATCACTGGGTATACACCTGCAGTGCGTTCGCGCCGTCTCCAATACTTGATCAACGAGGGAGTCTGGTCCTCAGCGTAAATGGTGTCGACAGTGTCCACACTTGATACATAGAACAGCTTCTTGTCCAAAAGAACTTCTAGTGTTTCTACCATCAATTAGCAGCGTGTATTACAACAGCAGACAAGTGAGTAAATAGAGGAATGAATCAATTGAAGCCAGTTCCTCAGGGATAAGGAATATATGGCAAAGCACCTCGCGAGCAAACCTCCCGCAAGTGGGCCGCAACTTCGTCCCAACACTTCAAGGCATTTTGCAACTCCTGCGAGAAGCACGACAGATCTGGATACTCGCCCTTTCCACAGAGCACTGCCCGAAAATATTGCAGTGACACGTCCCGGTATTTGCTGATACTGCGCTGATCGTCGGTCAAAGATCCGCAATCAAATACTAGACATACCCCTTGTTAGTCGGTTTCTAGTAATAAGGCAACCAGGAGGATTTACGATCGTCCCAAATAAAGTACTGCCTCGCATTAGCTCTCTTTCTCGACCCAGGTATATGCGACAATGTCTCACCCATGCAAAAGCCTTCGCTACAGTGCATAATTTGGTAAAAGGTGCATCTGCACACATGATCGCCGCGAACACTCCGAATTCCGCTTTCTGGAACTTGCGACTTGTGACCGCATTGGGTACCCAGCTGTGTGGTGTGAGATGTTCTGAACGGAATATTGAAAAGTGTAGCCTCACCGTTCAATCCAGGGATTGAGAACTTCGTCGCGGGCTCTAAGATATTCGGGGTGGAGCCGAGGTTTCCAGTGGGCAAAGAGCTGATATAGGTTGGGGAGAGTAGTAGTCTGACCACGGATCGATTGCCAAAAGCCGGCATGTAGTGTCGACTGTAACATAGTGAGATACAGAAATGGAGAGAAGTAAAATCGTATCTTTTCTAATTGGTCTTGCTCGGATTCTGGAGATTCAAGAACCTTTGTCGAGCTTATATATCCTCACTGAGAACCGTAGATGGGCAAGAGCATATCGGCTTGGCAAATCAAATTCGCGTCGAGGAATATGCAATGAGCTCCACTATGTATGGGAAAGTTTAAGAACAGCCCACTACTAAGCGAATCGTAACCAGATACTTGGGTTCCAATTGTGACCAAGCGATAATGCCGCAAGTAGTATTCCTTCGCAGCAGCGAGGATGAAGGGACCTCCATACGCATACAAAAAGACTCAGTAAACCAGGGGAAAAGTTAAAACGGTTCGGCGGTCAAGTTGCGGTCAAGCTGCTAGGCTAAGGAATGGTGTTATAATCCAGTCAAGCGGCTCTATAAATGGTAGGATTTCGGTGGACTTTAACAGCACCAGAACTACCAAGAAACATTATCCTTTGCTCGTTATATTTCTATTATGTCCTACCCTGTTCTTGTTCAGCGAGCCCGGGATCTGGTTCACAGGATCTCCAAAGAGGTACATTCCGAGTATGGCTTAAGTTCCATGGCTCCGTCGATATACGATACTGCCTGGCTTGCCTTGGTCCCTGACAAGACGGCAGAGCAAAGCCGCTGGCTGTTTCCAGAAAGTTTCGCTTATCTTCTTGAAACCCAAAACCCAAACGGCGGCTGGGATCCGCTAGAACAATCTAGCAGAGCGGTTAAATACCCCGACTCTCTCTGGTTGCCCGACTGCATCATCCACTCCCTCGCAGCACTACTAGCTCTATGCCGGCACTTTCGTCTTGCCGGATGTCAGGGATCAAACCTCCCAGAAGATGCTCTTGCGAGGATCTTCCACGCAAAGAGATTTCTAGACGAGAAGCTTGCCGCCTGGACTCTAGAAGGGACAACTCATTTTGGATTTGAACTGCTGATTCCCGTCCTACTGCAACTCTTATCGGATGAAGGCCTCTCGTTCGATTTCCCCGTCAAGGAAGAGTTACTCGTCCGATATGAGAAAGCCTCAATCATTGACCTCAATTGGTTGTATGATGGTCCCTGTCAAGTTCCACTCCTTTCACTCGAGGCCTTCATTGGCAAGTTAGATTTTAGCAAGCTTGAGCACTTGGTCAGTGATGGCGGGATTCTCGCCTCTCCAGCCTCCACGGCAGCATACCTGATCTACGCTCCAAAGTGGAGTGAAAAATGCGAGACCTTCCTTCGCCACGTCGTAACAAACGGGCAAGGGCAAGGCAATGGTGCAGTAGGAGGCGTTTTTCCTTTGGAACTTTTTGAACCAAGCTGGGTATGTACCCCACCCCAACTACAACTCTCAATGAACTAGACAGTGCAAGTGCGTTTACCAGATACTCAGGTCCTGACTGCACTCCTCGAAAACGGATTCACAACCGACAACCTGGGTGTGGACCAAGTAGACTCTATCATTCGGGTAATTCATGGAAGCCTCAATGAGGGCGTCACCGGTGCCAGTAAGTCCTATCTTACTCACTTATTACTCTTTAACAACCCCACCCACAAGATTCAAAATCATTATTGTCTAGCCCGTGTCTGGCTCCCCGATGCCGATGATACCTCCCGAGCCCTCTTAACACTGAACCTCCAGGGCTACCAAATCAGCCCGAAAGGCCTCGTCGACAAATTCGAAGTGGGCCACTGCTTTGAAACCTTCGACAACAGAATGCCGAACCGCGTGAACAGCGTCAGTGTCAACGCCAACGTCCTATCCTCTCTCCTCCATAGCCCAGACCCCAGTGCCTTCACTGCACAGATAGAGAAAGTGGCCCGGTTTATCTGCAGTCGGTGGAAAGCAACTGGGAAGTTCGAGGATCATTGGGTATGGATAACCTGTTCAGTCCAACCTCCCCCCCCCCCCTCCATCCTACTGGTTACAGATAAGTAATGAGAGGATCTATAGAACATATCCGAGTACTACGGGATCATGCACATGGCCCAATCCCTTACCCTCCTATTAGTAAAACAAGCACAAGGCGCCTTGCCCTCTATATCCGTCATCTCCTACAACCTCATCCATGACACAGTCCCGTCCTGCCTTCGTGAGGCGCTGGATTACATTCTGAAGAACCAGCACGGCGATGGTTCGTGGGGGGAGCTGCATTGCAACGAAGAAACAGCCTATGCAGTCGTTTCTCTAGCCCATCTGGGGTCCCATTTAGCTGTTGTGGGGGAGAATGACTGGAAGACCGATCTGGCGATTGCTCGGGGCAAGCAATTTTTGTTGGAGCATTGGAAGCACGGGAGTAATAATCCGGACCGTGTGTGGACAGGAAAGATTCTTCATGGAATTGCTTATGTCGGGGAGGCATATATTCTTGCCGCGTTGAAGGTGAATAGAGTTAATTTGGCGGGATTTAGGGGAATCCACCCTAACTAGTATCTGTTACAATCGGGGACTTGGCTTGGGGGTGGGGGAATAATTATGCTCATGCGGAATAAAGAACTCTCAATAGATAGACTGATACAGAGGTACAGTTCATGATTCATGCATTGGTCCATTGACAGGGAACTAGACTCAACGCACGCATCGACTGTTGGAGACTTCGAATGAAAGAGTGTGGGATCTAATCACCCTACAGAGCCCCCTATACATCACCGCCCCTTAATTGAATGCTCTAGGCGACAAAATGCCTACTCGAACTGATCAGCTTCCTCGGGCTCTAAAACGCCAATCTCTTCTTCCTCGCTGTCATAGTATTCCTCCTCCTCTTTCCTCCCACCTGTGTATCCAGATGAGTGGAAAATAGGCTCGGTATTCTGTACTTGTGCGGTTGCAAAGAATGGGTGATCAACAGAAAGTGTCCTATTTTGACACAAATATCCCATAGGCGTATGTGAAATATCCTGGTTCCGACGACGCAGAACTAACCATTCCTCCAAAAAGCTCATTCGTGCCGTCTGGCGTGTGGTAAGGGGCCCGTTGGAGTTCTGCTTTTCCGGTCCTGGCTGCATCTGTTGTAGTAGACAAGCGTAGTCTGTGTATGCAAAGTACAGCCTCCCTGCAAAGATACCGACCTCAACAGAAAGCCAGAAGGGAATAGCAAATTGTGCAGGGAAAGATGGGATAGCATAATAATCTAGGTGGCTAAAGTGGAGCATCCGCTTCGTTACTGGCGCTGAGTATGTAATGAGATGCATCGATGGCGCCGGAGTCGTGCGAAGGATAGGAATCAATTCCTCCGCCTCTTCTGGAGTGACTATAATGACGGCCTCGGTTGCAATGTTGCATAATATCCAGGTAACAGGGCGCTATTCAAGATAATCAGTCAGCATGCACAGATTGTGGGCGGAGACTCCTTTACCATAAACTCATCCCGCCTCTCGCCGGGTCTCAGCTTGACCGTCTTTGTGAACTCAGAAGAAACGCATAAGCGAGGAAGGAGAGCAGTCACTTCACTGCTGTATTTCAATCCCAAGCTTGTTGTGAAGAGTACATCGGCAGCTGAGATAAAGCTAGAGCGTTTCAGAATCCCGGTTTTTGCAAAACGGGAGAGAGATGGATGCAACCCGGGAAACCGGTGGGCCTCCAGCCGCTGTGGTCGTTGAATCTCCCGTTCCTCTTCGATCTCGTAGGCAACCTCCCGCTCCTGCTCGACCTCCTCTAGCGCTGAGCTAACGATTGAATTTTGGAAAACCTTTGATTGCTCGTGCTGTTGGCAGAGAACCTGCATAAACTCGGCAACCCTGCCACTGAACGAGAAAGAACTGGCTCCCGTCGTAGGCTTTTTGAGGTCGATGTCTAGTATTTGTGGCTTGTATAGTTGTTCCAGCGTTTGCTGTTCCGGCTGCTGTAGAACACCAACATAAGCCTCTCGATGAAGGGGATCGCTGAGGAACTTGGGGTATTTCGCTGCCGCTTGAATACGACGACAGAATTCAGCACCCTGAGCATAGAAAAGGGGTTGTAGCTCTCTGTTGTTAGCGCAGGTCTGGAAAAGTAGCCAGTAAACAACATGCGATGAATCGATTGTCTCGCCCCTCCCCTTCTCGCAGACGTCTAAAATGTTTTGATGAACCTCTGGTGGCGCGATAAAGAGGACAGATTGTGTTTGACCCAACTGGCGGAGTCTCATGGCCGCTAAGTAACGAATATTAGATTAAATACAAAGTTAAGGTTTGATCAGGAATAAACAAAGGCAAAAGAAAAATGAGGGGACTCATAAGGAGGCTCTTACCCTGTACGGTATGGTCCTTGGTCTGGTTCAGCCCTAATGTCAAGGCACCCCTCGCATCGGCGGGAAATTTTAGGTCAGTGCCTCTTGTATGGGACTCGTCAAGATAGACCAGGCAGTCCTTTAAATTGTCAGCGAAGGGAGTAGCAAATAGGGGCACCGTTTTCCCTGTTCTATATTGAACCCAAGCTTGATTGTCGCGTCCAAAATAGACCGCTGCCTGGGCCTCGGTATCCTGATCTAGCCAGGTTCTGATAAGGGTCCGGTTGTCCATCTCCAGGATATAAGCACCTGCATCGATAAGTATTCGGATCCTGCTCCTCGTCAGATTCATCAGAAGTTCGGCCTCAGTAAAGCGTCTCCCATCGACTGCTGCATGTCTATATCCCCGATTTCTTTTATGTAGTAGATACGTGAGTACCTCAGCATTGGTGTGTAACAGCTCTGGTAAATCACGCTGCTGAATTGTCAATGGGAGAAGCCTTCGGTTATCGTTTGTTCCGCTGAATCCAGTTGTCAATCCAGAACGTGTCATTTGCCGTTCCTGACACAATGAGGATGAATTGCTGAAAAAGGGCACGTCCCATCCAGAACTTTGTAGCTTAATAGAGAACTGTTTGGCATGGGTGGGAAAAACCAATGTTTTCAGGAAATAGTTAATAGCTGTTATCGAGAAGCGTAGATGATACCAAATCTCCGCAATCTGGCCGTGATCATCAATATTGATTAAATTCCAGTGTCGTAAGGTTTCCGGGAGGGTTATCCCTGATCCTTGCGTCAAACGGTCATACGCTGTGGCAGGATCATCTGATTTGAGAATAGCTTGGAGGGACCGTCGGCATTGCTCCTGCGTTAAGCCCTCGTAATAGAAGGCAAGGCAAGTAAACAAGATAGCAACGTCTGGATGACCCCATTCTGCATGGTCGGAGGGAACACCCTTTGCGTGGAAAGGGACGGCCATAGGGTCTCGGCTTGGATGAAGGCCATACTGAACATTCCATCTTTTCTTAAGGCAAAGCAGCAAGATACGATGCACCAAAATTCCACGAAGCAGGTAAATTCTCTTGCGGACTTTGGGCATATCCTGGAATAGGCCATTGACACATTTGACGATTGCTCTATCAACATTTGGTCGGTAGATAAATTGTCGAATTGCCTCTAATTCGAAAGCCTTGCAGTCTCGAATTGGAAGAATAGTGCTTTGACCAGAACAGACATCTTGAACAACTCGCTCGATAAGAGCTGTCTCCGCATCCTCCCTTAGAAGATGTGCAATTGGAAAGGTAGAGGCCGCTCTTTCAATTATATCAATACTATACGGGAGCTCTCGCGCTAAATCGGAGAGATGCTGGGCTACCAGCTCCAGTACAGCCATGATAACTTCCCAGCGGTCAGGGTGTCCATCGACAGCAAGCTGCGAGCCACCAGGATAGATAAGCTGTGTTTTTACAGCCAATGTAAAGTCACATTCGTCGAGAATATCGTGGGCAACACGGTCAATCCAATCCTGAGTTTCCACCATCTCAACGGCCTGAGGAATCTTCAAATCTGAAAGAAGCTGCCGTCCACTTAACTTGAATGATAGGGCATGTTCAGGATTGCCTAGAACGATGCCCGATTCACGAAGTATGTTCTCTTGCAGGGCGCGATATTCCCCAATTACGTTTGAAGTTATTGGAGTACGTCGTGAGAATGGAATATAGATAAGACTTCTACCAACAAGTCCCCCCAGACGTGCGTGTAGGATCTGCGCAGTTTGAGTTGTGAGTGCCTTTGGTACTAGAAGTCGGGTAAGAATGTGACCATCAGCCAAGGCTGCTGCGACCATTGGCATGATTACGGATGTTTTCCCTTGTCCCATATTCATCTGCAAAACAGTATTGGAACCTGAGGCAGGAGACACCATCTCGAGGGCTACAGTCACTTGCTCTTGGCGTATCTGCATGTTGGAATCGATTTCAAGAAGGAGCCAATCGGGAAATGCTACGTAATCCCATATAGAATGGGATGATTGGCAGCGTTCCTGATCCAGTCTGCTCTTATCACGTTTAGCAAAAAGCTCTTTTATGCGCATGAGCCGCTGCAATCTGACAATTGCAACTGCATATGATAGTAGAGCTTCCTTCATGTTCGGTCCAAATTTTGCACCAGAGGTTGATCTAAGCTGCTGCAGAATGGTCACTGGAGTGACACATGGCCACAGATTTCCACTTTGCAACCAAAAGAACGCCGGGTCCCCATCGGTAAATGTGTCGCAGATCTGGTGGTGGTACCGGTCCACAATCGCCCGCGCTTTCCTGATATCGGCATCACATCTTGCCATTCCCTCATGATAGGGTATTTCTGGTTGATATGATGTCTCTGAGCCCGGACGCTTGTTCTTTAGGGCAGTAATGCTCAGCTGCAGGTCCTGACCATAATTAGATCTGACTGTACAGTCCGAGTAGGCAATCCTGTGCACTATCCCCTCAAGCTCATTGATCTCTCGGGCCCGTCCCGCTGTCCACTTCGATAGAAGTGTCCGACCGAATGCATTTAGTTGATAGCCAGCTGAATGCAAAACTCCCTGTTCGTCGTGCTTGGATGAAAAGTTCGAAATCGATTCTAATTTTAGACCAGATTTGCTGATGAGATCTTGTCCGAGCGTCAGGACGACATTCCGGGAGCTCAGGCATTGAGGTCTCATCACTGTAGGCTGTGATGTAGCTGGAGGATCTCCAATATTGTTTTCCTTTGCGCTGTGGGCATTTAGGACTTTTTGAACATCGTTGATATGGGCCGCGAGTCGCATGTTCTTGTACCGCCGGAACCAGTCCTGACTGACTGCCTCTAGAGCCCCAACGACGTTAAGCAATGATGCGGAGAATTTACCTTTCGAGGGCTCAGCACAAGGCCACTGTTGGAGGATAAATGAAACGAAGTCATTACTTTCGTGCGCGCATTTTTTCTCGTGGTTCTCCTTCGCCAGTTGGATCCGCGCAGCTTCCGCAGCCTTCTTAGCTTGTTTAGCCTTCTTCTTTTGGGGAGTCGGGTCCTTATATCTTGCGCCAAAGGGCTGTACCAGTGCCAGTACTGAATCAAAGTCGGGGCACTCCTGGTCGCGGAAATTCTCAAACGACGAATACAAGGGCAACGATAATTGCTTGAGGTCATCCAGTATGGAAAACGCGGCTAAGACCCGAATCATACCTAAGTCGATACCGTCACCGTAAGCCATCAATCCAAGGCAAAACATCAGAGAATGGGAAGTTTGCATGCCAGACTCAACACAACGGCGGATCAGTTTACCCCATTCAGCTGCAAGATCAACAAATAGAGTCCCCTCAAGACTATATGAAGCGAAAGCTTCCGTATAGCCACCTATATAGGACCACTTGCTCAAATTGCTAGAAAGTTTGTGTGTTGTGTAGATTTTTGATGGCCGCTCTCTGAGTAGGGTGACGATTTCCCGAACGCGCGAAGCTTTCTTGGATGAACAATATCTGAAACGAGATGTATAGATTACATCAGGCAATTCCATCGTATTTTCGCATGATGCGTCTGTACGCTCATATAGACACCGGCGCCAGCAGGCCCTTTCTTGAAGGTGCACTTTGCTCTTTGGTGTATCCATCAAGGGAGGCGTTGCTTGGACTTGGAACAGCGAAAGCCTCTGGGACTTATCGAGAATCGACTGTATAACCGGTTGATATGCCTCGTGCTGAATGGACACCGTAAGATTTGGATCCCACTTGACCAGCTGTTGTCGCTTGACGCCCCGGGGATAATATTCACGATGTGGGCTAAGACACGAGATATTTTGCAGAAGATCGATACTACCCTGGCTGAGAGGCGTCCACGGCTGAGAAGAGCCCGACCTTAAGTAAGATAGCGCTTCCTCCGTCCCTGTCCGTCCAGTTAAGGAATCAGGGATCATAAACGATGTGAATGCGTGGAGCTGAGCCAGTGTATACAGCAGCAATGGCTCTACCGGTCCATGTAATCTGCCAAGGACATCATCGATCATATACCTTCCATAGTCTCCGTTGTTCCCTTTACGTACTAACACATGCATCCCATGACGTTCATACTCGAGCTTCCCAAGAGGCGTAATGATACTACGCTGCGAACGATTGTAGGCATTTCGGAGCACGAGCATACTTTGGAGGCCGTACAGAGTGCCGGCGTCCTGGTTTGGATCCACTTCAGCCGCCAGCTGCTTGCATTGTAAAAGCTGCCGTTTGTTTACATGAAACCCGAGGTTCATGCGTTTCAACTCAACAGAAAGATTGTTTATAGCTGGTTGGTATATTGTCAGCATTGAGGGATGTTCAAAATGATGGAAGATTTCCGCGATTGAGATAGCTAGCTGGGAATAGGGATCAACCAGCAAAGACCTCCCTCGTTGTGCTTGCCGTGTTCGGATATTAATCTTCCAATTACCAGGTCTTTCTCTCCATATCAGAGGCATACGTCTAGCCTCGAGGATACCTGAGTTTAGATCGACCCAGTGTACGCAGTCGAAGATTAAAGGAACAGGCAAATCAAGTTTCCCATTTCTCTCAAACACTGAACGCGGAATGAGTTCAAAGATTCTGCCATTCTTCCAGGCCCGAATTACTAGGTTCTTATTTCGATATCCTAAGTGAATCTGATGGCCTTCCCTATCAAGTGCTAGGGTATAATTCATTCCAGGCATATTCGAAGGAAAAGCAATCAGACGTTGGTTTCCAAAAAGCTCTTTGAGAGTCTCTGAGTCGCGAATGTCGGCAGGCAGCTTCCCGAGAGCTTTACCATCTACCAAAAGATGTCCCTCCAATAGGTGGAAATGGAAGACTTGCGGTAGGGTTTGTTCGGTACCCTTTGCTTTGGCGGTGACCCAACCTTCATATGGATGCTGCAAATGCTCCCAGGTAGTGTACACTCTACCGGAGCTACTTGGCCATACCTTGTCCAGAACGCAATTGATACTACTGGGGTGTATCCTAATCGTGTTTTGGATGATTTGACGAAGTTGAGCAGACATCCTTATGTCACGGACTAACATGCTGCGCGTCAAATTACTAAACTTGGTTATGTCCATCACTAGGCTCTCCTGGAGGGCAAGAGTTGCTTCAATAAAACACTGAGCATTGTCCATATCCAGAGAAACATGGGTATCGCTGTGGACGGAGAAGGTACGCCGACAAAGTAGTGCAGCTAGGAAGCAATACCGAGCTGCTCTTTCTGCAACATCCACCTCTGAGGCGTTTCGAGTCTCATTACGCAAATGATTGATCCATTGGAGTGTAATATTGCGGATTCGGTAGAGCAAATTCTTAGCTTCTGCGGATGTTTCATGACATCCAAGGTTACAGAGCTGAATAGTCAAGGTGAGCATTGTTTCCATATAGGTAGTCTCGCGCCAATTGGGTGCGATAATCGAGAGATGCTGATGAATCTGGTCGACTAATTTCTTACAGAATTCAGCTTCCCTAAACACTGAATGTGAGATTCGCAGCGTATCGCTTGGTGCCCTAGGGCCAGCCTGCAATGCCAGATGACGCAATAAAATCATTGTCTCTACTGAGCTAAGGTTGAGATTCGATGACCCAAGCTCAATAAGGATTGAAACCCATCGACTGTGCTTTCCAGCCATCAAGGCTTGGTGTGCCATGAATTCATGAGCAGTTATAGTGGGAGGGCGCTCTCGGACTTTCGAAATTGCTTCATATGAGGAGGGACCCGGACCATCAGGGGCAAAGCTGGACGATGAGTAGAGACCAGCGAGTGGATGGTTTGGGGGAAGAGAAAGAGAAAAATGGTGAGCAAGCGTGAGCGGGGCTCTATCCTTGCCCCATAATCGCCTTTCTGCATCATAATACCGGAATGAGAGCCCCTGTGGAAGCAGAACATTCTTTTTGGCCGCTGGCAATTTCCTCCACTTGTAATGTGTACCTAGGTAGGTCTTTGTGTAGGAGGCTAAAGAAAACCGGCCTTGACATTGAATGGTTCTCTTATAGTTGACAAGCTGCTTGTACTCTTCAAGTAAAACGCGGGGCTCTTCCGTTGTTGGTAAATCTACCTGAGGACCAAGTCGATTTATGATGCTCCACGTAGTGCTGCGGTACACAGCAAAGGCCTCGGGAATTGCTAGTTCAAACACGATCGCCCTTGTTTCGGCTATTCTGTTGCCTGTGGGCAGATAGTCCTCGTGAACACTGATTTGAAGCCGTCGACGACAACGAATATGGTAGCAGTGATTGCATCCACGAATATCATGAGTTCCATCAGGATTTCTCCGTTGGGTGCATGAGGTCCGCGCGATCTTTTCAGATAAGCTTTGAAATTCACCGTTTACTTCCGCCAACTCTGCTTCCTTTCTGCATCGAGAAGCCACTGACGCGGCTTCGATTTGGTCTTGCAGGTGGACTAAGCCCTCTCCCATGGAAGACCTCAGATATCGATCCGCGAAACATTCTGGAGATGGATCTGCGAATATGGTCATTTCCTTTTCCGAAGCCCCAGTGCAACGCTTATGAATATAGTTTTGGATTTCCTGTAAACGCTCTAGGTCGGTGAGTCTAGATAAGTATAACACGTCCAGCAGCTCCGGGTGAAAGCCTGGGTGATATTGCTCGAGTAGTGGATATGCAACCAGAGCACATTTGTCCATGTATACCCACAACTCAAATATGTTCATGATGAATTCACTCAGTTGCTCCTGATCTTCATTGTAAGCATTTCCCACAACATTGATGTATTGGTTTATCCGTTGAGCAACGTCAATGCAAAGCTTCTGGCTCTTGAGGTTGGAAGTGGGAATTTCCCGTGGGCCAGACCGCAATCTCAGCTCGAGATTTACAAGAGAGGAGTATTGTATTGACAAAGAAGCAAATTGCTCTGTAGTATTTCCTCGGGTCCTTTCAGCTAGAACCGCCGAATCTATGTCCTGGCTTCTGTGGGTGTCGCTCCGAGGAGCTTGTAGGGCATTTTGAAGGTATGGCATGCTGGCTGGCAAACTCAAGGATATGTCTCTCGGTTGGGCGTATAGTGGTAGCAGTGGTATCTTTCGCTGAACGGCTCTCTTGAATGCCTCCCATTCCTTCTTTATTACAGTATCGGCTGTCACAACGTACTGTTGAAAAAGGGGCTCCAAGTTGTGGGCTAGACGAAGGTATGCTATGTGCACTGCTGAGGGTGACCGTGCCTTCGCCATTTCTAGTTTGACCAGACGACGGCAGAGTTTGGCTTTAAGCCAGCCCCAATTCTCCATAGACACAGTCCTCGTATTGGTAACATCGTTCAAGAGATGAGCCAGCACAACACACAGCAGGAACTTGTAGTACAGGCGTCCCAATTCATCTCCCAGTCGTAGGTATAGCAATCGTTGGACGCAGACCCGGAGCACCAACCAAAACGGACTGCGTCGCCATGGGAGCTCGGCATTATCCCAACAAACATCATCCTTTACGCGCTTGGATAATAATGGTGGGCATATGCGACAACCATTCACCCCGAGAAGCGTTATCAGGAACTCGTAGATTAATGCCGGGTCGACGACATCTCGACTCTCGGCCAGCTTCACCCCCGCTTTCCGTGACTTCGCTGCAAACTCATCTATCTGTTCCGTGCTGGCCATTTCCAGGAACGTCGCCAGACTCTCTTGGAGGTCCGGGCTCCCAAACTCTTCACCAGAAAGAGATATTGCCGTTCCTGGGAAATGCCATTGCAGCGCGCCAGAGGCAGCAAGCGTTTGCTCCGCACTAGGCGAAGCCTCGAAGCCTTCGATGATCACATCATCACTGCCCCTATTGAAAAATGGGTTAACAGGGAGTATCTTTATGTACGGACTAGGAATGTCTCACTGGGCCTTTCGGAAGAGAAGTGCCGCATTCTGCTCTGCGATATACACGATCACAGGGCTTTCTGGATGCAGTTTATCGAAGGCGTCTAGCAACGCGACTTTATTCACCATGCCATTCTCGTTCACTACACGACAAGTATCTAAAGCTACCTCGATACACTGCCATACCGCCTTCATATCGTCATAGGCCATGCGATGGAGAGTCTGGACCGCATGGCGCAGGCGAGTGATGAGGTCGAGATCAACTTTTTCCGGTTGGTTGTCTCGTTTCCCAGGGAGCTTGGGAGGAAATGCGATGTGATTGAAGGTATCGACTACAATGTTAGGGTTGGACATCGCAATGGGAAGTGGGGTATGACACTATGTTGTGATCGAAGGTCATGCGCGTTAAGACTTGGGAGAGAACGGCCAGCAGGGGGGCTGAGAGAATATTTAGCATATAGTCTAACTGTGCCACTGACTTGTCGCCTGGTATCTTCGTCGAGGCTAATGCGATTGCGATTCATGGCCATCCGGCGGCACAGCATTTTACTGGTTGTGATTGGCAACGCGCCTTGTTGATGAGCTACTACGGATTATCACGCTTAAGCGCTAGCTGGGGGGTGTAGGTCAGATGATAGTGCGTTATTAGCCTGTCGTTCGTTAAAATAATTCAGATATCGCTGTCGTACCATGAATGGTTGATTGTCGTGGAGCCTTCCTGTTGGTGATTCGAAAGGGAGAAAGGCTGAGGGGTTTCATGCGCCGGGATTTGGTTCAGCGATATAGATCCAATGAGGCGCCCGTTTAGGACGCGAGGCTGCGTAGCTCCCATGCCGACCAACAAATCTCTCAGAGCAATCATATATCGCGTTGTTGTAGGTGTTTAGTTTCTTTTTTTTTTTTTTCTTTTTTTCAGATAGAAGGAGAAGGTGCGTAGCAGGCTTCGTCCCTTGCTCAGATATGGACTGAAGAATCCTGGGGCGGTAGAAAAAAGTGTAGGGAGATAAATAAAACAAGTACGCTGTAACACATATTCGTACTATTCACCGTATATTGAGGGTGCTGATTAAATATAGAGCTTATAACTAAATTAAGGATCGTAGTATAACATAGTAGAATGGGTAATGGTGCATGGAGGGGATCATGGTGTCTAAAAATCATGGGAATCTTTTCCATACGTTTTCATAGTACATAAGCTATACCACAACAGGCAAGTGGATGGTAATTCCACAACCATTAGTAGGTAAGCGGCAGGCGGTAGTAGGCGGCAGGCTGACGGTTCAACGGGACATCAATAGGTCTTTCATTGTCATCGCCCTTGGAAGTAAAATCGTTCTGTTTACTGAAGCGCCAGAGCGATATCAAGTGTGGACATGCCAGTCAGTCACCTTCTCCCTTGGAGTTTTAAAAGATGTAGGTATGTCTTATCTCTGTGTTTGAAGGTGAAAGTGCAACAAGAGAATGAACCTTTTTCAATATATATTCCATAAGAATTGCGAGAATAATGTGATTGGCATCAATTTTGGGTTTACAATGTGATTTGGGCTTACACTATAAGGCATTACTATATGTACCCTGCTACTAGTTGCAATACCTTTTTTTGGTATTTATATATTTTATTTATTTTTATTGTTTTTTTTTTAGAAAAAAAAAAGAATGATCATTATTGATGGAATGATCCCTGAGACCTTGCGGCTCGACTTAAAAGGCACCTAATCCCAGGTATGAACCGCGGAGAAAATACAATATTATCGATATGAAGCGAACTTACGCTTGTCCGACGCGCATAGAGACTCTAATTCCAGTAAACGTGCTGGGAATACACAGTAGATGTCAATCATTGGAGGTGGAACCCCGTAAAGTAATTCTTTCGCTACGACACCACACTCGTCGCAGCACTGAGTCATGGAGATCGACATGGCGTGCGGCTGAGATGAAAACCACAGCTGAAGGTGGATCCTCTTGTACACACCGTTTCTTGCCATAAGCTGCTAGAGAGAAATCGATCGGCTAGGAGAATGGGTCCTAAGTCTAACATGTCATGGGGGGGAAGCTGAACGATGCTCACTTATTCTATCGACACATATATAAAGGTATTCTGCTTTTCTTCTTTTACACAGACTTCTCTGATCATCTTTCTGCGGCAGCTTCAATATTCAGGGGTGAACCAGATATCAAAATGCCCGTGAGTATAAGTGCAAGATCCACAAATGATTAATGTTATGAATATCTGGCTAACTACCAAATCGCCTAGACTTAAATCGTGTGTTTTCCATCCCATCTTATCGATTCCCATAACATAAAAAATAATCGTGTGACTGACAATCTTTTTTCCATCAGATGGTTATCATCCAGACCATCGAACCTGGTCCTGCGAGCCTGGAGATCAGTGAGTATCATCATTCCGCAGATCAAGGATATTTAGAAAGGAATTTGTGTTAATCAGACTCTGAATGATTAGTGACGGTTTTTTGATCAACTTTATCGGAGAAGCATAGTCGGCCATTGACGCTACTTTGAAAGAAGGCGAAATTCTCCCTAGTCCATCCAATTTCCCTCCCGTATATTTCGTGCGGTATGTTCCCGATTTCTTAATTGATCATAAGGAACATGAGAATGATCGATCATCTCACGTGATTGCATTTGTTTAGTGCAGAGACGCCCGAAATTGAAGAGGACCAATTCAGGAATGCACTGGAGGAGGTTTGGCCTAATATGGAAACCCCAGACGATGATCCTATATTCCCCTGACCAATATTGACGTCGAAGTAACGGATGAATGATCAATAATATCACATAATAAGACTGGGGTAACTTCTTATATTGATCAGATAGATCTCGATCCTACGTATATAAATGAAGCTCTGAGCCTCTAAGCAGGGCACGATATAGAAGAACAGATCCTAGAGTCTCATGGAGAGAAACATAGAAGATCGGAAACAAGGTTGGTAGTCTCAATGAAATAGCACAGTGAGATATAAAGGGTTTGAAAAGGACCATATCTGTCATCAGGACTCAAACCCACGGTAGATTATCATTTGGCAAAGTTTGAGTATAGTATATCATAGCTAATCGATTACTGCTGTTAGAGTGCTATATAAATTTACCTCTAAGCTAGATACTGATCGAGGGCCTGTAGTATGAAATAATAAAATATATTGAATAAGATTGAACAATGATTTCCGTTTGCGAATATGGTAAGATTAATGTGCGTGCGGGTCTTTGAGTGCCATCAATGTTGTTGCGTGTTCAGACCCTAGTATATCAGCAAGAATACATCAACATCAACCCATACTATTACAGGCAGTCAGGCAGGCCCTTTTACATTTTTATATCTGACTATGCAACGCTAGCCTGTCTCTGACGAACAGAATAATTATATGTGGCAAAACCTTCAGCTTTCTTATAAGCATGGGAGAAATACGGAAAGTACACATCGATTGTTGTATGGAACTGATAGGATCATATTCATATCATTCGCCTAAGCCAGGACGATACAAGCTCTCTACCCCTTTGCAGCCAATCCTTTCATCTACAGGATCTAAATATCATATCTTGGATGTCTGTTTTCGCTGCTGCGATGTACGAGCCAACCTTTGATGGCTCTGCGAGAAAGTATGGTTGGAAACAGCACTGCAAGTGCTGACATCTAGGGCCAACGCAAAAGATGCAATCAATCCTGCAAAGCGCCCCTTCATGCCTGGCCTTGCGCAACCCATAATCTGGAGACACTCATTCTGCGTCTCATAAACCGTTCCACCACCAATCACACCAACAGGTAAAGATGGCAAGTACAACGAGATCTTCAAATCCTTTGTTTCAAAGTCATACTCCGGAACGAGATGACTCCAACACGCTTCCGCAACGCAAGCAGCATCTTGTCCCGTCGCGATGAAGATAGCCGCAACGATATTCGACGTATTGATATTACAGCCAAATTGCCCGTTGCGGATCCCGCCTTCTTTACCTGTTATAAGGGTATTATAGAGATTGTATGACGATGTGCCGAGGATTTTCTCGCAGGCGGAATTCGTAAGCGTTCCCCAGGCCATGACCTCTACACCCCTAGTCATCCGGACATTACCCCACGACGGCTTTTTGTCCGATGAGATGTTCCCATCAATTTGGAAACCGATGATTTCATACTCCGACCCCTGTGGTGAAGTGGCTAGCATTTGGCAGGCCTTCTGCGTCGCGATCGTAACCATGTTCTGGCCGGACGCGTCGCCGCAATAGTAACTGATGTACAGATGTACGCTGGACCCTATGATGTGCGGAACAATGTGTTGAAGGCGGAGGTGCCGGCTGGTCGATTCAGCGATGGCGGTGAATTGGCTCTGTAGCTCGGGGACGCTTTTGGCAAAGTTGATAGCGTGTCGTGGCGTTGGGAACTTGAACACAGGCGCGCGAGACATGCCTTCCCCGAGGATATCGAATTGCAGACCGCCACAGGCGTTGAAGACCTTGCAACCTCGGGCACAGCTGGCGACGAGAGCGGCCTCGGTGGTGGCGAGGGTTGCGTAGACTTGCTCATTTGTGGCATTGGGACCGTCGACCAGTAATGGCCCTGCAATTCCGACTGGAACTTTGACGAATCCAATACAGTTTTCGACTTTGATCTTGGAGGTTTCTTCAGGGGTGTGGATGATGTGTTTCTTATCTTGGAGGAGATGCTGGAATGGTTTGGTGGCCATGGTTGCCTTTAGCACGGTATAGGCGGTATATTATCTTTGAATGTGTGTATGGAATGTGATTGATAAGATCTTAATAAAAGAAGTTTTAATTGGAATGGGGTAGACAGACTCAGTACAGAAGGCGAATTAGGTATGAAATATAACCACTAGATGCGCAAGGTATATATTTGGCGGACGCCCACTATTAAATAACATTTTCGGTGCCATTCCCGGGGCGCCGCGAAGGCTTCGCCGCAACCATAGCAATTCCAACCTAATAGTGGGGCATGAATTCTCTTGAATCAGGAAACTCTCCTCCGGAAGCACTTACCAGTCAGCAGTTATTCTGTAATGTTGTAATTGTGGCTGCATGACACACCGGGGATATCCCGCGGTGTACACAAAAGTATGTAGTCCGAGATCTCGCGCTTTGACATCAGGATCTGCATTCGGAGTTGGACCATCGAGCTCCTCCGTACTACATAGTCACTCACTAGTAACACGTTTTATCGCCATGCATGGAAGACTTTTAGGCTTATCGCGTGGCTGATCTTGGGCCTCGTGGGATTAGGGTAATCTGGAAGGATCTCACTAGGGTAAGGATCGACGATCTATTGATTAATTACTGACGAAGTGGCGAGTTAGAATCTCCGTGAAGGACGGGCAAAGTCAATCTGGACGATTTAACTCAGGTCCAACTACTGCCCCGAGCCCGAATGTCGGACTGCCGTAAATAGTGGTCCGAGATGAGCACGTTCCCCTCGGACGGCATCTTCATTCATTATGGCGAGGAATGGTTGGATTTATTGTTACAGTATACCTTGTACGGTGCACATCACTTATCCTTCTTGCAGATGCGCATCGCACATTCTCTAAGGGAATGGTTCGACTTTCGGCTGTATCCGTATCGGTATATGTATAGGTATAGGTATAGGTATAGGTATAGGTATAGGTAATACCTGTGATTGGCATTTTTACATCGCGTTGAGCCCCACACACGAGCTCCGCGTAATGAGTATACGTTAGACGAAGTAAATTAGTCCGTTCTATACCTCACATTGTGCCACCATTTCCCCGCCTCGAGAGACTCAAAGTCGGATACGATCATCTGTCTTAAAGCTCGGAATGATGTCCTTCCTGTAATCCATTCGGAGCACGGGGCACACAATACTTCGGACTGCCCCCTTCTAGACATGGCCGATAGAATATCACCCACGCGCCGACGCCAACAGGTGAGTCGTCATGGGTGGCAAAGGCGCCCAACGGTAGAGGGGGGGCCTGGATACTTATAGTTGATATTTATTCGTGCTTTTCTTTCTTCCGTCCGATTAGAACTGAAATATCTAGAGACTCTTGTCCAAATCATACCTCACTTACCTATTTCTCTCAATTCTACGATCATCATGTCGCCACATAGTACAGATGGATGCTCATCAACCAATGGGGGAAGCAAGACCAAAGCTGTGAACGGTATGCTGGACATGCCGAACGAAGATATCGCGCCTGTAAATGGCAAGCAACAGTCACACCCGGTGCCCATCGCCATTTGTGGCATGGGAATGAGGCTCCCCGGTGGTATCAACAACGCGTCAAAATTATATGATTTTTTGAGAACAAAGAAAGATGCCCGACAGCCGATCCCCAAGGATCGATTCGGCAATGATGGCTTCTACGATCCTCACAGGCGTCCCTGCAGTCTGCCTATTGACCATGGCTACTGGCTTGATGATGAGGACTTAACTCGGTTTGACCCCTCTCTTTTTTCAATGAGCTTGGCCGAGGTGGAGAAACTGGATCCTCAGCAGCGCGTACTTCTCGAAGTGGTGCGAGAAACATTTGAAAACGCTGGTGAAACTGGCTGGCGGGGAAAAAGCATTGGTTGCTATGTGGGAAGCTTTGGTGAAGAGTGGAATAATATCCATGCGAAGGATAGCCACAACCGTGGTTTCCTTTCCATCACAGGTTATATGGATCTGACTCAGGCTAACCGGATTTCGTATGAATATGATCTAAAAGGACCTAGGCAAGTACAACAACCTTCATCAACGCCCGTAGAAGTACGGAAGTATGGAACTAACTTACTTTCTACATAGTATGACCGTCCGTGTTGGCTGCTCTGGGGCCGGCCTGGGCCTCCATTTAGCCTGTCAGGCGATCCAACTGGAAGAGTGTTCGTCAGCCATTGTGGCTGGGTCGAGTGTCATCCTCTCTCCTGAAACCACAATCCTCATGGCCGAGGGTGGCGCCCTTTCCCCTGATGCGTCGTCCAAAACATTTGACGCTAGCGCAAACGGCTATGCGCGGGCGGATGGAGTAAATTGCCTGTACATCAAGCGACTGGATGAGGCCCTCCGTGATGGGAACCCCATCCGGGCCATTATTCGATCGACATGCACCAACAGCGATGGCAAATCACAAGCGCTGACGGTCCCGAACATCGACTCCCACGAAGCATTGATTCGGTCTGCCTATCAATCAGTGGGCGATCCTTCGCAGACGGCGATGGTTGAGTGTCATGGCACAGGCACTTCTGTCGGCGATGCGATTGAGGCCAATGCAGTGGCAAGGGTATTCGGTGATCATGGAGTATACCTTGGCGCAGTAAGCTCATTCCATTGATTCTACGTTGCTTTAGCGGGTTGGCTAACATCTTCAAGGTCAAACCAAACCTGGGCCACTCGGAAGGCGCGTCTGCAATTACCAGTATCATGAAGGCTGTTATAGAATTAGAAAACCGTATTATTCTCCCCAACATTAAATTCGAAAAGCCCAACCCCAAGAGTGAGTATTGTATTTCCATATGTATGATAACTAAACGCTGACTTTTATCAATCCAGTCCCATGGGAGAAAGCTCGTCTGAGGGTTCCGACTGAGCCAATGCCGTGGCCAGAAGATCGTCTGGAGCGAATAAGCGTTAACAGTTTCGGAATCGGGGGTACAAATGTGCATGTAGGAATTCGTGCAACCTCCAATGGTACCACTGTATGCTGACACTAGTTATAAGGTTGTATTGGATTCTGCTGCATCTTACGGATCGTCCAACGCTCAGTCGCAACTCGAACCCGATATGACAAAGGTGCACCCGACCCTCCTGTTCTTGTCCGCCGGCCACGAGAATTCTCTAAGGCAAATGCAAGATAACTTTCTTTCGTATGCCCAAGAGCATGTGGACCAGCTGGATGATCTAGCTTATACCCTTGCCTATCGGAGGGAGTCTCTCCCAGTGCGAGGGTTTTGCGTTACCGATGGGGCAGACAATTGCGTGGTATCTGCACCATTCAAAGCTCCGTCGCCACAGCGGATTGTATTTTGTTTTACTGGACAAGGATCCCAATGGCCTCGAATGGGTTATGACCTTATGATGAGATATCCTGAGTTTATGCAGGATATCCATGATATGGACAAGATTCTCCAGCGACTGGATAAGCCTCCCATCTGGACCTTGGAAGATGAGCTTCAGAAGCCTAAGGAAGCATCGTTGATTAACCAAGCAGAATACTCGCAACCGGCTTGCACCGCCATTCAGATTGCATTAGTCAACCTGTTGAAACGATGGGGTATCGTTCCGGCAGGGGTGTTCGGTCACTCAAGTGGCGAGATTGCCGCCGCATATGCCGTGGGCACGATATCCATGGAGGATGCCATTATTGTTGCCTACTACCGAGGATATGTGTCAAATCTGCAGAAAAGGCCAGGGGGAATGGCCGCTGTCGGCCTGGGACGCGCGGAGATATCTCCATGGTTGGTGCCAGGCGTTATCATTGCGTGCGAGAATAGTGGATCCAGTGTCACCATCTCAGGGGATTCCGAACCGTTGAAAGCAGTGCTTCAACAAATTCATGTTGATCAACCTGATGTCTTTCAACGAATGCTTAAGATCGAGAAAGCGTATCACTCAGGTCTGTTTGTCTGCTCACTGGAGTTTATTGGTAGCTGACAAGATCTAGACCATATGAAAGAGGTCGGTGATTTATATCACGACCTCATTGCAAACCATCTACACCCTAAAGAACCATTGATACCTTTCTTTTCTACCGTCACGGACACTGTTCAACAGAAGGCGTCGCAGTTCGGCGCTCGATACTGGCAACGCAACCTAGAGAGTCCCGTCCTCTTTTATCAGGCATGCAAAAGGATCCTCCAAAGGGAGGAGCTGCGTGATTGTATACATTTGGAGATTGGCCCTCATTCTGCTCTCGCCGGTCCTTTGCGACAAATCTTCGTTGAGCAGAATGCTTCTAACCCGTACCTGTCCGTGTTAAAGCGAGATGGAGACGGAAGGACTTCATTTTTGAGTTGTCTTGGAGAGCTACATTGCCGGGGGGTGAGCATCACGTATCCAACTTGCTCATCCCCTTATAGACCCCTTTGTGACTTGCCTTCATATCCTTGGCACCGTGAGACAGCATACTCGGACGAGACTCGAGTCATGAAGAATGCCCGGTTCCGCAAATTTCCACCACATGACCTCCTCGGCATCAGAACCATCGAAAACAGTGATGTTGAGCCCGTGTGGAGGGGGATGCTACGTCTGAGTGATGTTCCGTGGCTCCGGGATCACTGTGTTGGAAACGATATCATTTTCCCTGCGGCTGGATACATCGCGATGGCGGGTGAAGCCATCAGACAGTTGACGGGTCTAGATGACTTCACAGTGCGCGAATTGTCTATCAAGACAGGAATGATCCTCGAACCGAACCAGCCAACTGAAATCATCACCAGCCTTCGCCCGCACCGGTTGACAGACTCTCTCGACTCGAAGTACTATGAGTTTACTATACAAACCTATAATGGATCAACGTGGACGAAGCATTGCTCTGGCTTGGTGATAGGCGGTTGCGCCTCTCAATATTCGGACCGCAACGTCTCGTCATTTCCTCGCGCTGTGGACCAAAAGCGATGGTATAATGCTATGGCGAGTGCTGGGCTGCGCTATGGCCCTCGTTTTACAGGCCTAGGGAATATATCCGCGGCAGTCAATGAGTCGGCTTCGTTTTCGATAGCTTCGGATAAGAGAGACTCGACGGAGTCTCCTTATGCCCTTCATCCTACCACGATAGATCTCATCCTCCAGTCTTGCATAGTAGCCCTCTTCCGTGGCCAGCCCCGCCTCCTTCGTAAGCCCCTTCTACCCACATTTATCGACGAGATCTATGTTCGTGGTGGCACCACGGGACAGCCAATTCAAATTAACAGCTGGGGCTCGATGGGAAAGACTTGTGCGGGAGGTCAAGCGCACTCTTACGCAATCACGGCGGAAAGAGAGCCGGCCTTCTTTCTGAAGGGTCTCCAGTTCTCTGCCCTGGACAATGAAGCTGACGCCGAATCTAAGCCATTGGAGACGGCACACCTGGTGTGGAAACCACATCTCGACTTTTTCGATTGTAATGCACTAATCACTCCAACTAATGATCCTGAGTTGAGATCTGCCAACTCTCTCAACGAGCGACTGTTTCTACTTTGCGTCCTAGATGCTGCAGAATCAATCCGCGATGCCACTGTAGTGCATGATCACTTGGATTCATATCGCACGTGGCTATACAAACAGTTGGATCGTGCGAAGCAGCCTGATTATCCTCTGGTACCAGATGCACAAACGCTAGTATCTTTGCCTCCAGATCAGCGAAAAACCGAGATTCAGAGCATCCTCAGACAGGATACCACCGGTAGCATGGATGCCACTCGAAAGGCCATTTTCCGCTGCTATGAGCATCTGCCTAGTCTATTAGAGGGCAGAACCGATCCGCTAGAACTGATGCAGCGCGATGGCCTTCTTGCCGCCTACTATGACTGTTTACAGGACAGGCACGAATACAAGACCTTCTTGCAACTACTTGGTCACCTACGTCCGCAGATGAGAATTCTGGAGGTTGGAGCTGGCACCGGTGGCCTGACAGCGAATATTCTGGCCTGCTTAGGCTCGGAAATGGGGCAGCATCTGTATCAGGAGTACACCTACACGGACGTGTCGCCAGGTTTCCTTGTTAATGCCAAAGAGAGGTTTAAAGACCACCCCTCGATTACATATGATATCCTCGATATATCACAAGATCCGAAAGAACAGGGTTTCCAAGAGGGGTATTATGATCTGATCATTGCCTCTAACGTTTTCCATGCGACACCGAGCCTTCATGAGACGCTGACACACGCCAAGACGCTCCTTAAGCCAGGTGGCCGGCTGTTGTTGCAAGAGCTATGCAATACCTCTAAATGGACCAACTTTGTCTTTGGTTTGTTTCCTGGATGGTGGTTAGGTGCAGCTGATGGCCGCGCGGACGAGCCCTTTATTCAGCCGGAAGAATGGGGCCGGAGACTACGTGGCGCAGGTTTCGAGGGCGTTCAAGCTGTTGGGCTCGATGCTGAGCGCCCATACCAGCTGAATTCCATGATTGTGGCTCAAACCAGTGACCATGTTAGTATCCCTCCAGCCAAGGTGTCCCTTCTCTCCATGGACCAGGTGCACCCGGCGGCTGTGGAAGTTGAAAAGCATCTGCTTGCTCAAGGATATGGGGTAGACCACGTGCTATATGATCAAGAATTGCCTGAGGAGCAGGATATCATTTCCTTTGTCGATCTCGACTTCCCTTTCTTTGATAACATACCCGGGGAGAGGTTGGACAGCTTCTTACGCACCATGGAAAGTCATTCCTTGTCAAACATAATCTGGCTGACCAGGCCAGCCCAGATTCAGCCGCAAAATCCACGTTTTGCTCAGGTTCTGGGGATGGCACGAACTCTCCGTTCTGAATTGGGCCTGTCGCTTACAACTATCGAGATGCAAGACTTTGGCCCGGGCTCTTCCAAGGCCATACTTGGCGTTTTGCGCGCTGTCCAGCGGCAGGCGATGGACGAAAGCTCATCTGATTTCGATCCAGACTACGAATACGCATGGTCTAACGGGGCGCTTCAGGTCAGCCGTATGCATTGGTTTTCCCTACCCCAGGCCTTGACAGACGACATAAAAGACGATTCAACAACCAGCTTAAACATTGGTCAGCCGGGTCTCCTTCATACTCTCCGTTGGGTGGCGGAGCCCTTGGAACAGCTGCCTTCCGATGAAGTGCAGGTCAATGTCCAGTCGGTGGGAATGAACTTCCGGGACCTAATGTGTGCCATGGGTGTAGTGGATGACCGTGACGGCAATGGGAATCCACTAGGTATTGATAGTGCTGGTCTGATTACTTCAGTTGGGCAAGAAGTGACTGACCTGGAAGTTGGCGATCGAGTATTACTTATCAGCCCCTCCAGGGGCGCTCTGAAGACGAAACTCCAAGTACCTCGTCAGCTTTGTGTCAAGATTCCCCACAATTTGAGCTTCGAAGATTCGTGTACCATGCCGACTGTATATCTCACCGTCCTGCGCGCTCTTCATGATAAAGCCAACCTCCAACGTGGGCAAACGGTTCTCATTCATAGTGCAGCCGGCGGAGTTGGAATTGCGGCTCTTTACTACGCTAAATCGATCGGTGCGCAAATATACGCCACAGTTAGTACTGAGGAGAAAATCACTTTTCTGGTCGAGACCATTGGGATCCCACGGCAGAATATCTTCTACTCTCGTGACTCCAGCTTTGTGGAGGATATCATGAGATCCACTGGCGAAAGGGGAGTGGATGTCGTTCTCAACTCACTCTCTGGCGATCTTCTGCATGCCTCCTGGAAATGCGTTGCACAGGGTGGCTGCATGGTGGAGATCGGAAAACGAGATCTCTTAGGGAGAGGAAAATTAGCACTCGATCCCTTCCTAGATAATCGGACGTTCTTTGGAGTAGATGTTGCGACCCTTCCCACGATGGACATTGACAGTGTTCAACGCCTGCTAGACATGACAATGAAACTCTATGAAAAGGGCAACATCCTTCCTATTCACCCAGTTACCATATTTCCGGCTGATCGTGTTGAAGATGCCTTCAGATATCTCCAGAAAGGGCAACATATGGGGAAGGTCGTCGTCAACTTCCCCCAGGCGCTAGATTTGTCACGGGCTCCAACTGTGCCTGACCTGTCACTGCGTCCAGACAAGGCGTATTTGCTTGTTGGTGGTATGGGGGGAATCGGTGGTTCTATCGCACGCTGGATGGTTTCGAATGGCGCGAGACACATCGTCTTTTTATCACGCTCCGCTGGCAAAAAGGAGGAAGATAAAACCTTGATGCATGAATTAACCGAAATGGGCTGTAACGTGTTAGCAGTCGCGGGCGATGTCTGTGACATATCAGCTGTCCGTAATGCCGTCTCTGCAGCCCCTGCTCCAATTGCGGGTGTCCTTCAACTCGCTATGGTTCTGGCCGATACTGGCGTGCTGCTGATGGACATTGAAAAGTGGAATGCTGCAGTACAGCCCAAGGTACAAGGCACATGGAATTTGCATGAGGCCTTGCCGTCAGACCTGGACTTTTTTGTCATGGCATCGTCACTGTCCGGCATATGTGGGTACTGGGGCCAGTCCAACTATGCGGCAGCAAATGCCTTTCTTGACGCATTCGCCCAATATCGCCGTTCTCTGGGGATGTCAGCCACCGCTATTGACCTGGGAGCAGTGGACGAAGTCGGCTTTGTAAGCCGCAATCTTGAAGTGCGTGAGAACGTCCAAAGGATGCTGAACACATTGATTTCAGAGCAAAGCCTCTTGGACTGTGTCCAGCTCGCCATTTCAAGGTCTAACCCATCCACCAAACTGACCATGGACGGATTTTATAATCCAGGTCAGCTAGTCCATGGACTGATGTCAATTGCAAGCACAGAAGGCCAAAGCATCTGGAAGCGCGACCCACGCTTGGCTCTGAGCTACAATCTGGAAACTGGGCAGTCATCAACCGGAGGTGGCCGCGGCACTGGTGACGAAGCATTGAAAGGCTTCCTTATGGCCGTGCAGGATAACCCGGGCAAACTTAACGAGTTGTCTAGCGCCTCAATCCTGGCCCGTGAAATTTCACGCCAAGTCTCTGTTTTCCTAATGAGATCTGGCGATGAAGAAGTCGATTTGGCACTTTCCCTGCCTGCGTTCGGGGTTGACTCATTGGTGTCTATTGAGATTCGAAACTGGTGGAAGCAAACATTGGGAGTAGACATCAGTGTTCTTCAATTGATGAGCGGTGCAAGTTTTGCAGATCTCGGCAACAGGGCCGTCGACCAGCTGAAGGAGAAATATATGGGAAAATGATAGGTAGACCTTTCTACATTGTGCCGGATACCGGTGGTTAACCGCAGGCCACCAAGGAGATCTTTTCCGAAGACAGCATTTGTATATATGGTGAAAGCGGAGCGGTGTTTGGCGTGAAAAGCGTAGTAATGCCGTATATCAATGTCAGGACTGGCCACATAAATACATAGATCAGCACCAGAATAGTCAATTATGCCGCATTACGTATCGTCTTAGTATTGTAATCACACGTGTAACACTAGTTCTCTGGTTATATAAAGGATGCCTTTTCCCTCCTAGCACCTTTCAACTTCTCTTCATATTTTCCAACTTCCCAAGCCTAGGATAGATTGATAATATTAGTCATGGGCTCTATTGGAAGAAAGTTCGATGCCTTTCACCGAGTGGACAGGGAGTACGGCGAGATCGCTGGCCACCCCCTGGAGGTAAGCCTCTTCATCCCAAAGTCTACAAAGCCGGGGGCCTCCTATCCAGTGCTCGTTCATTTCCATGGTGGTGGGTTTATTGTTGGCCATCGGCTCTACGAGCCGTGGTATGCAGACTGGTGAGTCTCCCCTTTCTTTTCTTTTTTTTTTTTTCTGTACAAGGAGAAAACATATATATATATATATATATATATATATAAAACAGAAAAAGAAGAAAGAAAGAACAAAGAAAAAGTATCTGAGAGCATACGTTACAGGTTATTGGAAATGGCGCTGTCCAAAGGGGCCATCATTGTCAGTCCAGATTTCCGTCTCCTACCCGAAGCGAGCCCTTTAGAAGTGCTTGACGACATCCACTGTTTCTGGGAGTGGCTACACCAGGAAGCTGCTGCAGACGCCATGTCTTGGGTAGATTGCCCAGTAAATCTGGATTTGGGGCAAATTGCGCTGCACGGCGAAAGTTCTGGTATATCTTTTATCATCACCCCCTTTTAAGATATCCAACTCAAATTGCTGATAAATGTCCAGGCGGCTGGCTTGCAGTTCAATCCTGTTTGAGGTATCCTGAAGCCCGTATAAAATGTGTAATTACCAGCAGTGCCAGCCTCGACAGCCAAATCCCATATCTCACTATTCCTGGACCCAAAAGCATCATGGGCCAGCCACCCATTCCGGCTCGCCAGGCTGAACTGACAATTCGGAAATACATACGTGGGATTGTCCCCGGTGCGATCCGAACAGCTACCGAACCCACAGAATCATGGCACCTTTTCATCTGTATGATCCAGCAAGGCTATTACTCTCGTATTTTCAACACACCCCATCACGAGGACCTCGATATTATGAAAGCCGTGTCTGGTATTGATGACATCTGTCCAATCTGGCTTATGCATGGTACTGGGGATACTCTTGTACGTTTTGCCTTCTCTACCTCTTGGACTCACAGTACAGACTTGAAAATGGGTTTGGCTTAAGGAGTCCTTGTTCGGGAAATTGCTGATATGATTTAGGTCCCCTCTGAATGCTCATCAAACTTCGCGTATAAGATGAAGAAGTTAAAGCCAGATGTACCGGTCCTCTTGACTCTGCGGCCTGGTGAGCATGGATTTGACAAAGCATGTTCCATGCAGGAGGAATGGATTGAGGAAGGAATTTCATTTGTGGGAAAATATTGGCCTTGATCACTGAATGGAATCAGCGTACGGTGCCAGGTGGTCTTCCTTCCTTTTCGGATGCTTGGCCCTTGAAGTTGATCTTAGGTGGTGTATTTTCTAGAAATATGTGGGTGGTTACTTTAATGACATTGCATTTAGATCGCGAACTCTCCCTGATATAATATAACAACTTCTACAATATTATACTATACTTCCTTATATAACATCTTCACGTCATCCCATTCTCATCATGATAATCGTCTGATTGAATCGTTCCTGTAGGTCCCGGATAATACTCTCATGAGAGGACCACTGGTGTACCATAACAATCCTCTCCAGCCTATTGAGTAGTGAACTGAGCTTAGTGATCCGCACATTAACCAAGCTCCTTAACACCTGCATTTCATCTTCATTGTCTAGCTTCCATCGCTTGATTTCTAGCCCCGTGTCCCGAGGATCACTGTAGCTGCCTGATTGACTGCCAATCAAGCCATCCTTGTAGGCTACAGATCTGGTCATAGATGAAGCCGAGACCAAATCTCTGATACTGGTCAACATTTTGTCATTGATGTAGGTCACCATAGTGATATGCTCAGATTGGGAGCTACACATGGGACACTCCAAAAGCGTCTCACAACTGGCTAGGGCATCTTTTTGTACACAGAGAGTGTTGCGTGCATTGGAATAAAAGGCTTCTGAGGCGTCCTGCAACCCTAAGGCCGTGGCTAACTGGACCGTTTCGAATGTGCGTAGGATCTGACGCAGGCATGAACATGGGGTTGATTTGGAGTTGGTTCCGGTTTTAAAGGCAGGCTCTGGCGTGCATCCGGCCCCATGGGCTTTCTCTGAATCTGGTTGTGAATCGCGAAAGCATGGTATAGAAAAGAAGGATGCGTCTTGGGTAAGATAATCAATGGTGTTCGTGTCAGGATTGTGGGCTTCGTCAGGGCTGCTTTCTAACGAGATAGAAAAGACCAAATCAGTAACCACAGGATTAGAAGAGGACAAAGAGATACTGGAGGTAAACACAAAGCTTGCGGTCTTAAAACTCACCGTTCCAAAGGAAGTAATTGGCAACATCAAGCGTCCCCATTTGGTCAAGCTTATGATTACCGTCTGCGAAGCCCTCCATCATCACGCTATTCGTAACAATCGGCTCCCTGATATATGCAGTGCCAGCATGGTTGCCTGCTGCTAATGGATGCCGGTCTGTATGGGATGTTCTTTCTTGGTCCTTTGTCTTGGATAGAGACTTTGAGCTGGACGGACGGGGATAAGTACAGTCGAGCTTTTTCAATCGGCATCGTCGGCAGCCATTACGTTCTCCAGTGCATTTCAACTGTAGAGCAGGCCTCGTCAGGGACGATGACTAATAAAGAGACACGGTGAAGATAATGTACCTTTTTCGATCTGCAATGGATGCAGGCGACACGAGTTAATTTGCCCTGACGCTTCCTGTCAAAGGGTGGAAGGACGCTTTCCAAAATGTCACGCCTGTTCTCTGAATTGATGTGTCGAAATGTGCGGAACATGGTGAACTCTCCCAAATCATTTCATAAACGCTGTGTTGAGTAAACATAACTGGGGATTGACTGACTTTATGAAACCAAGGCAATCCATGTATTCCAATTTGCCCTTGTGATATGGTCTGTAAAGTTTAGTGAAACAACTATACTAACTAAAGGTAATTTTATTGAAGCTGATCTATGAAGATACGGGTGTTGATGAACCATGCCATCAAGCACCGTCAAAGGATAGCGTATGAAATTGAGTATTTGACGTGTGTTAGCCGTTTAACCCCGAGGGATTTTCCTTAACCGGTGCTTTTAACCCCTTAAGTAGAGGGAGCAATCATGATGAGAGTCCTTTATGCAGCACCTAGTCCTACTAGTATACGGAATTGTGTGTATCAAATACTAGCACGAACCACTCCAACCGAGGGGGGCTACAAAGTATACTAGGCAATGCGACTTGGTATAGATTAGGGCGTGACAAATGCACCGGGTCTTCTTTCCTGAGGATGCCCAGTAATCGGGCCACCTGGTCTGTTCTTCAAGTGTCGATCTGCACATGAGAATGACGGTTGAACGTTTATTGAAAGAGCGTGGATCAAGCCGACGTGTACGCCCACAAAATAACCCCTTATAGTTAGAAGGGCTCGCATAATTGTGGCGCAGCAAAGATTACTTCTCTGAAAACATGATGTATCCAAGTAATCGGTCCGGAACACAGGGGAGTGGATACCGCATCCATAGTGCACATTCCAGAAAGGTGCGAGTCAGTTCAAGACAATTTCTTCAATTTGTCAAGCGTTGACACGTGGGACAAAACGCACAAGCGCAGGCGGCTTCTCCAAGATCCTCAACTTCCACTTTATTGGTCTGGACGGGGTAGATCATGTTCATCGTTAAGGTTGATGATTCGTAATCCTGTACTGAGAATCGACATAGGGTGCAGAAAGATCATGTTGATCCCTGTGGAGCGGTTCGCTTACGGATCGTGAGTAGAACTATTCGAACTACTGTGCCAAGGGTGGTCCTATTATATTTGGTATATGGCTAGCAAGATTCGTAAAAAGGAAATGATATACAACCACCCCCACAGATATATAAATCCCGGCGCGCGGCAACTCGTGACCTTTCTCAACTACCGGGACCAGCCTCTGATTGGTTAAGGTCTCCTGGTCCTCGCTTAATCAGTAGGCATTGCCTTTTTAGAAAGCATAAAGCTTGTTAGTAAGAAGGTAGAGACATCCCCGGTGATCACGTGGAGTGGATTTGATTGCTTCGAAATAGTGTTCAACTGAGATTTTTAGTTCCCCGGTTCATGAAGAATTCATATGGGCCACCAAGACTTATACTGTGAGAGTCTCCCGTTTTCGGGGTTCGATGATAATTCGTATGGGGAATCGAATTGGCCACCACGGTGGCCAAACCTTTCACAGAAGTCCCTAGTTACCAGATATGTTGGGGGAGAAGTCTACCAGTCTACATTCCAATGCTTTAGTATGAAGGTTGACGGTGACAATCTTTGTAATGGACGATGAACTTACAAAGTAAAGGAGTAATATACAGATAGATATCCCCTATTAGATTAACATTATAACATCTAATCCGTTTAATATGAATCTGGGCTGTTTTATCACACTTTTTGTACGGGGTATGACGTTGGTTAATTGTACAAGGATTTTGACATTGAACTAGGCTAAATAGGGGTAAATAGGTTAGAATAGGTTTTAACTATAGAATCTACTGGATTTTCGGTTGGGTTAGCTTAAGATCTATCATATATTCCAGACTTCGTAGAATCCAGCAACCTGGAGACTGGGTGGCTGGGTTGGTCATATCTAAATCCCACCCCACCCCACGCGATTGACAATCTAGTAATTATATGGCGATCTATCTTAACAGGTAATATTTTCCAACCCAGGGGCAACATTTTAAAAGGAAGTTAAACCAATACTATTCAAGTGCCGCTGTTCTGGTGCTTTCTTTAATGCTCTGTCTATCTATTAACTTTATCCGATGCATTGTGACGTCCGATGCTTGCTGCCTATATGTACATTTCGGATCAGCTGCAAGGTTGACAGGTCTTCCTGATGCAGTTCGGACCAAATGATCAACTGTCATCACTCAGAAGGACTCCACCCGCGGATGGCGCTTCCACATTCCGTGGATTTCACTGTCGACGTCAATCTCTATGTGGGTTCGAGCCAAGCGACGATCTCGCGAGGACTAAGTCATTATATGGTCCTTGTCGGTAATAATTGACTGGAAGTATTTCCGCCTAGAATTTCAGTTGCGGTCATATAGGTCTCTCTACCAGTGGATTCAGGATCTATATTGTTATGGCTTATTATCGGGGAAAGTAAGTGCCTTACCTATGTAGACTGTAGGCTTTCTTAGAAACTCAGTGTCAACCTTACTATTCTTGGTCAGCTTAGTGCTACTTATATTTATGTAGTGTCTATCTGCTCTCTCTAGGGGTTTATCTATTAGATCATAATTAGGGTAAGAGCTATTGATAACTGGGAGGCTAGATGTGGCAAGGGCAGTATAGCCCCCCAGTCCGGTTTCTGGGAACTAATTATCTGGAACTTCTTTCAGCAGCTTGGAAACTGATAACAAGAAGATCTGCATAGACTAATCATATTTCTAATCCACGGCTTGGGATGTATTCTCATTTAGGTAGACAAATACATGAAACGGGATAGGTATTCACCTATGCTGTCCTCAGTGATGAGTCTAGCAAGCAATTGAGAGACACAGATTCGCCTGGGCCCGAATCATGAAAGCCTACCCCGTTTGAGGGACGAATACAAAAAAGTTACGCACAATCTCCTACAATTTTGTGTATGATACAGTGAACAGGCTGCCGCGCTTCCTTCAAGCCCAGTTAGCCAAAGCGATTACATATAATTCCTTACCACCTTTGACTGCCTCTTCGATAAAGGATATTGTCCATATTGTTAATATATGTATGGCGACTACAAACGATGCCGCATAATCTAAGACTGAATTTTGTAATCTGTCCTTCCCATCATGCCACGCAGTATCTCGTTAATTCGGTTGCCATATGCTGCGGAATTATATGTTATATCCACACTCATGTCTTACATCCCCACGGCTATAGGAGTTACCTCGGCCTCAGTGTTACCTAAAATACACTTCCTTCTTTCCACCTACAACATAGACTTGTCCACCATCCTATAGATGTAAAACTTTGGTGGGTGGTGAGTGCGCACTTATTTGGACATTAAGTGGCGTTCTATCTGACAATGGCTGCAGCCAGCGTTACATCCTATGACAACACTTTCACGGCCAGGAGCTTCCCAATGGACTTCCACAGCGACTGAATTTTATTATTTTGGTGTCTGGGCCGTTGCCCGATATATGCTTCTAGATTACGCTAGTATAATCATGCCATCAAGAATGCACCTCTACTCTGTCCTCAGCAATCCAAGCAAGACTCCATACGAAATGGACAAAGGCATTTCTCCACATTTCGATCCTCCCTGCATGACAGCAAATAGGACCCTATGGAATACGAGTGACCAGGGGTATGTATCTTGGGACTTCTCCACCCTAGGATTTCATGCGTCGGGACGAGCCATTCCAGCCTACCAGATGTCAACGTTCGGATCACACCGCATGCTCCGAACTTGCAGCTGAATCCGGGCCAATGGGGATGATAGCTACAGCAAACTGCAAGAGCTTAGGTCCACGACTTTTGAGGGGATTCGCTGTGTTCCTGAAGTCAGATTTTAGGTAGTTCTGGGCGTCGCGGGGAAGGATTCGAGGCGCACTTTTGACTTGATGGATATAAACCGCATTTACCCAAATCTGGAGTTGAGCGCGGATGTGATCTTGTCAACGATTTCCTTAACTGTAAAGTCAAAATGATCCCAGTGATATTTGTCCTGTTTCTTCTGGGAGCAGCGTCTGGTAATGCTGGTATGGCATATACTCTTTTAATGGCCCCTCAATGACGCGACTAATGCAAAAGCACAGTAATTCCCCGCGATACTCCATCTGGCTCAATCAGCTCCTCAGCACACTCGTCTGGGCCGATCACTCTATCGGCTCCCTCGTCTGAACCGACCTGCTACACCAGTAGCCAGTGGCTTGTGATCTCCAACACCAGCGTCTTCTGGCCCACATCCACGGACTACCTTTACGGTCCGACCACCGGACCCAGTGCATCCGACGTACTCTGCGCAGCGCAATGGATGCAATACGATGAGCGGTCAAGGGGACTCTCACGCCTTGGCCCGACCAAGACCACGACCGTGACATTGTACACTCCCACGAGTACGGGAGCCTGCAGAACGAGCATCCGCCCCGAACTATACTCGGATGTTCACACTGGCCCAGTGACCACCCTATGCGATGGGGTTGCCCGGGCTCTCGGACCACGCGAAACCGCAACAGAATACTTCCCGGGGACAGGACCATGCAGCTCATTCAGCGAGTCAGAGATCAAAACAACCACAGTCAACCGAGAGCCCTCGGCATCCCCGACATGTCGAGGGGAGCTAGAAGGATGCATCGGGGTTTGGCAAACATACAGTAGTCTTTCCAGCAAATATGCCGCATCAGTTACATCCCCGATTCCAGGCGATACAAGGAGTCCATTACGACCAATTCACTGTCCCAATACGGCACGTGAATACCCAGAAGAAAATCCTTGTTCCGAATGCCATTTCATTCCGGGTACAGCGACGATGTTCTACTGGCCCGTAACAACTGCCAACGGAGACCTGTGCACTCAAAACGGGACAACTATTCCCGCTACGCCGACGGGCGATGGCCCCAACACTGCCATCCTGGATGATTATACCCTCGTTTCACCCAGCGTATATATCTCCTTCACCTCTATTAATGCCTGGAGTAACCGTCGCCACGGTCATCAATGTGGTGAGCGCCATCTCAATCAGCTGATCTCTGTCCATCCGACTGCTGTCACGTCGCTCCGTGAACACCGCAACGCCCGCTACCCCAGTGAGGGCACCCCGTATCCGTTTAACTTTGCCGAGTTCCTCCCCCAGACTATTGGTAATTATACCCAGTCCCTGATCCCCTGGCCTCAGTATCGCGGTGGCTCGCAGTGTCGCCTTTATGATCCCTCTTGTACTATGGTTCGGGATGATTATCTGCCGTATATTGAGGTGCCGAACGAGGCGGCTGAGATTGATCCGCATTGGGAGAGGTGTGATCGGAGATGGCTTGTCCCCATGGTTACGATGGTGCCGATTATTGATGGCACTGCTGTCGCTCCTACTCCTACGGGTGAGCCGGAGGTCATGTCCATCGAGGCAGATGCTATGCCAGAAGGCATGGTCGAGGCGCCGACACCGACGCCGACTACTGATCTAGGGTGGTAAAAATGTAGATAATATGAGTTTTTAGTATAGAGACCGGGGAGATTGGAGGAGCTGATGACTATCTGTTATGTTTTGAGTGGAGACGAGTAGTTAGTACGATTGACCTTTGTTTTGGATTGGGTTCAAAGTCTTGTAATTGAGATTAGCTCAAGGGTGTCAGTCTAGCGAAGATTGGGAGATTCATAATTTGTTTAGGACATGCAGTACTATGATATTTTTGACACCTCTTCCAGTCGTACAGACATACCACCCCTAGAAGACATCACCACTGAGAATATCCTCCCTCTTCCCAAGATGGAACACAGGAATATGCTCCACAGGCGCGGGCACAGTAACCGTCTGACCACCAGCATAGGTCTGATTAGTCCACCAGTACGTCCATGGCTTGGTACCATTCTGGCCCGTCTGCGGCAGATATACCGGCCATTCAGTGACGTTCGGCGTGGTAATAGGTGACACAAGCAATCTCGGACCGAACATATACTGCTGCGTTGTCACATTGTTGTTGGCCTGCATCCACTGTGAGACTTTCGGATCGGTCTTCTCGAAATCCATGTACAAGGGACGCATGATCATGCGACCGGTCTTGTGGAACTGATCGAAAAGAGCACGTAGGTATGACCCCAGCTGGTACCGGAGATGAATGTACGAGAGGATAATGGGGGTGTTCTTCTCTCCGTACGACCACGGCTCGTTGTTACATGTGTATGCATCCTGGGTGTCGCAGACTCGCTGGCCGTGCGTGCGCATGAAGGGGACGAATGTAGCCCACTGTAGCCAACGCACGTACAGCTCGCGATACTCTGGTGTGTCGATGTTAGCGCTCCATGATACTGTCGGATCGGGCTGGAAGCCGCCGGCGTCCATAGTCCACCAGCCCCATCCTGTCGCGGCAGCGGATAGTCCACTGGCAATTTGGAGGCCCAGTGTTTCCCAGACGGAGGTGATGTCTCCCGACCAGATCATGCTGCAGAATCGTTGAGATCCAATATAGCCAGACCGACTGAGTGAGATGTGCTCGCAAGCTTCGCCTTCCTTGCTGTCGGTAACGTTGCGGAAACCCTCTTCGATTGCCTGCTGGTGGGCCCAGGGATAATATTTTCCAGCGCTCAGCTGGGTACCAACTGCGTAGAGGACATTGGGCAAGGCAAAGGGGACAGACTGGATGTAGGTGCTTTGGCCGTTGTTTTCGTAAGCTTCGCCCAAGGCACCACCGTCCGCTTGGTCGATCCAGAAGTTCTTGATGCCTTTGTCATAGTAGTTGCGCTTCAAGGTTGACCAGATGAACTTTCGCGCACCTGGGTTCGTAGAGTCAACGTTGCGGATGTACGAGCCGTTCCACGAATCGGTGGTTCCGGGCCCGTCGCGAGTCGCAGATAAGTATCCGTTGGCCTGCAACTCCAAATAATTGTCGCTCGCGTCGGATACACTGGGCCAGAGAGATGCCATGATCTCTGCTCCCGTGAGATCCTTTACCTTCTTCGCCATTGCTGCTACGTCCGGCCACAGCGCTGGGTCGAGACCCCAGTCGCCCTGATTCCGCCAGGATTGGTAGTCGATGACGAACATTCCGACGGGAACGTTGTTATCCTTGAACTTCTGCGCTAGAAGCTCCAACTCAGTCTGGTTCTCATAGCGGAGCTTAGACTGGATGTAGCCGAGCGAGAAGTCAGGGGGAGTAGGTGCTCTACCCGTCAGCGCGGATAGACGTGTCTGCAGTGTGTCATAGTCACCTGGCGTCGTGGCCACGATGACATAGTCGACGACTGTAGTGGAGGCTGCGGTGAGCCTCGTACGTAGTTGTCCGAATTCCATGCGACCTTCCGCTGGCATATTCCAAATAAATGCATAGCCCTTGTTGCTCATGAACACGGGTGTGGGGATGTGGGTATTGAAATTGATCAAGTCAATGACCGTTCCTTTTTTGTTGACAAGGTGGTCCTGTTGCGTGCCCGTGCCATAGAACTGCTCGTCGGGTGTTGTACTAAACGAGAACTCGGCAGAGAATTCACTTCCTGGGCCGTTCCATGAGTAGTAACGGGGATTGACCGACTTGAGTGGCGCATATTCGTTCGTCAACAGGGTCTCAGATCCATCTTGCTCGACGCGGTAGAATGCCAGGCGATATCCTCCGGGGTTTCCACCCCAACCGGAGGTCCGCACGATGGTGTTTCCATTGCGGATAGCAACAGTATGATTGCCGTTGAACGCTGTGTCAAAGTTCAAGCCATGCGCTTGTCCATCCTCGAAGCCTTCCAGTGGTGGATCGTAGACGAAGCTGATTTCATGGCCCGTAGGAGGCCGGAAGGGCCAGGCGCGCACCCGGAACCCATCATAACCAAAGGGTTGCACCAGAATAGTCTCGAAGCCATGCTGCATGCGAAATCCAGTAGAGTTGGGCAGAAAGTAGTCCGATTCCCGTGTCTGGATTGGGGTCGCCAGCACCAGCTGTGCGGCGCAGACTGTTAGGGCCACCAGCCAGCGATACATATTGCTCAACAGCCTTGGGATTGAAGCCTTAGCTGGGATTTTCGTCGGCCTTAAATTATCTTGATATGCATTTTATCCATTCAAATAGGCTGAATAACATAGCCCAAATACTCGTGACATCATGTCTCTCAGTGAAGGCCCGGCCACTTTATGCATCGGTCGGATCGAGAGAATTGGAGGATATGATGATTGGCAAATTTGGCCGTGAAGCGGCTCATAGGAGACCATCACAACCCCCCACCGGAGACCGAATGTGGAGTACATGAGGAGACTGAGGGGATTTCGGCGTCTGTTCTTTGGAGATATTCATTCCCATTGCCTTGCTGGTCGATCAGATCCACATGGCGTCCTGTCGGCTGTGATTTAGTTCGGCCAGGACCCTGTAACGATGCGTCTGTTTTGCTGGCGAGCACAGACGCTTGCTTGTTTTTTGGAACGACCGGAACGACCGCAAGAAATGGTCTCATCCATCACTCCTTCGGCATCAGATTGGTCGATTTCTGTGATATTGTTGAGCGAGAGGCTTGGCTGTTTCCACCTGATCTCCGCCGAGCCATTCACTAGAAAAGCTTTATCATTTAGCCATTTAGGCAATATGAATGACCAATGTCTTCTTTTGTCCTTAGCTTCTCGTTGTTGTTCAGCCAAGACGGTGTGTTGTCCATTGTATAATGGGATGCGACGGTGTTGTTAGTCAATGCACTCGATGGGCGTGATTCCTCTTTCCGTCTTAATTGACTGAATTATGCATCATTCTACGATTCCTCATTGTTACCTTGAATCCTTCTTGTTTTCCACCTTCGGCTTTCCTTCCTCTTTAGCCTCTGCTTTCGTTGACTTTTCGTTTGCTTTATTTTTTTTTTTATTTCATTTTTATTTTTATTTTATTTTTTTGCTTTTCCCTGATCCCTCAAGTCTCTCATGCCGTGCCATATGTTTCCCTATCGATAGAACAGACGATCTATTTATAGGCAGTTACCGGTCGTGCAGTGGTCATCACCATATTCTCTGGCACCATAAGTTGATGTCTTGATATATCAAATCCATGGTTGTTGACCGCCCGGTCTCACCGCTTGGAGCCCCACTCATCCGGCGACTTATTTTATGCTCCGGAGATCAGAAAACAAACAGATATCCGTATACTGTATGAACAAGACCTCATACCAACCAATAGCGATATTATAAGAGTTTTAAAGTTGAAAGATTTAGCCCGGGGAAAAGTGTTCATCCCCGCAACGCTTAGCCGCACAACCCCCCGTGGGGAGAATTTCGCCTTCCCTGTCACCCCATCCTGGGACAACCCCTGACTCACTCCACCATCCTATCTATCCATCTATCTGATGAAGGACAAATACCGATAAAAGTACTCTTTACACTGTATCAAAACAAAGTAAAGTCATCATGCCAATCCCCTGGCCACCCCTATCCATTCCCAATGAATTCGGCATTGCCACCCTCTCCCTCGGTAACTGGAGACACCATAAACTGCAGCCCCGACTAGAAGCAGCGGCTAAGGCGGGATACAAATGGATTGATCTATTCGATGAATGCTGGGCGGCCTACCTTGAAGAACATGGCTTACCGGGGGATCGATTATGGGAACCAACGCAAGATAACCTACGCATTGCGCGGAAGCTAGGTCATCTGGTAAAATCCCTCGGAATGCGGATCGCGTGCACACAGCCACTTCGAAAGATCGAGGGAATCAAGGATCCAGTTGAGCGACGGGCATCGCTGGACTTAGTGGCGAAACGGTTCCCATTCATGCGCGCATTCGATACCGATCTGGTATTTATGTGTTCCAATATCCGGACGGACAATGGCGTGACCTCCGATTTGAAGACGGTGGCCCGAGACTTGGCAGAGTTGGGTGACATGGCCCGTGCTTTCGCCGAGGCAGACGGGGGACCGATGCTGCGGATTGGATATGAGGGGCTCTCATGGGCGACGCGAAATACATGGGCGTCTACGTGGGAGGTAGTCCGGATGGCGAACCGCAAGAATGTCGGACTTATCATCGACGCTTTTAATGTGCTGGCGGTGGAGTACGCCGATCCGTATAACCCAGCCGGTCATGGACGGTTGTATTCGTCGCCCGAGGAATCGGTCGATGTACTTTGTGCATCGATGGCCGGGCTGGTGGCGTCTGTTCCGGGAGACCGTATCTTTTTCTTCCAGGTCGGTGATGCCGAGCGTATGGACCCGAAGATATTCCGACCACCTACCGATCCGGACGTGCCGGCTTTGCTGCCCTGGTCAAGGGGTCACCGGCTGTTTCCGTATGAATGGCAGCGAGGGGGTTATATGCCGGTTGATGTGGTCGCTGCTGCTGTGGTTGCGACAGGGTATAAGGGTCCCATGTCGCTGGAAGTGTTTAATAATTCGTTGAATCAACCGGGTGCCGGAGTTCCATCGGCCCATGCTCGTCGGGGATTTACTGGCCTTCGGAAATTGGCCGATGCTATTCCCCAGGTGCCGGCATTTTGGGAGGAAATGTGGCAGCATGGCAGACACAAATTTGGTGGTTCGGTTATTTCTCCGCGGGTACAGCGTCTGTGAGTTTCTTCGGGTTGACATTTGTCTATAGTGTAGGTGCGATATATCTACTAGTTCAACCCGGTCGCTACTGAAGAAGCATAAGTTTGTTTAACTACATTTAGTGGCCGGACATGAGCTACCAATAGCGTTTTATGATCAATAGCGATGATAATATATATCCACCCGAATGTGATCCATTCTTCAAGGCATATTTAGCCTAAATCACGCAACTGGAAGGGTTTCAAAGAACAAAGGGGCAGGGTTAGACATTGCCCAGCACAAGAAAATTCTGGATAGCCCGACGATTCGTGTTCACCTTCCATCGGTCGGAGCGTGAACGTCAAACAAAGAAAAGGCAGGATGCCTCGTGTAACCGCGCATAACATTTCTGATGACGAGCTAAAGGGGAGAATTCTGTTGTCAAAAATAGCCGTCGGGCGACTGAGTCTAAGACAATGGATGTACCTCCTGGTACCGTGGATTTGTCCAACACAGCGGCTGAACTGTACAAGCATCCTGGCCCGGCTTCGGGCAAAAGGGTGACACAAGAGGAATTAATACGAAACATTTCCTGGTCCGAATCCGAGGCACCGTAGGCACTATGGACACTATCGGCGGGGGCAAATATATATCGCCATATCAGGTCTATTTATAAGATTTGGTCCCACAAGGCTTGAAGAAGGGGTCCAACCAACAGACAGGTCGTCGCTTGTATTCAACGTCCCAGTACTGGTCTAGAGCATTCGACTTGAGTTCGCATTCATTGCCCCAGAACTTGAATCCCTAATTAGACGCCAGACTCACGGTCAACTGGTCGCAGGGTCCGATATCGCACCTTGCTTTCGGGTTGGTCTATGGCAGAGTAGGTGTGAAGAAGAGCTCGAGGGCAAGATAGGTTTTCAGAAATGGGTTGGAACAGCAAGCCCAGACCATGTAAAGATGCTGCGGTTGATCAATTCGAAACAAGTTGCCTGCCGCATCGGCCACACGATGCCGTCATGGAGACCTCGTTTCGACGGTGACAATAGTATCATGTTTGGGTAAATAACTCATATCATTCGACAGAGGACCCTTTCCCCCAACCGCTACCATTTCGGGACCGGCTTTCCACCCCCCGCTTGTGAGTCGGCATTTTAGTTGTCATTGGTAATACTATCCGGTTGGTCAAACATCGGCGATCATGGTGCTAAAAGAAACCTTCGACGGGCAAAGGCACCGGCTATCTCGCCACCTGGTGGTCCAACGACGGTCGGCGGAGCAGTAGTATCGACAAAGGTTGGGTCATGAAGGACAAAGGCTGTATAGACGATGTATACCTTACTAGGTTGAGTCTTGATGGTAGGGCAACGGCAAGTTCAGGAATTGGGAATCACTCTGCTGCTTGAGCATTGTGACAAGTTATATATTTGATCACGGCGAACAGTAATTAGCGAGATGGTATTGTTGATGTCATATTTGAAGCCTCCGGCGTTTCGACTCGTGAAGCCAGCAACCGGTCGCTAATCCTTCACTGTTAAGATGAGAGTAGAGGAGCCGCTATTGGAATATTATATAATGCTACCAGAAGCCGAATGAGTTTGGAAATGACCAGGAGTACCATTCAATAAACGATATACACACATGTTTCGGCCAAGGAGATTCTCATAGGCGACTGTACAGCTTTTGAGGCTCAGTATGTTGAACGATCTCGTGGCTAATGGTGACTTCAAACTTATGACGTGGATTGCCAACATATATTTCGTCGTTGCGATAGTAGGGCTGGCCCACAGCAGTCACTGCGTGCAGTGGCAAGGTGTCCCGTGCCTCGCTGGTCCCAGTCCCTCGTCGTGATCTTGAGCGACTCAGTCTGGAAACTATCCGACTGGATCCGACCTGCTCAAGAAGTGGTCTATATGTGGGCAAGCAGGCCGATATCAGGTAAACCCCAGTCTCGACCTGGGTCCAAATAATCAACTCAACAGCTACCCAGGTCCCATCGGAAAAGGCGTTGTTTCGGAAAAAGATCTGGAAGCGCATAATGGACGTGACTAGTCCTCTGAGGGACAAGCGATGCCAGGTCAGTATCAGTGAGACTGTAGAGGTTAAGGTTATTTATCTCACATGCTGCCAACTGCGAATGTGACGGTCAGCCCCGCTTTCAGGCGTGGACTGACGTTAAGCGACCACAATACTGGCATTGGAAGAAGCAGTAGAATTATATCGGTCACAATGTTAGGGAAACTGGCCCAGATGTAGAGAACCTTCTTGTTTCCACAGTTGCCAGGGATAGGACCATCCCAGTTAGCGGAGAAGGGTCGGCAGACGAGACTCGCGCCAACGATCGTACCTATCGTGATGACACCCAGGACCACCATCATGAATTTGATGATCGCGCCCATTTTCTTGGTTGGGAACAGCCTATTGTACAGTAATAGGATGGAGAACTTGGGAAGGTTAACACTTCCTAAATAGAGAAATGACAAAGCGAGGAGATATTTCGCCCAAATTCTCAGACTGGCTGGGTCTTTCACCATTAACCATGGGATATGGTGTCCCACGCCAGCGAACTTCACAGCACCTAGAGCAAGAATCAGCACCTCTGCTGCAAACCAGCTTTGGATTCCCTATCCACTAACCGATACTGATGCCTGCCATACCCATCTGCTCAGCGAGCGCAAACAAGATCACGGCATCATCCAAGCCCCATGGTGTGTGAACTTTGTGTCTAGAAATGAAACGTAGAGCAACGCAGAAGATTTGAAGAGGAACGAAGAGAGCCGTGAATATCAATAGCCGGTCCCCGATATAAACGGAGACTTCTTCAGGAGGGATATTCAAGGATCCCATCATGGCCACACACCGCAATCAGTGGTGCGATGAAGACAATACAAAACACGGATTGAGGTGAGTTGAAACATAGAGAGGCCTGCTCCATGGCCAGTATGGTGGAACCTCACACATGCCCGGGTTATGTATTGGGAAGCAACTCCGGGCGCATGGTGGATAAAGGCGCCGGATACGAGACAGGACCGACACCATTAGATGCTGAATCCCCACCGAATCCATATAGTTGATAGGGACTATAATGTCCAGATTGCGAAGCATAAGCAATAGCACAAGACTGCTGCCCGCCGTGCCGAGGAACAGGGCACGATGTGACATCGGGCACGGATCCCGCATTAGAGTCTGTGTTAGTACATGCGCTAAGAGTCGGGCGTGCCCCTGGCGGGCCCATTGCCCTATTCAAGACGTTCAATGCAGAAGCGGTGTTCCTTAGTTTGTTGATTAGTGTCCTTGATCCCTACTTGCCATGCAAGCAACACGATGATAAGCGGAGTCCGAGCCGGAGATCTGCAAGCAACAAGCAAACAGTATCCATGGCTAGAGGCCGGTACCCCGCGCGATTCCTGCGCTTGGATGGATTAAGCAAGTCGGTTTCATGTATAGATAGCTCAGTGCTTAAGCCAATGATTCGAACGACTGGGGCACGGAAAACTCCATGTGGACAAGAGCCGTGTCAGTGTCGTTAAACGCATAAAGTTTTCATTTGTTTCAAGTCTTGAACTCAATCCACGATAACATCAGAAACCTAGAATAAGAACCAGGAACAGGCGTAAAATAGGTGGCTTTTGTACTTGTCCCCTGTCGGATATGTAGGGCTCTGTTAGTCGGAACCTGTCGCTTCTTCCTGAGACATCAATATATAGTGTATTGCACAGCAACAAAAAGACCCACTTTCAGACACTTTTCGAACTTTTAGTGGGATAAGTAGAATCTGACGCGACAAGACAAACGATCTCTCTCAGCTCATACCAAACTAATCACCGTGCACTCCCTTCTATCATAGTACCTGGGCTCTCAGGAACAACTCCTGTTTTCGACGAGCGACACCACGGAATTCAAGTCATGAGAGGGGTTGAGCTTAGTGAGGACGTTGATCGCGACCGTGCGCAAGTACCGTGACCCAACGGCGCTGATCATTTATGCCATAAAAGACTTCGTTCCTGATATGAAGCACAACAGAAATGTCCAATGCCTGAACGTGCAGAGACCCTAAGCCATTTAAGCCGCGCCGTTGCGTATATCGCGCGCATTGGCGCTGCACGTACGGGGCTCGGCTACTGAATCTAGCAAGTCAATGTGACTTCGCCTACAAGACACGCGTGAAAACTGACTTCGGATCTATGACGATGGGTATCCATAAAGTTCACCATTGCAGTGTAGCATACGTGATTGGCGAGCATAATTCGGGGAATAACCGACCATCTGGTGTTGCAGCTGCACGTCGGGAAGAAGTATGTCCTGCAGTCTTCGAAAATTAAAAAGTGAATTTACCGGAGATGTGAAAATACCGTTCAAAGCCAGGGAACAATTCCATACTAGTTAGTGTCTGATATTCGAAGGGTCAATTGGATGGACAAAAACGGAAAGCCAAACACATGTGACAGCACATGATATGGGGTAACGTGACCTAGTAGCCACGTGCAGCAAGGAGAGGGAAAACATTCAAATGCTTTTTAGGAAAAGGAACTCTCTTTGCCAGGAACGAGTCATACAAGGACGGACTGTTTCAAGCCAAAGAAGACCTTGACGGACCGGGTTGGGTTCGACTTGTCCTAAGGATCTACATGTCTGCCAGACCATGAACAAAGACGCGGAATTGCCTTGACCTTGAAATTTTGTCTCACGCACCCGGAATGGAATTATCTGACTCAGTCGAAAAGCGGAGAACAGAACAAAATTGAATGAGAAGAGAAAATGGGTTTCGGGTTCGGTGCTATGCAGAAGCTTGCTTCGGGGAATGATACTCTTTCTCTCCTGAGAGCTTCAGCTCCAACTTGCGTATCGTTCTTGTGCAACAATACTACCAGTCTGAGCCACCCCAAGGATCCATGCAGCTCACTCTCTGGTACTTCCAAGCCATGAGGAAATTAATGGTCGATCGTACAACTTCCTCTTCACCAATACGACACCAGGGAAGAAACGCCATCATGTCAGGTCCAGTGGATTGAGTCCAATTAAGTGATCGTTGGTGTTACCAGAAAAAAAAAAAAATATTCATTAATTACTGTACAGGAAGAGACTTTAAGAGTTCTTCCAGTCGTGCGGCCATCTGGACTAGATTCAACCCAATGTCT